TCTGAGGTCTTCCTGAAGCCTTCTCCAGGCTGCCCCAGCCCGGCTCTCTCAGCCTGTCCCCAGAGCAGAGCTGCTCCAGCCCTCTCATGAGCATGAGTCCTTTCTTAGGAAGCAGAAGGCAGAAAGGTCTCTCCTTCCTGGGGAGAGCGTTGCTATCCATCAGCATTATTTCAACAGAGCAGCTCAGCAGTGCAGAGGAGCCTCAGCATCTGAGCACGCTTTGAGAACCACAGAACGCTCACAACAGGAGCTGCTCCGGGGTGAGGCTGCCAACAGCATTCCCAACATGATGCCTTCAAGAACGTGCTGTCTGCCTCTGCCAGGCCTGATGCCCTGCTTAGAGTCCTTCCTACACAAAGCCCCCCTGCCTGCGGGGAGGACAAAAGTGACGTGTGAGAAGTGAAAAGCAAACAAACACGCTGCCCCTTTAACCAAACCTTGCCTCTTCTCTGCACATTTGCCTGTCCCTGGGACTGTGCCCGGGGGTTTTAGCACTTTGGGATCAGTTTCAAGCCCGAGTTCTCACAGGCGGGTGGAAGCACCGGGGACCCCTCAGCCTCGGCGATCGATTTTACACTCTATAAATAGGCAATCTCTGCTGCTTTCCCATAGAGAGACGCGCTGCCCTCCGCAGCCACCCCCCCCACCAACCTTTGACCTGCACTTGATCAGCAGCAGAGCTTCCCAGGGATGAAGGCGAGATCTCTGCAAACATGAAAGATGTGAGACCCCCGAGGGCCTGCAGGATTTTACAGCTGATAATCTGCTTAAGTGCAGTAATCGCACCAGAAAGTCTCCCTCAGAAGCACGCAGAAGAGCAGAATACATCAATCAATCACCTCCACCCCTTGGACGAAGGCTTTGGGAGTCTCCATGGACACTTCTGTTATTTACTGGCGCTTTTCCATCACTGCCCCACTGCACTTCATGGGCGAATGTAAGCATGGAACTCGCCTCCCCATCTCCTGCACCAAAATAAAGGCTGTGCCTGGATCTTGCTTTCACAAGATGCACTCCTCGGTGAGATTTTGCCAGCCCATTGAGTAATGCGCAGCAGCTCTTTGAAAAGCTCACAGCAACAATTACAACGCTATTTCAGGCAGGAAGGAAACACCAGGTCCATTAAAGCCGCAAAGAAAGATGAACACCCTCCCATAGAAAATGGACTAGAACATGGTTCATTCACACGCAGAGACAAGGCAGTGTTTGTCACTATGATGGACATGACTTCATTTTAAAGCTCATGAGAACCAACAGTCATCTAGCAAAGAATTGTTACAAAGCTCTCCCTGGGCCTTCTCAGCCTTGTCCCAGTCTTCCAGTGCCTAAAGGGGCTGCAGGAAACCTGGAGAGGGGCTTGGGACAAGGTCCTGTAGGGACAGGGCAAGGGGAATGGCTTGAACCTGCCTGAGGGGGAGACTGAGCTGAGCTCTTAGGCAGAAGCTCTGCCCTGTGAGGGTGCTGAGGCGCTGGCACAGGGTGCCCAGAGAAGCTGTGGCTGCCCCATCCCTGGCAGTGCTCAAGGCCAGGTTGGACACAGGGGCTTGGAGCAAGCTGCTCCAGTGGAAGGGGTCCCTGCCCTGGCAGGGGTTGGGGATGGAGGAGCTTTAAGGTCCCTTCCACCCCAAACCATCTCTGATCCTGGGATTCTAAGCTCAACAGGGACAAGTGGAAGGTCCAGCCCCTGGGCAAACACAACCCAGGAGTGCAGCACGGGCCGGGACCTGCCCCACTGAGGACACCCGGGACGGGGCAGCCACCCCGGCTTCGGGAAGAGCGTTCCGGGGACAGGACAAGGGCAAGCAGTCACCGGGAACACTCGCATGCCCGGTTACACGTGGCCGCCATCTTACCGGCCTGGAGGGGGCGGAGAAAGCAGGAGACAGCCCGCCCCTACAGGCCCCGCCCCTACAGACCCCGCCTCCATCGGGCCCCGCCCCGGGCACCTGAGGGTGCGCGGCCGCCATTTTACGTGAGCTCCGTGGCCGGAGCGGAGCTGGTGGTGGTGGGGATAGCGGGGTGTGAGGGGAGCTGCTCGGTAGCGACGGAAACGACTCTAAAGTAGGGCAGTAATTCCTGGAGGTGCTGTGCCGGAGCCTGCAGCCGCCAAGCGGTTGAGGAAGCCTCATCCAAACAAGCTGCTCCCTGCGATCCATCCTGGGGAGCGCGCCCCGAAGTCTCCCGCAGCCTGTGCTGTGCCTGCGCTGCCCAGAGCGCTGCAGCGATCCCCGGAGGTGCGTTTGCATCCTGCTGAACCGCGGCAGGGGGTGGGAACTGCATGAACTTTAAGGTCCCTTCCAACTCAACCCATTCCCTGGCTCTGTGGTTAATGAGGCACACAGACCACAGTTCCATGAGCTCATGGCAGCACCAGGTACCAGCCGCCTTCCACACGCACCGTTCACCTAAAGACACTCTACACAACAGTCACGTTCCCGTTCAGACTCTGCTTGCCACCACTCTTGCCCCACAGCCCTGGCACTGCACGAGACAGCTCCCATAGGAAAGCAGGATCTGATTTCATCAAAAAGCTGCAGAACCACCCACATCATGGCCCAAGAGCTGAGGCTATAAACTCACTACAGCACCTTTACCAGCCACACCAGCTCCAGAGCTTCTGTTCACACTCCAGCCAAGGGGAAAGCCCACTGCAAGCACAGGCCGCAGTCCTGTAACTCAGCACTGCTGAACACTGACTCCTGAACCCACAGCCCCATCTGCATCGTTACACAAATACAGCTACACTGCTTCAGGACAAAAACTGGGACAGGCCCAGCGGAATGGAGCACGCTGCAGAGACAGACGAGCCCAGGAGTTTATTACCCATCATACAACCCAGGCTTAACCCCCATGGCAGGGAAAAGCCATGGACTAATAGTAACTCCCTTCATGCTGCTCCTGTTCCTGCTGTGTAAGATGATGGTAGGAAGTGCCTGCCAGCATCACCCTGTTTGCAGAGAGCTTTTTCCCCAGTTCAGGATGGTGTCTTGTGCCCACTGATTTTTTGGAGCTCTGAGACCCACCTTAGTCCTGGGAATGGGATTTCTTAATTAAAGCCTGAACGATACAAGTTAAATACAAACTTCCCAGTAAAACAAAGCTGGCATTGATGTGCATGACAAAATGTGATATTGTGGCTGGCATACATAGCAGCACGAGCAAATAACAGATGCACAAACATCTTTAATGCTTTATGAGGCCTTGAAGGATATTTCCAGACCTGTCAGGGTTGGAGTTTTGTGTGTGAGGATTCCCCATCTGGCACTGAAAGAAAGGAAATGGGAATGTTTTTAACATGTCTCTTAATCATTAACTTTATCAGTAGATGCTTCATTTAATGATGCTGACCACAGTTTTCTTTGACACTGCCCTTCTGGACTATGGCAGAGGCTGGGCCACCCCTGGTGAAGATACAGAAGATGAGGATCCTACATGTGATGGCTCAGTAGAAGCAGACTACTGGAGGGGTTTCTGAAACTGGTTTCTGGGCAGATAAACCAGGTACCGTCAGTGCAACAGTGCTGGGAAATTATTACACAAGGCCTTGCCAAAGGCTCCATCAAGACAGGTAAAGATACTTGCATTTTCATTGTGTGATTTTCCACGTTCCACTGGAATTGGTACTTGGTACAGACTATTTCCATGCACACATGTGCAAGGGAATGGCAAGGAACACGTAGTCATGTGTATGGTTTTGCTGCTATATTACAAGTTCAGGTGAGATCTCACTGTTCTGTGACAGAGCTCAATAAAACTCAAATTATGAGTTGGCTACAAATAACATAGTAAACCCATACATTTGAACATTCCGATTTCTTGGCTATTGACTGGCACACGGGGTTTACTTGCAAGCTCACAAGTATGTCACACACTGAACATGCTGCTGTGTCCCATGGTGTTATTGCAGAATAGCTTGTTAATGGGAAAAAGATGTTCATTGAATTTCATCTTCACAGACTCCTCCTGGCCGGGATGAACAGGCTCAGCTATAGAGAGATGCCCTTGGCTACCCAAAAATCACTGGCAGTGGGCAGAGGGACAACTCCAGACCTGCAGGTCCCCAAGGCCATTGCAGGACTTTTTGGAGCAGTGACCACCACAGCTCCTCCTGCAGACCATCACTTGCATCTCATTGACGCAGAACAGTTTCATCTCCTAACGAGCCACAAGCCTCCCTTTGTGTTACTGCTCATGGAGAGTCCCCTGAGGTCCCATGGAAAGGCTTCCGCTAACGGGAGGTTGTGACCACAAACACCTAGAGCTCGGGGCTGTCCTGCTGCGTCCCAAACTCTTGTGCTCCAGGGAAGAACTTGTTTTCCCTTCCACCGGAGCAGCACGGAAGGACTCGGCAGGGCAGCAGCACAGGCACCACACACGTTCTCCTCCCGGTTCTTCCACGCCGTGAGTGGGCCCCGGCGGGGGAAGCCCGGGCTGCGGTAGCACCGCTCCGCCCGGCAGCGGCCAACCGGGGCTGCGCTCCCACTCGGCCATGGCCGCTGGCGCCGCGCACGCAACTCCGCGAGAGGCCGTCCCCGGCCGGCGCTTGACGGACAGTCCTCAGGGCCAATGGGGAGCGGGACACGTGCGCACGGCAGCCAATGGGACTCGGTGGGCGGGGAGGGGGCGTGGCCGGCGGCGCTGCTAGCGGCTCGTTGTGCGCGCTGCGGAGCCGATCGCCTCCCGCTGTATAGGCCCGGCCGCGCCCGCCGCAGGTGAGTCCGGGCCGGCGGGGCTTGTGCGGGGGACCTCGGGGGGCTCGGCGAGGCCGCGGCGGGAGAGACCCAGCGGGGAGTGGGCGCCGCGGCGGCGAGGCCGAGGCCTGGGCCTGCAGGGGGAGAGCCGGGGCCTTGCGGGGGGAGGAGCCAGCGGAGGGGGAGCGCGGGCCGGGGCCGCGGCCTGCGAGGCCGGGCGGGCCCAAGAGAGCTGGATGCGGGCGCAGCAGGGCCCGGGGCAGCCGCGCTCCTGGGCCGCGGGGCTCGTTACTCGGGGCTCGTTACTCGGGGCTGCCGCGGAGTGAACCGCGGCGGGGAGGCGGTGTCGCTGCCCGGCTCCGCGCCTTGTGCCGGGGCCCTGCTGCGGCTTGGTGTCGCGGGCTTCCATGTTTATTTGGCCTTTTGTGTGCACGGACGCGGCTCTTTAAATCTCCCCCCCTCGTTAAGATTGGCGCTTCTTTACTGAGTGGCGGTACCTGAGGGTGGGCTCCCTAACGTGGTCGGTGTGTGCAAATTGGGACTTGCTGGGAGCAGGGTTCAGTAGTGCTGTGCTAAGTGCTTTTGGCCGGAAAAAATCACGACTGAAGTAGGAGCTCACTATTGTCAGTGCTCGTGGGAGGCTTCTTAGAGCGAGCACTCACCCTTTCTTAGTGGTGGGAGAGGTAAGAATGTATTGGCGGGATGTGGGTGAAAAGAAGCGGGAGAGAGGGCCGCTGAGGTCTGATGAAATGGATCTGTGTGCTGGCCTCCTGCTCCAGTGCTGGGTGGTGGAGCAGCGTTATCTGCTGGGCTTATACCTGAGCCTTGCTGGAAAAGAAAGTGTGTTTTCATACATAAAGGACTTTGCACTGGGACCCTGCGATCCACTTGGGGCATATGTGAAAAATGAAGGAGGGAATAAATGGGAAGGAGATAGGTTAATTCCCTTTATCAGTGCTTGATGTTGACATTTGGTCATCTTCTGTGGTCTCTGTATTTGTCTTCCTTTTTCTTTTATGCCATGAATGTGGATGTTGAGTGCTCACACTGTTCAGCTCTTGCCTCTTCTCCAGCTCATGTTTAACCACTTTTCTTTCTAGATCAGTGTGAACAGTTCTCTGCCTTGTGTATTTCCCCTTAAAACAGTGATGATTGGTGTGATTTCTTGGGTATCTGCGACTCTTGGCTTAGAATCATAGAATGGTTTGGGTTGGAAAGGACTTTACTTCCAACCCCCCTGCCATGGGGGTTAAGCCTGGGTTGTATGATGGGTAATAAACTCCTGGGCTCGTCTGTCTCTGCAGCGTGCTCCATTCCGCTGGGCCTGTCCCAGTTTTTGTCCTGAAGCAGTGTAGCTGTATTTGTGTAACGATGCAGATGGGGCTGTGGGTTCAGGAGTCAGTGTTCAGCAGTGCTGAGTTACAGGACTGGCCTGTGCTTGCAGTGGGCTTTCCCCTTGGCTGGAGTGTGAACAGAAGCTCTGGAGCTGGTGTGGCTGGTAAAGGTGCTGTAGTGAGTTTATAGCCTCAGCTCTTGGGCCATGATGTGGGTGGTTCTGCAGCTTTTTGATGAAATCAGATCCTGCTTTCCTATGGGAGCTGTCTCGTGCAGTGCCAGGGCTGTGGGGCAAGAGTGGTGGCAAGCAGAGTCTGAACGGGAACGTGACTGTTGTGTAGAGTGTCTTTAAGTGAACGGTGCGTGTGGAAGGCGGCTGGTACCTGGTGCTGCCATGAGCTCATGTGAACTGTGGTCTGTGTGCCTCATTACCCACAGAGCCAGGGAATGCGTTGAGTTGGAAGGGACCTTAAAGTTCATGCAGTTCCCACCCCCTGCCACGGGCAGGGACCCCTTCCACTGGAGCAGCTTGCTCCAAGCTCCTGTGTCCAACCTGGCCTTGAGCACTGCCAGGGATGGGGCAGCCACAGCTTCTCTGGGCACCCTGTGCCAGCGCCTCAGCACCCTCACAGGGAAGAGCTTCTGCCTCAGAGCTCAGCTCAGTCTCCCCTCTGGCAGGGTCAAGCCATTCTCCTTAAACCACTTTATTATGTTTGCTGGTTCTTGCATGTTCTGTCACTTTTTCTTTCTCTAAACACCCTCCTTGTCTTGACCTGGCAGACGTGTCATTTTAATTTCAGAATCTGTTTCTTTCAGCTTTTTCTCTTGTGGCTTTGGTCTCTGCCTTGTTTCTTGCTTATTAGATACAAGCCCTCTATGGATTGATGACAGTAAAGTGTAGTTGGTGCAACATCTAATAACGTGTCTTGTGTGTAAGCTCCCTGTGAAGGTGGTGACTTTTAGCTACCGAATCGCAAGCTTACTGTATTTGCAGACTTCAAAGAGCTGTTCTTTTTGCACTTCAGAAAAAAAAGCATGGAAAGCAGCTGCAGGAGATTCCCACCAACTGAAGCAGTCAGGAAGAGTGACACCGCTCAGCAAAGGCGAGGTGTCACATTTTGCCTCTGTTGGAAATTGGTCAGGGCTTTTTTATGTGAAGTTCTGTGATCGAAGTGCGTGCAAGCTTCAAACTGCTTGCCTGAATGACCCATTTGATTATACAGCCTTGCTATATGTAGATGTATGAAAAAAACCCCAAACTTCTAATTTTCTTTTCGTGTTTGGTTTTTCTTTTTTTGGGGGGGGATAGTGTGGAAATAAGCTGTGCTGGGAAGGCAGAGATGCTCTCCATGTGTGTGGTTTTGCTGTCTTGTTTTGTTCTTGTTTTTAATATTGGTAGCAGTGGCATAGTAAGTGTAAATGACAATTTTCTTCTAGCCCACCACTTCCATGGCTTCCTTGTAGGAGTGCAGGAGCAAGCTGTGGAATCATGGAATGAATCACAGAGTAACAGAGTGGGTTGGGCTGGAAGGGACCTTAAAGCTTCCAGCTCCAACCCCTGCCACGGGCAGGGACCCCTTCCACTGGAGCAGCTTGCTCCAAGCCCCTGTGTCCAACCTGGCCTTGAGCACTGCCAGGGATGGGGCAGCCACAGCTTCTCTGGGCACCCTGTGCCAGCGCCTCAGCACCCTCACAGGGAAGAGCTTCTGCCTCAGAGCTCAGCTCAGTCTCCCCTCGGGCAGGTTCAAGCCATTCCCCTTGGCCTGTCCCTACAGGCCCTTGTCCCAAGCCCCTCTCCAGGTTTCTTGGAGTTTTCAAGAGTTGGATCAAGCCTTCAGAGATTAATTTCCAGCTACCTGTTTTGTGCTGGTGAGTGAGCTGGAGAGGGGCTTTAGTCAGGGGCTTGTAGGGATGGAGCTTGGAGCAAGCTGCTCTAGTCGAGGGTGCCCCTGCCTGTGGCAGGGGGCTAGAACTGGAAGAGTGTTAAGGTCCCTTCCAAGGCAAACTGCTCTGTGATTCCGTGATTCCATCACCTGCCTCTGCAAGTACACACTGAGATAAACTGTTAAAAGACAAGCACATGGATCAGATTGTCGTTGAGGTTTTGAAGTGTTATAGTTGAGGTTTTGAAGTGTACAGCCCATTACACACACTTGGGTAACATTTTATGTTAAACTTAATGTTTTTTCCCCTCACATGGTGTATAACTTTTATTGTTGAATTGAAGAGAGGATCTGTGGACTTTGTGTTTTTGCCTTCACCTCAGCTGGCTTTTGAGCAATACTCAAATCCTCTCCTATTTGAAGCAGGGTTGTATGAATGCAGTGATTCAAATAGCAGCAGGTGTTGTGCTGTGGTGTCATTAATCTCTAGAGTCTGTATGGATGTTCATGGAGGTATCTGTGCTTGTGGGGTGCAGTGTGGAGAGCTGTTGGGGACATGGAATGAGTTTGTTTGAGGAGTAAAAGGGGTTTCCTTGGAGATTATAGGGAAAGTAGAGGGGTCTGAGAAGAAAAAATGGATGGGGGGGTGTGTGTGTCCAGTCCGTGTCTCCTCTGTGCCTCAATTAGCCTCTTGCTGCCTTCTGCAGCTCTGTGGATTGATTTGGCACTGCCCTTGATGTAGTAGTGTCCTTTTTGTTCTATTTCAGGTGTGGTCTCTAAGGAAGACTGCTCAGCAGCTTCAGCACTGAGTGGTAGAGCAGCGTCCAAGGCATAGCCAAATTTGTTGTTTGCCTCTGAGTCAACCCTGACTTGTGGGGGGCTGAGGGGGTGTGTTAGCATACATCATCCATGTGCTGAACAGGGATTGTTTGTAGGATACAAAGGACAACACTTCTTCAGGGGCTGTTTTTGCTCTCACTGGCATAAGCGCAGTTCACCACCTGTGGAGGAAGTGGTTTCCCAGTAACTCCCGGTATGGCCAGAAAGGGTTATTGCAGTAGATTGTGTAAGTGCATGGTGAAAGATTAGGAAGAAAGGAGCGTCTTTATCAGTGTTCTGCTCCTTTTCCTCTTCTCTACGGTGCCTTCATTGCTCTGCATGCTTTGTGCCTGGTATCCCATGAAAATGTTTGCCAGGCCTGTCTGTAGGGCTTCCTAATCTCTCAAGAAAGCAGATGGAAGGCTTCCTTCACAGTTCTGATAGCTTTGGAACCAAGGATGCCCAATGCACTGCATGGTTACCACCAGAAGCATTGCAGACAGTGAGATGAGAGGCTGCGGTCAAGTGATTTACAGGTGATAGGCACTTGCCAGCTTTGCTTAAAGCCACGTACAAGTCTGGGAACTTGCCATCATAGAATCCCAGCCTGGTTTGGCCTGGAAGGGGCCTTAAAGCTCCTCCAGTCCTGACCCCCTGCTGCAGTCAGGGATGCCTTCCACTAGGGCAGGTTTCTCTGAGCCGTGTCCAGCCTGGCCAACTGTCTTGGCTGTAACTGCACATCACCTCATTTGAGGAGCAAATGGGGTCCTGGGAATGCTTCTGTTCCACCTCAATGCAAAAATCAATTGGCAAGCACAGCCAATATTAACTGTGTGGTATTGTGAGGGTGACTCCCTTACTGCATTGAGAGGAGCTAAAGCCTTTTGGGCACTCTGAACGCCCAACCTGATGTGTGGTGGCTGAGAAGCAATGATGCCTTAGACTGTTTTAATTCAACTCAGATTTGATTATCCCCTCAGGCAAGATTAGCATTGGGTTGCTGATACCTGCCTCAGATAACGTGCTCAGCTCTCAAGCAAGCTGCAACTAGAGGAGTTTTAATAGGAGTTGCTTATGTACAGCACCATAGGTTATTCTTTGGGCTAAATGAGTGTGTTGGCCAAAACTTGTATTAAAATAAACACAAAGTTCTTCTTTGAGCCTGGGGTAATTAATTCTTCCACGGCAGCACTGAGAGATGCAGTGAGAAGCAAATTTCACATTGAGCTTGGAAGGTTTATACTGAACTTTCAGAAGGGACTTGAAGGTTTGCAAGTCTCCAGCGCTTGAATTTGTGCTTACTGAGCTCTTGCATCAGGTGAAGCAGCCATCTACCACTAGTCTGGAAGCACAGTGGCATCAATCTGGGTTTACAGTTGGTAAACTGAGTGCAGCAAGAGCAGGGGATGAGCTGAGCAGGCATTGCTGCTGGAGCTATATGTGACCAAACTGGATGCTCTTCCTGCAGTGGGAGCTCTGCATTCAAGAAGGAACTCCATCCTCTCAGGTTAACCTTAATTTCATTTCCCCAAAAAAGTTTTATGGGTTTATTCCTCTCACTGGTGGAGTTGGAATTGGAAGCACAGACAGAATTAAACACTTGCAGTGACTTAAGGGGAGGAGTGCCCAGCTGAGCATCAGGAGGCCATGAATTCACCTCAGTTTGTAGCAGCTTTTCTGTTAATTCTGGCTGCTTCATGGCTGTCTTTAAGAGCTGTTAAACAGAGCTGTTGTTTCGGAGCTGGAGATGTTTGGTGTGCTGGGACTGAGGGGATGACCAAATCTGCAGCAAGAAACTGGAGAACCAGAGTCTGGAACTGTACAAGAAAATGAGCTTCCTGTGGTGGTGTGGTTTCAGCCCAGGCTTCCTCAGGCTGCTGGAACCTCGGCTCTCTCCTGTTTCAGGAAGAGCTCTTGAATGGTACAGAGCTCTGTAAAATGCTGTGCTTGGTTGTCTGAAGGAAGGAATTGTTCTGGGATTTTCAACAAATAGCGTGTTGTGAGGGGGGGAAATGCACAGTAGGAACAGTTGGTTGTTCTTTATTAGGAGAAACGTTCCAGCTTCTTTCAGGTGGAGGAGGTTTGGCTTGTGGCAATTCCTGTGACCGCTGTGATAACCTTGATTTGCCCAACCTCTTTTTGAACCCACTCTTTTCCTCCATATTTCGACATTGAGATTAACATTGTGGTCAAGTACTTCAGTTCTTCCTAATACTTCGCTTTAGACTGTTCCTCAGTCAATGGCCATATTTTCCTCCTTCTGCGTATTATTAAAAAAAGGTATTAACTGCTTTTGATTTATTTTCTTCAAACTATTCATGACTTTACAGACCTCCATCTTATTTGGGTAAGCCCATTCCAGTGTGGAATACACCCATTGCTTCCTGCGCTTTGTTTTGTTTTTTCTTTCATGTCTTCATTCCCTTCATTAACCACATACACCGATCCATGGAAGAATTGTCTTTGTTCAAGATCTAGAACTGATGTGAGACGTTTTTTCTCTTGGCAGATATAATATAAGATGTCTAATGGTTATGAAGATCACATGGCTGAAGATTGCAGGGACGATATTGGTCGGACAAATCTAATTGTGAACTACCTCCCTCAGAACATGACACAGGATGAGTTGCGGAGTCTATTTAGCAGCATCGGTGAAGTTGAATCTGCAAAACTTATTCGGGACAAAGTTGCAGGTATGGTCTAGTGTGTAAGGAATTGTCACTTGGTGGTGGTGGGCTGCTCAAGCCAATGCTTAACTGAATGCTGTTTAATTTAGGAATACTAAATGTTTGTGTGTGTATAATCATAAGGAGGGACTAGATCGTTCCTCAGGTCAGGCTGCATACCAGTCAGCGGGTGGTGAGCAGTTGTATTCTCTCCCCTTGTTGTTTCCCTTGTCATTACTGTTACTGGTGGTAGCAGCAGTGGTTTTGTGTTACACCTTAGTTACTGGACTGCTCTTATCTCAACCCATGGGATTTACATTCTTTCCATTCTCCTGGCCTGAACCATGACAACATGTAAAATCATATTGAAATAGTTTCCTAAAATACTGATTTCTTTGGCTAATTTGATAGCTGAGCATTCAGCCTCGATGTTGCTCAGAAGCAGAGGCTTGCTCTGGAGGCTCCTTTTGCAGGAACATAGGAACACTTTCTTTAAGGATAGCAAACCCTTCTTTAGCTGTCACGGCTAAGCTATACCTTAGACTTTCAACTCAGCACAAAATTGCCTCTGTGGGAGGTAAGGATATGTGAAAAAGGAAGCAAGGCATGTCATCATTTGCAGTGTCAGAGTCTACTTCACACTGTTCCCTGTAGCACTGAATCCTCTGGTAAAGTGTGGTTAACTTTAACTTGAAGCTTGACAGTGCTGGGTAGTTTAAAGTCCAAAGCACGTGCTTGTGTGCTTCAGGTTTTTCCTAACAGCCCTGAAGAATCAGAAGTAAAATCCCTGTTGGAATTGCTCAGGCCTTGAGTGCCTGTGGGCAAAATGCTTGCTTTTCCTAAAAGTGCTGGCAAGTGCTGAATAATTCTGCATGGTATTTAATTTAGTAGCTGCTCGAATTTTGTTGCTACTTGCAACACCATGAGGAGCAATTCCCAGGCTTGGAGTTTGGAATGGCATGCTATTAAAGCTTTTCTTTGGAGTTGCCTGTAATGTCTGTATTTGCAGGGTTAAAAATCACTCTTTGATAATGCTTATTCTTCATAAAACAGTGCCTGATATGTATCTTTTTTTCCCAATTCATTCTCTGTTAATGAAACATGTAGGGCAGAAAATGTCTTCTCCCTAGAATAAAGCTTTTAATAACTGACTAAAGTAGCCTTTGCTTTCTGGAGACTCAATACTTTGGCTCAAGAATCGATTTGAAAGCCAAAGTTCTGTTTGGCTTCGAATCTTCATTATGAGCAGAATATAGATCTGGTTGGGTTTTGTTAGGATTACAGCATGGGGCAGAACAGTCTTCTGTTCCACATATTAGATTGTGCTTATAAAATTTACAGAAACTCTTCAAAACAACTACTTACCTTGGATGTTGTTGTGGATGGGCACCTTAGGAAGTGGCAGCAAACCACAGTGTCCATTTCCATTCCTCACTCTTGAGTTTCCTGCTTTGTGTGCACATGGATTAGAGCAGTTGCTGTTAGTCTATCGATGCATATGTGGTGGTGTTTGAGATGTGGGAGCTTCTTTCTCTGTTCCTTTCAGCAAGTGCGAAGAGAAGCTTGTGCACAATAGATGAAGGTTAGTCAGGGTGTTCAGTGCTCCTTCAGATCTTCCTTATCGCGCTGGAAAGATTAGGAGCTGGTCTCTTCATTCCCCAGTTTGTGGATTGCATTCTAAGCACTTCCAGGCATGTCTCTGCTTAACTTGTGATAAGGAACAATGAGCAAATCCTAGGTTGTTGCTTGTATTTGTGCTAAGTCTTGGACACCATAAGAGAACTATAGAACTGACAGTAGACATGGCTCTTTCTGTCAGATCTTCAGGCTAGCACTAGCCATTCCTTGGGGCTTTGAGCCTGGGGAAACATTAGAAGGTCATTTCCCAATATAGTGTGGCAGTGTCAAGTGTGAGATGCAGCTTCTCTGTGTTGCATCTGCTGGCCTCCTGTGGTGATTGCTGAGTTGCCACTGACCCGAGGGAATTGATGAAATCCTCTCTTCCTGTGGCTCTTCTTTTGGGGTGAGAGCAAGGAAAAGTGCTGGGATTTGTCCAGTCAGGCTGCACTGATAAGACTGTAGCCTGACTTCAGATACTGGAGGCAAATCTGTGCTTTGCACTGATTTCCTACCCAGCAATGTGTAGTATTAAGTGTCCCCTTTCTCGGAGCAAATCTGCTTCCTACCAGAGATGATTCAACAGATCAAGTATGTCCTGTACTGTATTTTGCCTTGGGAGCACTTGATTTTGCTGGGACATGTGGATTCTGGGGTCTGGGTTTCCAGCCCATCTGCTGTGTTGGGCATCTTTAAAGTGTTTCTCCTCCTTCAGTATCTGTTAATGCAGAAACCTTTGGGCCACCCTGTACTTCAAGAAATTCAGCAATTCTAGATGCAGAGTTGTGCCAAGGTGTCTGTGCACAATGTGGATGCTTCTGATCAGTGGTTGTACAGGTTCAGAGGGAACCTGGTGATCTTTAGGCTGCTCTTCAGGCAGGTATTCACAGGCTTTTAGTCTTTCTTTACCACATGCTAAAGCCAAAAGTTACTCTGCTCTGAGTTGTATTTAGTTTCTCTGTCTTCCCCTGTGAAGTGGTGTTAACTTTCAAACCCAGCTAAAGCTTGGGTTAAGCTTTTTGCACATTCAGTGTCTCAGCCTGCTGTAGGATCTGATTGTTGCTCATGGGACCCATAGCCCTGCTCTGAGTACCTGCTGACACGTTTGTGCACCTCTGCATAAGTGTTCTGTCTGATGGCAGTTGGTTCTTTTAGGGAGGTGTCCAACATCTTGAGAGTTCTTGGTTCCCTTCTTCACACCTTTTGTACTGTTTGAGCAGAGAATAAGGTGTCCCTGTGATCCAACTTCCTACTCTAGGAAACCCAGGATACTGGATCCCAGACTGGTTTGTGTTGGAAGGGACTTCAGAGCTCATCCAGTTCCAACCCTGTCCTGCAGGGACACCACGGAGGTGTCAATGTTGGCGGGGGTGGGGAGGGTCAGGAATGAGCTGGAAGCTGAAGCAGTGGCTCAGGGAGCTAGGGAAGGAAGCAGGGACATGGACAGAAAACCAAGTGATGCTCAGAAAGAAAACGAGTGCCTCTTTCATGAAAGGGCTTTTGTCACGGAAACAAAACTAGATTCTCTCAGCTGAAGGAGTAGAGTAGTTTGCTTAAAATGAGGTTTTCTGCTCACTTTGTTAATTATTCATCCAGATAAGGACCTACTTGTTTCTTCTTTTTTATCTTTGCTTCTGGAGTACATTTGCATTTATGTATGTGCAAACTTCCGGAAGGCTTTTTTAGAGGTTTATTTAATTACCCTCCACTAAAATAATCTGAAAACTCTCACAGCACTGCCTTCTTTTGCAGGATAGGCTTCTAGTGGGCTCTTAACATCATGGTAAAGCAAATAACTTGTCTGCTTGCCTGAGATAAACACTGACATTCATCATAATGCTGTGTAAATGCTGATTCCATATATATTTTTTGGCATATCCTAAAAGGAGGGGAATTTTTACTGTTTAGGAGGAGGGAATGTCATTGAATCACAGAGTGGTTTGGGCTGGAAAGGACCTTAAAGCTCTTCCAGCTCCAGTCCCCTGCCTTCTTTTTGTAAGCGTAAACTTACATAAAGTAGTAGTACATGACTTGTCTGCACTCAAGAGACATTTTCCCTCTTCAGCTCCATCGTGTGTTTGGGACACTCGCTGCTCGTTAGCTACATTGGGTTTACTAGTGATGGAGAGCTCTTTTCCCTCTTGTCTCCAGGAGTGACAGTTGGAATAGTTCCACAGACATTAGCAGCCTGATGGCTTCTTATGGGGGGGGTTCCCCTCTTGGCGCTTTCTCCCTCTGCTCTTTGCTTACAAAAGTTTGTACTAATGAGCTTTGTTCAATTCTTGCCTTTGTTCCACCCCCATTAAGTTTTCAAGGCTGTTCAGCATCAGTATTTTTTGTTTATGGAACCTCTGCAGCTGCCTGATACACGCACTGGCCTTGGAGACAGAGGATGTCCACAGTGCAAATGGAAGAGCTCTGGGTTACTCCTCATGATGTGTGCCAGTCCTGAGATACTTCATTGGTTTATTTAAATACTTGCTGTTTCGATTATGTTTGAGTTTCCTTTTTCTCCTTTGTGTTTCTCTGACGTTGATGGTGATAATGTTCTGTTATTAGGTTTAATTTCAAAAGATGTTTTTTCATGCAGGACACAGCTTAGGCTACGGCTTTGTGAACTACGTTACTGCAAAAGATGCTGAAAGAGCAATAAACACACTGAACGGCCTCAGACTTCAGTCAAAAACTATCAAGGTAGGATGTCTGGATTTTCTTATTCTTCTGTGAAGTGGCTTTCTAATAACCTCCATTCTGCTGGGGAGGCTTGTGTGCTGGACTCTGGGATGGGAGCAGTAAAGTGAGCTGTTAAAGCCTCTTGGGTTTTGGAACAGCTTTCTGTCCAAAGATTCCCTTTTTTCATTCCCACTGTTTTAACAGCAGCAGCTGGGATCATTACAAACTGTTGCTGCACTTTTGAACTCATGTGCATCTCAGCTTCTTCATGATCTCTATTTGAAATCATGTTAATACACATGTACTCCTTTTCCAAAATAACAGCTACTGAATGTGTAGGAAATCACACCTCCCGAGGTGATTGTAGAATCCTGGAACAGTTTGGCTTGGAAGGGACCTCAGAGCTCCTCCAGATCCAACCCCTGCCACCGGCAGGGACACCTTTCACTGGAGCAGCTTGCTCCAAGCCCCTGTTGTCCAACCTGGCCTTGAACACTGCCAGGGATGGGGCAGCCACAGCTTCTCTGGGCACCCTGTGCCAGCACCTCAGCACCCTCACAGGGAAGAGATTCTGCCTAAGAGTTAGATGTTTTCCTGAACAACCTTCTTTTTTTCCTTTTCAAAGGTTTCCTATGCTCGTCCAAGTTCTGAAGTTATCAAGGATGCTAATTTATATATCAGTGGGCTACCACGGTCAATGACACAGAAAGATGTAGAAGATATGTTTTCACGTTTTGGCCGCATCATCAACTCCCGTGTGCTTGTGGATCAAACTACAGGTGAGTTCTGTTGCATTACTTGTTGTGTATAGCATGTTTTCTGGCAGATCGTAAACTAAACTAGACTTCTACAAACTTACCATGACATCTGGTGTCAAGCACTGATACTGTTTTCATGGGGTATCCTTTTCCAATGGTGTTTTTAAAGCACAGAAAGACTTTTGCTAGTTTATAATCTAAATCATACCACATTTCATGCCCTTATTGTCAGTTTTACCAGGCTGATTTGCCAGCTCTACTCTCTTGCTGTTACTGTAGTGCAGTGCACTTCTGGGCAGTGTCTCTAATCTGGAGTACTGATCTTACCTTTACTTCACACATACAGTTATTACCCACAGGTAAATTCTGGGCCACAGTTCTATATTAAGAAGCAAGGCAATGTGTTTTGTCTCTTATACCAACCTGGAACTCACTCAGACAATTTTCTCATCTTCTGAATCATCTGAGATGTCCCACAGCCCTCTGTGGTTATTGCCAACCACACACTTAGTACTTCCCTCTTGAACTTGCTGCATGGATTTTGTGTATCAAATATCATGAGAAAGAGAAAGGAGCAGTTGCTTAGTTAAGCACTCGGCTCAGGAGAGACCAAAGTTCAGGATTTCCTTTGTAATGTTAATCCTGACTCCATGTTACAATGTGTTTTCAGAGAGTTTTAATTTCTTACCTAATTATTTCAGCCTGTACTCTATGAGGAAAATCCTTTCCTGGAGAGCACTCAGCTTCGATATCTCTACGGCTCTGTCTCTAGAACTGCCTATCTAGATGACAGCTGAAAAAGACTTTTAGAGCACAGAAAACACATTAGAAAAGAGTCCTCCTTCTCTGGCTGCCAGTGGAGTCGGGATCACTTGCATCTGTCTGACAGAGCTATAAAATGAGATGGCAGAAGTCATACAGTTAAAATCCCTCCAGGAATAATTGTGTTTCATCAGGTGTGCTGAGGCATGATGCTGTCTATATCAGTGTCAGCTCAGAATATGATGCTTGCTTTTAAATGACCTTAATAATCTATTGTTTGAAGAATGGATTCTGTTTACAGTATAAACTTGAATGGAACCCTAGCCTAGGTTTCCTTTCCCTTCAGACTGTAGCCAAGCATTGGCTTGCATTTCACATCTTGATCTAGTCCCAGTTAGGTGAAACTGTGTTCTGTTGTGCTTTCAGACATAGCTGCTCAGCAGAGGCTGTTCTCCAGCTTCAGAGAATTAATCTGTTTAAAAATGTGCTTTCTACAACACTTACAGTTTAAATGAAGGCTATGATAGATCCAAGTGAGCACCACTAAGAAGAGCAGCATTGAAGTTGAGAGGAAGTACCAGTCTGCTGGGCTCTGGGATAGGTCTTGCTGACTTCTGGGTGATGCTGTTCCATTCAGTGGTGGGGCAGATCATAGAAACCCGGACTTGGATGGAAAGGACCTTAAAGCTGCTCCAGCTTCAACCCCTGCCATGGACAGGGACACCTTCCACTAGAGCAAGTTGCTCCAAGCCCCATTCAACCTGGCCTTGAGCAAATGTATTCATTTGTCTTTTGTTCCTTAATTTTATACTTTATTCTCCAGCTGCTGAAGAACCATCAGTAACTGTAAAGAACTTGCAAGCCATGCCCACAGAAATACTTAACAGTTTTGGTTTTCTTTTGCTTTCAGAGTTATTTTGAGTTTATCCTGAACTTCCCTTTGATTTATTTATTGTTTTGTTTTTTTTATTGGTTTGGTTAAAAGGTTTGTCCAGAGGGGTCGCATTTATCCGGTTTGACAAAAGGTCAGAAGCAGAAGAGGCAATTACAAATTTCAATGGTCACAAACCCCCAGGTTCCTCCGAACCCATTACAGTGAAGTTTGCAGCCAATCCTAACCAGAACAAAAATGTGGCTCTGTTATCCCAGCTGTGTCATTCACCAGCTAGAAGGTTCGGAGGGCCGGTGCATCACCAGGCGCAAAGATTCAGGTAGGTTAGGAAGAATAATGCATTTAAGGCTGTGCTGCTATTCCCGTGTCCGTCTGGGAAGCTCTGCAGTGATCTCACTGTGTGTGAATGAATACGGAGTGCACTCTGTGTCCTGCAGCGTTCTGTAAATAAAACTGTTGAATTAAAGTATGATGAAAGTAAAAATCTTACTTGTAAAATTCATATTTAAGTTAATTATATCAAGGGACAAACCCTACGGTGGCTGTTTCTGCAATTGAGTGTGTAGTGAGATACAGGAAGCAGCAGATTCCAGATGGGTGTTGTTAGGTGCTTGTCTCAACAGATCCCCAGGCTGTAGTCCATCTAGGTGAATACTCATGTAAGCTGCAACTTAATTCAGGCTCTGACCCGTTGGTTCCAGCAGGGGGGTGTCATAGCAAAACAGGAAAACCTTATTCCTGACGGAGAGATGCAGTAGGATTTCTGCCTACATCTTGAGCTGGGCAGTGTTCTGTCCTTGAGTCCTCAGAAGTTCGGTAAGATCACTGGGTAATTACAACACCCTGCCTGCTCCCAGGCCTCTGGGAGATAGAACTGCTTGGAATATGAACTGCTTGAATTGGAATTACTTTAGTTGCTTAAAGGAGGGTGGTGACAGTTGGACAGTGCACTGGAAAATGCATTACATTTACTTATTGTCTTGGCTTTGTTATGTATTCATGTTTCTTAGGATGGTGTTTCTCTGTGGATAATTTGCTTTTCTTTTTCTCCTCCAGTTAGCTCAGTAAAACTGGACTAAAAACTCAAATAGCTTATTACAGCACTATTGTTCCAGTGACCTTCCTATAGTGCTTTAGCATTTTAAGAGCAGCTCAGTGTGATGTGTCTCCAATGAGAATCATTGTCATCTGTTGTTTTCCACTAAGGCTGATAGGACAGGTTGCCCAGAGAGGCTGTGGAGTGTCCATTCTTGGAGATGCTCAAAACCTGGCTGGAACAGACCTCAGCAACCTGCTCGAGGTGCCTCTGCTTGGAGCAGGGAGGTGTTCTAGGGATTTCCAGAGGTCCCTGTCAGCCTTGGTCACTGGTTGTGACTGTGGCCCAGGCAAGTTGAATGCAGGCAGCTCCTCAGATCTCATTTCCCTGAAGCATTCATCCAGATTTCTGCACCCAGATGAAGCAAGGAATGCAGTTCTGCGTTGTTGCAGTTAGGTGAACTGTTGTCTTGCGTCAGCCAGGGCTTTGTTATATCCTGGTCCTGGTAAGATCTTGAGGCTTTATGTCTCATGTTTTCATTCTTAATGTAATCAGACATTTTCATCATCCTTCTTCCACTTAAAATTTACAACAGCTTTAAGAGGCATCAGAGTAAGCAGTACAAATAACATTTGCATCCATAAATAGGGTACCAAATAACCTTAATTCTGTCCTCATCACTCAGAAACAAGAATGATTCATGTGTTAATACTTGCAGGAGAAACTAAATTTTAATGCCCAGTTCATTTATGATGTTTGTAAGAGCAGCATTAACGTTATTTGTGTGTATTTCTTACATTTCTACAGGCATGGGTTCTCACAAGTGGATATGAGAGAGAAGACCTTCTGTCTCTCTGTTCCATCCCTGATCTGTGGTAACTGCCCATTTGGGTTGCCTGAGCCCAGTGCTTATTTGTTGACACATTCTGGCCACCTTCTGCTTGCTGATTGAAAAAAAAGCTCAAGTTTTTGGGGTACTACAGATTGGCAGAGGGAGTAGTAGAGCAGCAGCCACATTCTTACAAGTACAGGGACCATCCCACAGGCTCTTCTTATTTTACTTCCCACCTTTGGTGTGAACAGCAAGTTCTTCTAGTGACTGTTCCTTAAAGGATGCTGAAGTGAAGTCAAACTGTGGTAAACCTCAGGAACCTGTTTGGACTGAGTCTTGGTTTTGTGTACTGAACAAAACATGACGGAAAGATAAGCTGCTTCCAAAGAGCTCCCGGTCTGTATAAATTACAGTTGTGGGCTCTGCTACTTAGAAGTTGAATTCTTATGCTGACATTTTGATTACACTTCATCTCGTTCCATCCTAATCCCTGTAAATCCAGGATTAAGCCTTTGGTATCTCTAATTTATAATTATTAATTTCCTACAGATATCACTCAGACCCTTTGTTTAATGTTCTGTTAATCCTTTGTAGTTCCTGTGGTATTTGTGGCTCACATCAGGAACTGGTCTTAATGCCTCATCCCACCAAAGTGCTGGCCTGGCCTGAGGCATGGTCTGACATGCTCTCTGCTTCCATCCCAAAGGAATGACACTGTGGTGTGGGATTGCGTTTGGAGGAGAGAAGAGCCATTGACGGCGAGGGCTTAAACAAAATAGCAGTCCTATAGGTATTGAACCTGAAATGAGGGAGTTTGGCTCCTAAAGCTGGAGAAGGCTGGCCGAAGGCCCTTGAGGTCCTGGCCTTTTCCTTTCACCAGAGCTCTGTGATGTTAATGTTTTTTCCTGTAGTGTGCTTTCAGGTTCGTTGTCATCCTGCTGCTCTTCTGCAGGTGGTTCCAGTCCTTGATGTCCTATTGATCTGGACTTGTGGGCAGAGCCTGAGGCTTTACCGGAAGCAGGTTCAGAGCTACACTGACTGCTGGAACCAACCTTGTGCAATTCTGAGCTTAGTGATTTTCTGCTCCTCACATGGGGAAGCAGGAACCCAAGGCTGGTGATCTGTTGAGACAAAAACGTTCCAGATATTAAGGGAACTACATCCTACCCTCTCATTTTTCAAATGGGAACAAGCTACAAAGCTGAAGGTGTCTGTCCAAAAAAGTGAGTGTATAAAGTGTGCAAACACAGAAACAGTTTCCTATGAAAGCAAACTAAGCAGTAGATCTGTCACCTACTCACCAGTCACGTGGATTACCGTGTGTCACTCACCTGCTGATACTCTTAACTGCTTTTTCAATTCTGACTATAGTACAAGGATTCCCAAACTTGGATTTCCTTGGGGCTGGCCAACAGTGTGAGCATTAGTGAGTATGTGCAGCATGAGCTCAGGTGTGGCCACACTGTGCACCAGCAGCAGGTAGCCAGGGGGGCCACAGCCAGACTGAGCCAGGTTGGGAAGGGGTCTGCACCACTGAGACTCCCCCTGCTCTGGTGTAGGAGCATCTCATAGCTCAGGTGTCCAAGGAAATGAGCTGTCTTTGAGTACCAGACAGCCTGGGGCAGGGGAGATGGTGACTGCGTGGTTCTCTTGTATGAGTGCATCAACCGAAGTGCCACACTGAACATGAGCTGACTTCCCTGTGGGCATGGGTGGGCTGCTGCAGCTCTGCTTCCCTTCCTTCTGATGCACGCTGTCTTGAGCCCTCCCTTCTGTCTAAAGACAGCAGCAGCTCCTCTCTTGGTACAGGGCAAGAAAAAGTCAGTGGGGAAGTGTTTGGCACTTAATGCAGCGTTCACTGCCCAGACATCCATTCCCTGTTTCCTCCAGGTCAGCAGAGAATCAGGAACTGCCACCCCCATGTTCTTGGCAGAGAGCAGCACGTGTACCACTTTTAAGTGGTTTGCATATCACCAGTGGTACACCACAGTTTGGGAACCCCTGGTATAGTATAATTATATTTCTACAATCACATGTCCTCACATTTTTTAAATAATACATAAGCTCAGTTTCATACAATTGAGGTTTTAACCTTAACTTTCACATTTCCTGACCTTTTGAGTGCTTAGCTTGCAGCCATAATACTGCCTTAAAAAACTCTGAAGCTTTGAATTACTAGGGTGGAGGCCAGAAATAGAATAAAGGGGAGTTAGAGATATGGGTTATAGGAGAAAAGAAAATAATACAAAGCAAGATATAAAAAGGAGAAGGGGTTTTGCTATTTGTTGTGCATAAATACTTCTGGGGTACAATGCAGGGAGGCAGGTTTAGGAAGGGTTTGTTGGTGACTTAAAACCCACTTCAGTAAAGCCAAAGAAGTTTTCCTAGGATGAAGTTGGTGTAAAATTACTAAGGTAGCCATACATGCATCCTGCAATTGTAAAACTATGTGACTTCAATGTGGTTTGATGTTTAGAAGCTCTTCAGTTAGAGTATCCCCAGAACTGTGTATTCAGGATTAAAAACCTGAGATTTTAATTCCATAGCTCAGAATGTGGGACATCACAGCCATCAAGAGTTGGCTGAGGAAGTAATATTTCCTTAGCTGCCTAATAGCTGGGGCTGATTGAGTAACCTGCTTGTATGGGGGGTGTTTGCTTCTGTTCCATAAAATAAGAAATTTAATTCGAGAAACACACCATCTCTACTCCTAAACCCAAAGAATCCCCTTCCTGCCCTGCCCCAGCAAACCCCACAAATCCCTTTGGCTTATGACTTCCCAGTGTATTTTAGAGGTGAGAAGAGGAGGGTGATGGGATGCAAACTCCTTGAGGGAAGTAAGTGGTGGGTGGACTGATGCAGGCTGGGACCTCTGGGGAGGTGTTGCCTGATACCTGCACTCAGGCAGTTATGCACCGATGCCATGGAGCGCTCTTCACAGCCTGGCTGAGTTTCAGGTACCCTGTGAAAGTGAGCACCTAATCTTGCCTTGCAACTTTTCTGTTGCCTCCCTATTCCTATGGATAGTTCCCTATTAACAAGCTAGTTGGAATATTTAACATTGATTCATTTTTTTTTTCCTGGCAGCTGTCAATTTTGATTGTCAATTTGAATGGGGGAAGCATTTCTTTCTGGCGGTTTTGATGTCCATGTAGAGAATATTGATGCTCAGTTGCTTCCCATTCGAGTGAATTTGCTGAATTGAATTGAACTTTTACATGAAATATTGTGCTTTTTATTTGCTAGGTTCTCTCCTATGGGTGTAGATCACATGAGTGGGCTTTCTGGTGTAAATGTTCCAGGAAACGCATCTTCTGGCTGGTGTATCTTCATCTACAACCTTGGTCAAGATGCTGATGAGGGAATCCTCTGGCAGATGTTTGGCCCCTTTGGTGCGGTTACCAATGTGAAAGTTATTCGAGATTTCAACACCAACAAGTGCAAAGGTTTTGGTTTTGTGACCATGACAAACTATGAAGAAGCTGCAATGGCCATAGCAAGTCTTAATGGCTACCGCCTGGGGGACAAAATCTTACAGGTTTCCTTCAAAACCAACAAGTCCCACAAATAACTTGCTCGTGCTTTTTGTATGGAATAGATAAGTGAGTGACAGAAGTTGAAACCTTCTTCTTTTTTTTTGTTTTTTTTTGTTAGTGTAAAACTCATTTTGCGCCAACTTTCACAAGTGTTTGTCTTAGTCTAAATGAGAAGTGAAAAAGGTTTTATATTCTGGGATGCAACTGACATGTTCAAATGTTTGAAATCCCACAATGTCAGACCAATTTTAAGTTCCTTTTAAGTTATATCATTTGCAAACATGTTTCAAAAACCCCTTGAAACCTGAAGTCGATTGCATTAACAAGACCCTCTGGATGGTGGTAAAATTGAAGCATGCTTTCACTTATGAGACTAACATTAGTTCCATTGAATTTTGTCTGCAAAAACTGGAATTTTCTGCAAAATATCAGGCTGACTGAATTAATTTTCTTGGGGTTTTTATGTTGCTGTTTCTCCCACCCTTTTCCTGTGACCTTCTTCTCTACCCCTGACTCGGTAGTATGGAAGAAAAGTTGAGAAATACTAATGTTTTAGTTGACAGTCATTTGTTTGCTCAATTAATATTCATTTACTACGTTATGTAGCTGAGGATTAGGCTTTTTAAGTCAAGGTCTTGTAAGTAGTAGCATGCCAGTATAACTTTTAACACCATTGAGGAGGTAAGTTGCACACTGAGCAGTGGCCAAGCTATCCAATTCAAAGGTTTTAGAAACATTTTACTTGTAAAATCCACTTTCTAATAGGAATGGACCAAAGAGTTTCCAAGAAACTCCGGGAAGATTTCAGAGTCAAAATGAAACTTCAAAAAGAGAGTGCAAATCTTACGTTGCTACTTGATCAACCTCAATCTCTTCTGTCCAAATACTTAATGCATGGTGCACTACTTACTGGTACATTATAATGCAGCAAGATACTTACTCATTTTCAATGATCATTATAGTCTGAATTTCTTTGGTAGTTCTATTTTGTAAAGGAAAAACCAATAACAGTTATAAACATTTGAGCATTGTATTTCTCGCATCCCTTCTAATGAGTGCTAGATTTTTCTATTTTAATAGTCTTTTGTTTTGACAACTAGCTTTATTGAACACTCAGCAGAAAAGTACTTATCTACTTGCAAGTTAGATATTAACAAAAGAAAAACCCCCTTTGATTTGTAGATTTAAAGATTAATCCCCCAAGTTTTCTGCAGACTGCCTTGAAACTTTGAGTTGTTCTGTTTCTGTTAATTTTCTTTTGCTTTTTTGTGTTTTTTGTTTGTTTTTACTTTTGCATTTAAGAACATTAAATTTGATTTTGTTTTGCTCAAATTTTGTTTTGTTTTTTATTTTCTGTTATTTTTTTGCTGAGTATTGCACACAGTGTCCAGCTTTCAACGAGTGTTGCTTTAAAGAACTCTAGTTTCTCTTGAAGGGTTTGTCAGTTATTCCTTTGACAGAGAAGTAAAAGAAAGAGGGTTGTGAACCAAGAGCACTACAAGAAATCTGTCACGTAGAACCTGTGTGCCACAGGCTGACATAACCCTGCAGGTTGTTCTTTGGTAGGAAATCTGACAAGGGTTGCTCCATGGAGTAAAGGCTGTGTAAGGATACTGGGCATGACTAGAGACTTACGTGCACAACTGTCAGGTCCAGTGTTCATGCTCCGTTGGCAAAAGGTAGAGCAAACAAGACACGGGGTCAGGGCAGTTCTAATGCAGTGTCTCTTTTTGTTGCATGAACCTCTCCCAGTCCCTAGGCTGACTTTCAAATGGCAGAGGCCCTTCCATGCCTCCTGCTTGCATCCCTCCATCCCTGGCTGACCTTGCCTTGCATTCACAGTTGTTTCTTCTCTTTCTGCAATGGGACCTGCAGTCTTGCACAGCCCAAAACCAGCCCATCTCCTTTGATCACCTTCAGCACTGTCTCCAGTCCTGTTCACAACCATCTCTTGAGAAGCACTATGGTTTGTACAGCAGCGGTTGTGACAGAGCAGCTGACTCCCACTCCTCAAAGTGTACTTTCCAGCAGTCTGTTCCAGATGTTTCCACCAACTTATCATGAGTCTTTTATGACATCAATAAATACTTCTTTTATGTGGAAAAGGAGAGATTCAGAAGCACTCAGGGGATTTCTCGTAAGTTAAAACTGAGTGGTATAGAGTCCTGTCACTGTGTCCCGCATCTCTTAACCTCACACTGTCCTATTCCACAGGACAGCTGTTCCCAGCTTCCTGCCATTTTCTCTTGAGTTATTTCATGTAAGATTAATTCCACAGTAATTGAGAGTTGATGGTTTATCACAGCATTTAGTTAGGGGTTCAGACTTCCAGTGAAGGACACCCTCGGTAGGACTGTGCATCAGTGATCACTGCAGGTGTGCTGGCACTGCTCTGAGCTCTAAAACAGTTCATGGAGACTTTTTGGCATCCTCATCATCTGCCTGCTTCTCTTTTCTTCCATTTCTCTTTGCTAAGTGAGAAGGAATCACGGGATGCTGTTTCAGTAGTGGTATGAACACATCTCTTGTAGGAACCATCTGATCCCAGCTTCCTTCGATAGTTGCTCTGACAGCAGTTACCACGTAATTTGTGTGAGCAAAATGTTGCTGCTTGAGTCAGGAAAAGAGGGAAACAAACCCCTGCTAAAATAGCAAGAGCTGATACTAAAGTGTATGGTCTGCATCATCATAGTCAATAAATATTTGGCATAAATAGCTGAAGTCAAGGAAAAATTGTATTCTTGCTGCTTTTGGTCCTAAACAAGAGCCATGTATCCTACTAGTAAAGACTAAAGGAAACTTCTGGAAATGGAAACTAAACCCAGCCTTTTGAAGCTCTTCCTTGAACATATCTGCTTCAGGAGAGGGTTTGGCCTCTTGATCCCCACAGTTTAGAAAAAGTTGGTATGTTCTGCTTTTTCATCCTTTAATTTGATGAACTATGGATGTTTATTTCAGGTGATGCTCAGTCACTGCTTACAGGATCTTTGTGAACCCAAAGGCCTGTCTCAACCTAGAGGACACTTACATTTCTCATGAGATGCAATAGCTCAGTGAGGTAGAGTCTTGGTTGCTGGCTTAGGATGTGGTGATCAGATTTTAAAGACCTGGTCCAGGCTGGAGATGTGCTACTGGGAACAGCTCTGATAGAAATGTTTTTGGGTCCCCCAGGAGAGGCTGGAAGCCTCACAAGACACTGCCAGGTACCTGCTGCTGAAGGACCAGCTCTAATTCCTGATGAAAACACGTCATTATGGCCGTGCTGCTGCTGTTGCAGTCTCATGTAGATGCTGAAGAGAATGATGATGCCTCGGGGGACAGGGTGAGAGGGTGCCAGCTTTTCTGAAGGTGTCAGTCTGGATTTTGTGACTCTGCAGTTTGGGTGACACTGTTCCGTTTTTACACGTGTTCAATCAGATGGAGAAATGCAGTGAGAAAAGAAGTTCAGCTGTCTTGTCTTTGAAAAGAAAAGGGAGAGAAGGCTTCTTCATCGATCTTGTGGTCAGGGTAGGTACCTTCAGAGCTGAGGCTCTGCGAGGTGGGAATACAAAGAGGAAGACTTGGGCTGGATGTTCCAATGGACCTGTTTGCTTTGGGTCCACTTGCTTTCACAAGGATAACTTGTGTGCATGCCAACACTTGGCACTACAGCAGAACCTGCTGTTGGCTTCTGCAGCCATTCCCAGTGGGGAGTCCCTGCTTTTCACTTGCTGGCCAGGAGCCGTCTTCTCTGGGAGGCCCATCTGCAGTCAGGCACCTTTGGTGGCAGTAAAAAGGCTTCACTGTGCAAGGGCAGGGTTCTCTGCTGGGGCTTGGTCAGCCTTCAGGACCTGGAATGTTCAGCTAGTTACTGTTTGCAGGAAACCTTGCCAGCTTTTGAATGTCTGGTGTGATTTTAATTGTTGCTTTGTCACTTTGGATGTAAAATCGCTTGGGTTATCTTGGTATTTCATTTGAAAGGGAAGTGCTGCTGCCCTTACTTGGTCCTCATTTCTTTCTTTTGTTGGGTCTGGCACTCCAAGAAGGCTTTTACTGTGTCACAGTGTGGCTGCCAGACGCACCTGTTGTAGGGCTTCCAGAACCATACACGAGCAGTCTTCATTCTTTGCTGGACTGTGAAGCTTCACTCTAAAATGAGACAATGCCTGGTTAAATGCAGAACTGTCCTGACTGTGCTTGAAGACCACGTCCAAAGTTCTCAGAGATATTCTGGACTTGTGTTGGACAGAATAAAGCCAAATAAAAAAAATGAATCAGATTTTCTTAGTATCTAAAATAGCTTGAGTTTTGTCAAGTTCAGAATTGCTCAAAGGCTTTATTCAGGCTTGGTCTTTTCCAGTCTGATGATTTACGAAGTTTTTGTTCCTGCTCAGTAACTTACACTTGCTTCCCAGATTCCCACTACAAATGGAATTCACCCTGGTGCAAAAAGCTAGCTACAGGCCTCCTGACAGTTTAAACCTCCTGATAACCATCTGCAGCTAGGGAAACTTCATGGTAAATATGAAAAGGAAGCTCTGGTGTTGCTGTATATCCTAAGCTGGAAGAGGCAAGTCCAGTTCCTTCAGATGAGGAGATGGCAACATCAGAACCACTCTAAACATGAGCAGAATCCAAGCAGCTGAGTGTGTTTAGCTCTCTTGTGCCTATTTAGATGGCATCTTCATACTGAAGTGTTGAAGTTATTTTAATGTTCAAGTTACATCATTATAAAGTTTGGTTTCCTTGGTGCTGTGCTATCATCTCCTGTCCGGCAGGAGGGGAAGGAGCCAGCACAGTTAATGTTGCCTCCTGTACCAAGCTGGTGCCAATCCCTCTGCTTTCTGCTCTAGATTGGGGATTGACAAGGGTGTGAGGAGCCAGCTTTTAGGGTGGAAGGAGAAGTCAGTGTCCCCGTGGAGCTCTGTGTCCACGCATCTTGTTCCTTCCCTTTGGTTGGTTATGAGTTTTTTGTTCATCTGTATCATGGTAGCATGAAAACACTGAAAATTGAGACACACGACTCACTCAGGCTACCTTTCTCTTTGCAGTGAACATTAGTTGGTCAGTTTATGGTCACTTATATTTGTCCTGATGACCAAAGGGTGTCACTCTGGAGAGGGACACCTATTTTTATTTCTTAGGGACATTGGGTGTTGTAGTAATGTTCTTTATATGAAACAGTTACAAATCTTAAAAGAAAACTTGGCCTAGGTACCTTTCTGGAAAGAATGTTGAGCAGTTAAAACCAGAATAACTGTGTACCTGATCCCTGATTTGGAATGCCAAGCTTTGGAAATGAATAGTCCTGATAGTCATCGGCTGTACCTGCCTGCAACGTGTTAGAGGGTTTGTAACGTCCAGCGTTTGGTGAACTGCTGATGGTGAGCTCATGGGTCAGTCACAACAGTCAAACACAGTAACTTGACCTAACGCTACCTCTCTCATATGGTTACCATTTGGACTTCTATAATGAGGAGTTTTGTCCTTTGGAATTCTGCCAGTGAAGCACCTTATTGTTAACAGTTCTACTTAGAGCTCCTAAGAATAGCTATAGAGCAAAGGGACCACTTTCACATTCACCGTAAGAGAGCCGAGCTCACTTAGAGCTCCCATAGTGGGGCTGCACTTGGAGTTTGGTTTGGTTTTTGGTTTTGTTTTCTTCCCCAAGAGCAACATTTGTCCCCATGGGTACTTTAATCTCTGTATTGCAGAGCAGATGAGTCTGTGCTGTAGGCAAGTTCCTCGGTACTTCTCACTGTTGGGTGCCCATCACGATAGAACTGGGAGTTACAAAGGTCCAAAGGCAGATGTTCCTTTCTGATGTTTTACCTTATCGCTTTTCTACTTATTTATAAACTGGGGTTCATGAAGAGGGTCATGAGTCCCTCTTGCTTGTCCTGCACCTTGTGTGACTCCTCCACAATGCAGCTCAAGTGTCCACTCTTAGATGGGTTCAATGCAGCCCTGGTTTTGTGATGGCTTTTTCCTAGTAGGCTTGTGTAGTACAATTAAACCACCCCTCAAGTGTTGCTCTCTCCTTCTGCATGGTTTAAGACCAGCCAAAGCCTTTAGATGCTCTAAAGCCAAGCACAGAGCCCAGTGGAGGGATTTGCCTTGGAATCCTGTCCTGGTTTCCTGCCCCTGGCTGTGGTTGTTCCTGTCTATCACACCCCATAAACCATCCACCAAGGCTGAGCTAAAACTATTTTTCTGTTGAGTGGAATTTTCAGCACTTATATCCTTTTTGTTGGCAATGATGGAGAATGAGGGACAGCAGAACTGCCACCTGAAACCCTGGGACTTGCTTCTGGGCTCACCTTTTAGAGTCTCCATTCTCATGCTGGTCGTTCCTTATTTTCCAAGAGTTTTGATCAACTTTTCCATGGTACAGCTGAACTTTTTCACTTGGTCATTGAGAAGAAAAGGACTTGAGAAATTTGAAACATAAGTTGGGATAAAGCATTTATTTGACCAGTAATTTTGAATAATCCTGTACTTCTATCTAGTGGTTTCATTGACTTAATTTCCCTTATGTACTCTTTTGTTCATGGATTAATCTGTTTGTGGGACAGAAGGTTTTATCAATTGTTTTCCATACTGTACAGTATATGGTTCAACATTTTGTATATTTAGTGTGGTTTTAAGTTATTGATTTGTTTTATATCAAATAATTTATTTTTCAGGTACCATTTTCATTTAAGCTTTGTTTTTACATGGGTTTCTTTTAAATAAAGTATGACACTGCTTTCCAAATGTCTCAAATGAACTTGAATCCCATTGTGTTATTTTGAGACGACTTTCTGTAAATTAACTTTCTTTTAGAAATACCTGCAAAAATGGACCAAGTTCATCCTTGGGTTGGAAATTTTCTGCAATTTGGAAAGAAAACCGGGAATTTTCATACTGAAACAGTTCAAAGGTTTGTTGGATGAAGCAGCAGCTTTATAGAAGCCTGTGGATGGAATGAGGAGCATTGTTTTCTAGTTGGTCTTTTCAGACGTAAAGGAAGCAACACCAGGAGGTTCATGCTAGTGTTAATCCTGGAATGATCAGGCAATAGAGCAAGGGAATTCTGGACTTCTGCCACATGCTCAGTTCTGGTTTTGTTGTGTACATGTTAGGAACATGATGTTTTGAAGTGATCTATGGTGGAAGGTGATGTGCTTCAAAATAGAATTAGGCTGTTACTGAATTGTTCATATTCTGTTTTTTCTTTCCTGCAGGAATTGGATTATTATTGTGCAATGTGGAATGTGACATTCTTTTCCGAGCTGTGTTCATGCATAGGTTCAAGCTTGCTCCACTAAAGATTCGGTTACTTATAGCCTGGTCATAAAGGTGGAATTCAAAGGCAGTGCATGATTTCCTTTCTGTTTTTCAGGAAAACCAAGTGTTCTCTCGATCTCCTGGCGTCCATCCTGATTAAACCAAAGCCCAGCTCCATGATTACTCAGAAACGTGCGTTGAAACTTGAAGGGAGCTCTTGAGGGCAGCGATCTGTCAGTGTGAGGTCAGGCTCTCGGAGCTGGGCTGTCACCATGCATCTGAAGCATTGGCTCTGGGTTTTATCTTAATGAATAACCTGTGAAAAGGGATGGAAAATAAGACCGAGTGTCTCATGCGTGGTGACGTGGGGCAGATGCTCCCTCAGCTCAGGCATCTCCATGCAATGCAAAACTAGATTTCCAGTTATTCCTTGCTGTAGGAATTGCTCAGTCCAGCCCTGTTCACCAAGCTGGAATTACTCCTTGTGCTAAACTGGCAAGGAACAGAAGGGAGTGTTTTCTGTTACTGTCACTATAACAACAGGTTCTTGGATCTGCAGCACCATCGGAATCAGGAGTGCTCCATCACCAGTGCAGAACTTTAGGCTTTTCCTGGGTTGTCCTTTGGATGGAGCCAGGGAACTCCAGATGTTATTCCCACGTGTTCACTCCACACAGGTTCATTCTCAGCACCGTTGTATTTTCCAGGTTTTTTGATGAGGGAAAACATGTATTAATCACCAAAAAGCTTCAAGGATGGGCCCCTCTCAGCAATGGCTGATTTTATCAGAAGCAACACAAAAACCTAGTGTAGCCCCATTGACCTTGAGGGGGAGGTTCTGTGACTGCAGAATTCCCAATGGGCTCTGGCTTTATTCTCTTCCCCCGCTTGCTGTGCTGGGGTCACTGTTGGAGTATCCTGCTGTTAAACTGCACCCCCTTCAGAATGGGGGGGAGGAGAAGAAATGGGAGTGTTCCATCTCACTGGAAGTGTGTGTGGGGGGGAAATCCTGCCTTTATATTTTATTCTGTATCTTTTGTCTTTATAAGGAAAAAGAAACAAGGGAAAATGGGAGTGTAAGGAGTGTCCTGGCTCCTGTGGTGGTGTGTTTAGCTCAGGGGTTTGTCTCCAGCAGAGCAGGAGAAGCTGTTCAAGGGAAGCACATCCAGCCTGGCCGCATCCCACCGTCCCTTCCTCATTCCATCACTTCCCCTCCTGCCTCCCCAGCACACAGCAGTGGGGGTGTTGAAGGGGCCCTGCCTGTTCCTGCTTGAGTTTTGAATCCACCTTTCTTAAACTACCTTCTGCTTCCAGCACTTGCTGACAGCAGGAGGCTGGGAGGAAAAGTGGGATGTTTGGGGTGACTTCTTTGTGTGTGTGTGTATTGCCACGCAGGTGAATGAAGGTGAATACAGGTCCCTGTGTCACTCTGCGTTGTGACAGACCTTATTTTTCAAGATTTTATGGATAGAAGCAGTGAATTTAGCCAAACTGGAGCCTGAAGCTGGTCTCTCAGAGCAGAGCTTTCACTGACATCCCTTTGGCACCTGGTTTCCTTGCCACAAAATCTGAGAGATTTTACTTGTTTGACTTCTAAGCATAAAGCTTTAAGTGTTGAACTGTTTCATCTGGATTGACTTCTCTCTGCAGAGCTGGAGCACCTGGTAAATAGCACGTCTGCAACTTAAGCTGAGGCTTACAAGGAACTTCACTGAGGTTAATAAAAGTTAGTCTGGGGCTTCCTGGTGGAGGTGGCAGTGGAGCTCTTCAACAAACTTACCTGCAGTTCTGTTTGAAGGTGCTGGAACAGATTCTGCCCCCAAGCCCAGCCCAGCCTGCTCCAAAGAAGGATGATAAAAGAGAGCAGAGCAGAAATGGTTTGTTTTTAGGAGCACTGTTGAGTGCTGGACCTTTGGGGGGGCACAGATGGAGCACACATTGTGCTTGTGGGATTTCAGGGCTATGCTGGAGCCTGGGACCAGCCACGGTAAGTGAGCTCCAGAGTCCTGGCATGGGCGGGTTTGGGCTCAGTCAGGCCAGGCTTGCTCAGCTTGGGCCGAAGCACTTGTGACCCTGTACCCTGCTGGGCCTTTCTGTCCTGAGTATTTATAGAATCATGGAATGGTTTGGGTTGAAGGGACCTTAGAGCTCCTCCAGCTCCAACCCCTGCCAGGGCAGGGACCCCTTCCACTGGAGCAGCTTGCTCCAAGCCCCTGTGTCCAACCTGGCCTTGAGCACTGCCAGGGATGGGGCAGCCACAGCTTCTCTGGGCACCCTGTGCCAGCGCCTCAGCACCCTCACAGGGAAGAGCTTCTGCCTAAGAGCTCAGCTCAGTCTCCCCTCGGGCAGGTTCAAGCCATTCCCCTTGGCCTGTCCCTACAGGCCCTTGTCCCAAGCCCCTCTCCAGGTTTCTTCTTCTTTCTGCTTTGTTTCTTCCAAGAGCCAGCCTGTACGTACACGTTTATACGTGCATACACACACACATAGTACCTGTGTGTTTGCACATGTATTAAACTGTGTATGCTGTATTTGGTTTGTTTAGAATACACACATTTATCTCTTAATTGTATGGTTTAGTATGTATGTTTTATGTGCACACGTGTGCTATTCACACACTACAGAAGTAATTCATACAAAGATGTGTATCCTTAGGAATGCAGGTTAGAGGAAAGGGTAGTTAATGATATAACAATAGTGGTGTGATGAGCTTAAGGAAGTGCCCTCAGCTGGGTAAAATGTCAGCATCCAAACTTTTCTGAAGTTTCTCTTTAAGTACCTCTAGAAAGTGACCACATCTCTGTATTGGATCTCAGTTACGATCAGCAGTGGTCCTGGGATGCTCCATGTCATACTTTCCAGGAAGCACCTCCCCATCAGTGTCCCATGAGACAAAATGCTGTCCCTTTGGGAGTCAGAAATGACTTTCAGTTTGGTTTAAGTCGCCCTTACTCTGCTTTTTCCCCTTCCTGTTTCTACCGTATTTCATGGGCCTTAATGTTCTAATCCTTTCTCACTGCAGGCATGGAGGAAGGAAGAAAACCCAGCTCCAAGGAGGAATGTGAAGGTAGTGCAATGGCGGCACAGTGCCAGGGCACACGGCGCGCGTGCCTGGGGTGCACCCTGGGCCCTATCCCTGGATTCCAGGACAGATCCTGGCTGCTTGAGCTGCCTTAGATAAAACCTGTTGAAGCCTTGCCCGAGTGTCTCAAGTGCTTCTTTTCTGAGCAGGTGCAGTTAAGGGCTGAGGTGGGAGACACCTGCATGGCTTTGCCTTCTTCAGTCACTTGGCTCACACCAGGGATTGTCTCATAGGATCCCAGCCTGGTTTGGGTTGGAAGGGACCTTAAAGCTCATCCGGTCCCAACCCCTGCCAGGGCAGGGACCTCTTCCACTGGAGCTGCTTGCTCCCGGTCCCAACCCCTGCCAGGGCAGGGACCCCTTCCACTGGAGCCACTTGCTCCAAGCCCCCGTGTCCAACCTGGCCTTGAACAGTTTTAAGGCTGTGATTTTAAGGCTCTAATTGGAATTTGGACTTAGGGACAGATCCATAGCTGGGGAAATCGGCATGGTTGCAGTTGGGCCTGGTCAGTGTAAGAAGACAGCCAGCAGAAACAGACACAGCTGGGCCTTGCATCCCTGCCATTAAATGACTCCCACTGTCCATGCCAAGGGTGGAATGTTTCAACCAGCTGAAAATGCAGGATTTTGAGCCCCAGACAAAGATTGCCTTCATTCCAGTTTATAGCTGAGAACCCAGGAATGAAACCAAATAAAAAAACAGTGATTAGAAAAGAAATCTCTCTACTAAAGCAAAGCAGGAGGTGGTGTCGGGTGCAGGGGTTGCTCTGCGGGTGCTGCTGCACAGTCCTGTGGTCTTCAAAGAGTAGAGGGGTTTCCCACGTCTTGTGCCAAGTAAGGCCTTTGTCTTGCAGAGCATCCACACAGGGCAGTCACCATGTCCGTGGTTAGCACCAGGATCTCGTTCCCAGGCGCAGGGATGCTGCGATCTACACCTGGCAGATGTTATAATGCACTCCTGTCTGACCAAACAAGCTTTCTTCCATCACTTCAATCACGTTGTCCTTGGGCTGTGGGTGTGAGGCCTCCCCAGAAGGGAGCTTGGCTGTGCTGCCTCCTGGATCCTGCTGCAAAAAGGAAAAGCCACCATTGAATTTCTTAGGGCAGAACATGGGTTGTGTCTGCAGGGTCACCCTGTGCTCCCCTGTGAGCCCGGGCAAGCACCACGTACCACAGGAGCCTTTGGAGTGAAGTCCTTCTCACAGACGTGTGCTATGATGCCAGCAGCCAGAGCATCACCAAGGACATTGGTCATCGTCCGAAATCGGTCCCTAGGTAAGAGAGAGGCGTGAGGATGCGTTTGGTGATGGTGCTGGCACCCAGTGCTGCTCAGAGGTGGAAGCCATCTCGTGCCCCAAGAGTGGAACTTTCACCTGAGAAATTAAACTTCCTTTTCATGTGAAAGAGAGAGAAAAGCAGCCCGGAGAGCTGGCGCTGTGCCCTCTCTGCCCAGGGTGGAGGCACTGAGCTTCGTGAAGCTCAGAGCACGACCCACGTGTCAGCTTCAGATGCAGCACCGCGAGCTGGCACTGCCCACCCAGCCCCAGCACTGCACTGGGAATCACTTACAGAGCCCAGTCCACTGCGATGATGAGAGTGATGTCATCTGTGGGCAGCCCCACCGAAGTGAGCACGATGACCATGGTGACGAGCCCGGACTGGGGGATCCCGGCTGCCCCTATGCTGGCTGCTGTAGCTGTGATGCTGCAAAGAGAAGGTGGCCATGCAGACAGTGTGGGGCTGGGGGGAAGGCAAAGTGTGTTTGAATGGCAGAGTAAGTTTCTCCTCTGTGGAAGGATGTTCTGCTCCCAAAGGAGAGAGAAAGCTCCTCCAGCCCCAACCCCTGCCAGGGCAGGGACCCCTTCCACTGGAGCAGCTTGCTCCAAGCCCCTGTGTCCAACCTGGCCTTGAGCACTGCCAGGGATGGGGCAGCCACAGCTTCTCTGGGCACCCTGTGCCAGCGCCTCAGCACCCTCACAGGGAAGAGCTTCTGCCTCAGAGCTCAGCTCAGTCTCCCCTCGGGCAGGTTCAAGCCGTTCCCCTTGGCCTGTCCCTGCAGGCAGCTCTAGTGCTGCCCGTCTGCAGCCTGGATTGCACCTACAGGCAAAGTCTTTGATAGTGGTTTTGCAGCAAATGCTGTGGGTGCAGAGCCCTGCTCTGCTGCTGCACGCTGCAGCCTTCCCTACGCCTCAGCTTCCCAGCAACGTTCACTGAGCAGTAGCAAGGTCTCTGCTGGGAGGGTGTTATAAAGCCCAAAGAGACGAATGGAGAGAAGTGATTCAGGTGCTGCACATTTACCTGATGGTTATAATTTGTCCCAAATCCAAGTCATATTCATTGACCTGGGCAATAAAGATTGCAGCGACCGCTTCGTAGAGCGCGGTGCCGTCCATGTTGATGGTGGCGCCGACGGGGAGGACGAACCGTGCCACGCGTCGATCTATGCCATTGTTCTCCAGGAGACACTTGAGGGTGATGGGCAAGGTTGCAGAGCTGCAGAACAAGAGATGAGCGTGATTCTGTTCCCTGCAGCCCCTTCAGGCACTGGAGCTGCTCTCAGGTCTCCCCTCCAGGAGCCTTCTCTTCTCCAGGCTGCCCCAGCCCAGCTCTCTCAGCCTGGCTCCAGAGCAGTCATTGCAGTGATGAAGGCATCGCTCTCAGACCAGCAGAGGGAGGTGGTTACAGCTGGGTTGGACATCCCTGGTGCCCACATTACCCACGGGGGTGCTGCAGGGCACAACCCCAGATGCTGTTCTCGGGATTATGGGAAGAAGCATTTGAGAGACCGGGGGACCCTTTGCCTTGTGAAATGGTCCCTCAGCAGATGCTTGCAGCTGAGTCCTCCAGGAAGGGCAGAGCTGGCCCGCGTCGAGTTCCTTCTTTTAAAGAATGTTTTAAAGAATGACAATAAAATGGATAATCTAAAATTTTAAAATCTTCTCAGACAGAACTTTTCCTTGGAGGAGCTTTGGGATGCACAGACCTTGAGTGAAGGTTTTTGGTGCTCAGAGGAGCTTTTGGTGTTTCCAGTTCAAACCCAGGCCCATAAACCCACCCTGGTTTATAAAGCACTTCCAAATCCCTGTTTTGAATCCTTTGAAAGGGAAGTGACTGCAGCAATTCCAGTAAGCTCACACAGACACAGACGCTGCTGGTTTGCTTGGGGAAGACCCCATGAGAGGAGCGGCTGGCTCTGAAGATGCCCTAAGGCTCATCCTGCTGGGGACCAGTGCTGAGCATCCCGCTTCCCACTGAAACTGGGAACATTCTCATGTCAGATAGTGCTGGAGCATGACTGCTTTCTCTGGATTATTCCTGTTCTCCCCCAGCCCCCCCAGGGTGCACGTGTCCTCTCCCTCCACCAAACCCGATGCCTCCTCAGGTGCATCAGCATATCTCAGCCACGTTTTCCTACCTGGAGGAGGTAGCTAAGGCGATGAGCAGGGCCTGCAGCATCCCCTGGATGAAAGCAAAGGGGTTTTTCTTGGTGATGAGCACAAAAAGCAGAGGTAAGATAATGAGTCCGTGGATGGCCAGTCCTGACACCACCGTAACGGCATAAAGCCCCAGCTTCTGGCCTATAACTGACGGGTCTTCCATCTCCAGGATCTTTCCAGCAATGAGAAACACGATGCCAAAGGGGAAGTACCTGCAAAGCATAAACATCAGCGATGATTCATGAGGCTGAGCAGCGATCAAAGCACTCCACGGCCATCACTGCGGTGTCTGGTACCACGGGGTGCACTCAGACCAAGATCACCCCAGTGCTCACAACACCCTTGGAGCTCTGTGGTCAGCGTTCCCGCGAGGCAGCGGGTAAGGGAACAACTGAAGGGTGGAGATCAGGGTTACCAGACTGCCATGGAGACGATCTTCATAACGGCCTCGTTCAGGCACTGGCACACGTTCACCAGCGGCGCTCCCCGCTCGCCCATTCTTCCCAGGAGCAGTCCTGCAACCAAGCACATGGATGTGGTAACAGGATCCTGGGGGCAGCCCGAGCCGTGCCAAGCGCCTCCAGGCTCTGGTGGCCACAGAATGGGTTTCACTGGGAGCCTGGTGGGGTTATGTGTAGGTGAGGATGTGGTGATGAGTGGCAGCCCTGTCCTTGCTCTGCAGTGAAGAGTCAGACACCATGGCTGCCACTTGGACGAACACTCAAAAGTGTGCAGATTTGCCCAAAACCTCCAGTTCTGGGTTTTATTATCACAGAATCCCAGCCTGGTTTGTGCTGAAGGGACCTTAAAGCTCCTCCAGCTCCACCCCCTGCCAGGGCAGGGACCCCTTCCACTGGAGCAGCTTGCTCCAAGCCTGTGTCCAACCTGGCCTTGAGCACTGCCAGGGGTGGGGCAGCCACAGCTTCTCTGGGCACCCTGTGCCAGCGCCTCAGCACCCTCACAGGGAAGAGCTTCTGCCTCAGAGCTCAGCTCAGTCTCCCCTCGGGCAGGTTCAAGCCATTCCCCTTGGCCTGTCCCTGCAGGGGACTTGTCCTTGTCCAAAGCCCCTCCACGCTGTGCAGGACCCAGGGAGCGCACATGGGAGGCTGGGGCTGACTCAGGTGATCTCCCACTGCGCCCCAAGCCGGTGCTGATCCCTCCCACGCTGGCAGGGTGCTGGGGGATAATCTCAGAACACAATGGCCCCTTCTCCCTGTTTGGCTGGGCTGGGGCCGGGCACGTGGTCTGCGAGCAGGAGCTCAGCAGGGTCCCCAGGTGTCCCTGGTGAGCAGATGGGGCTGGCCAAGGGGACGGGCTCCTGCCATAGGCATCTACTGCAGGGTCTCTCAGCGCGTCTGCCTCTGCCCTCTCGCTGTGGCCATCTCCAGGCACTCCCTGTATCGTAGCCTTCACAGCCAGGTGCTCTCCCCAGCACTGCCTCCACCCCTCCAATCCTCTAATTGGCTTCTTGGTTCCTCACACACTGAATTCAAGCTCCGTGCTCTCACCTCTTAATCTACAGGTAATCCTGTCCCCATGCTTGCCTCATCTCCTCCTACTCTTTCCCAGCCTGATTCCTCTCTCACACTCATTGTCCTTATGCTTCAGGTTTCTCCTTCCCATGACTTTCTCCCCTGTAAACCTTCCTCCTTCTCCCTTGCACACAGAATTATGAAATGGGTTGGGTTGGAAGGGACCTTAAAGCTCCTCCAGCCCCAACCCCTGCCAGGGCAGGGACCCCTTCCACTGGAGCAGCTTGCTCCAAGCCCCTGTGTCCAACCTGGCCTTGAGCACTGCCAGGGATGGGGCAGCCACAGCTTCTCTGGGCACCCTGTGCCAGCGCCTCAGCACCCTCACAGGGAAGAGCTTCTGCCTCAGAGCTCAGCTCAGGCTCCCCTCGGGCAGGTTCAAGCCATTCCCCTTGCCCTGTCCCTACATCCCTTGTCCCAAGCCCCTCTCCAGGTTCCCTGCAGCCCCTTCAGGCACTGGAGCTGCTCTGAGGTCTCCCCAGAGAATGGAAAACCGGGGGAGGAAACATCCCCATCCCTGCTGGGCTGGTACCGATCGTTGCTGAGAAGATGACGATTCCCAGGACGTTCATCTCGTTGCTGGTTCCGGGCAGGGTCCTGTAGGACATCTCTGGAGGCGGGGTCAGCTCCAGGAACACGGGCCGATGGAGCTCAGGATTTTCATCGTCAGGTGCAAAGTAGATAAAACTGAGAGTTTTCCCCGTGGCCTTTGGAATGCCGGGAGCCTTCAGCACCGGCACCAGAACCGTTCGGTACTGCCACGGAAGCAAAGCAGGGAGCTCAGGGTCCTCCTGGCTGCATCCTGCTCTGAGCACAGAGCCAAAGCCACCACCATGATGGGTGGAGAAGGGAAGAAGCAGAAGGAGAAGGGGGAAGAGGAAGGGAAGCAAAGGGAAGGGGAAGGGAACTTACCTGCTGGAATGAAGCTTCAACGAGGTTAGAAGGAAACATGTTTCTGTGAGAGAGCAATGGCACAGGAGTTAAAGCACGTCTGAGAGCACAGGGAACAGCGTGGGGAGCACCTCTGGTGGGTGCGAGGCCAAGAGGACCGTGACAGCCACCACCAGCTTGGTGTGAGCCGAGGGCAGAGAGGTGCTGGTGCCCGTCAGCATGGCCCTGGTTCTGCTCCCCCAGGGAACTCAGTGTCCCCAGGAGCCTCAGGGGGATCTCGCCTGTGGAGCACCATCCTCAGGCTGCCCCTGCTCAAAGCCTGCCTCGTACCTGATCAGATCCAGCAGCGCATCCGCGGAGCTCAGCACCGCGCTCCCCACCGAGTACTGGTCCTTCTGGGCAGCTGCGCCCGGGTGGATGCTGACCACCAGGATGATCCCCACAGTCACTGCCAGGAAGGTTGTCCAGAGGTAGTAGGTGATGGTGAGCACCCCCATCTTCCCACAGGCCTTGGTGTCCATGGTGGCCAGCCCAGACATGAGGCTGCGCCAGAGGAGGTCGCGGTCAGTGCCTGCTCCCAAACTGCACAAGATGCAGCTGATGGGGGACATCTCCAGAGGGATTTGAAGCAGCGCCTCAGGGCCTCACTGAGCTCCTGCACATTGGAGTGCCAGGTTGTGGCAACCCAGGTTAAGCTGCAGAGGGCAGGAGATGCCTCTCCAATCCCTTCCCTAGGCTTGGCCATGTTTTCTGTCATCTCCATGGGGAAAGAAGGAAATATTCCTGGTGTATTTTGATGGTAAATAACTAATGCTGCTCTTTAGGGGGTGACACCGTTCTCTTCAGGTCTCTGATGTCCTGTGCTGCTGCTGCGCGTCACTGGGAGCAGTGAGGAGAGGTCTTAGCAGGGTTTCTCACATCCTGGTGGGGATGGACCCTGCTCCCCCAGGGGAGAGCTCCTGGCTCAGACGTCGTGGACACAGAAGCTTTCCTAAGCAGCCCATAAACTACTCTTAAACAAAACTGGACTAAAACCAGAGAGGGTTCTACAGGAGGGCTGCTGGTGGTGATGCTTCCTCAGTCCACCACCATCATGGGGGACACCAAGCCAGGGCTGCTGGGGTTATCCTCACCCCAGGCCATTTTGGGGTGATGTCACAGGATCCCAGACTGGTTTGGGCTGGAAGGGACCTTAAAGCTCCTCCAGCTCCAACCCCTGCCAGGGCAGGGACCCCTTCCACTGGAGCAGCTTGCTCCAAGCCCCTGTGTCCAACCTGGCCTTGAGCACTGCCAGGGATGGGGCAGCCACAGCTCCTCTGGGCACCCTCTTCCTCATCAGGAGATCATGGGGTGATGGAGAGGTGGTATTTTAGAAGCAGAAGATGGTGTCTTACCTGGAGGTGATCAAGGGTAGGATGAGCATCTTCAACATCCTCATAAGGAGCTCTCCAGGAAAGGAGAAATACTGCTTCTCCTGCACATAAAGCAGAGCTGTTGTGTCAGATGAGAGTTGAGAAGTGGATGCTGACTGTGGGTAAAGGGCTCAAACCTGATAAATTCACCTTTTTCCCCAAAAGACCCAGCTCTGAGCTTGGTTCTAACATGGCAGCCATCTGCCCAACCATCCATCCATCCATCCATCCACCATCCACCCATCCATCCATCCATCCATCCATCATCCATCCATCATCCATCCATCCATCCATCCATCCATCCATCCATCCATCCATCCATCATCCATCCATCATCCATCCATCCATCCATCCACTATCCATCCATCCATCTGTCATCCATCCATCCATCTATCATCCATCCATCCATCATCCATCCATCCATCATCCATCCCTCATCCATCCCTCCATCACTGCTGCTGTAGAGGTGTCAGGGATGGACCTGAGATGGCCTCAAGTCAAGCAGGTTCAACTTTTGGTTACTCTGAAGCAATCAACCCCATGGAGCTTTGGGGGCTGCCCAGGCAAACCATGCTGGTGCAGGGGGTGCGAGGAGCAGCAGACATGAGCAGCGCCTCTTTTCCCAGTGGGTTTCTCAGCTTCCTGACCCTTTCCCATCGCGGCTGCTGGGGACCACGTGCAGGGCTGCGGCAGGAGGATGGGACGGGACAGGACGGGACAGGACGGGACGGGACGGGACGGGATGGGATGGGACGGGGCAGAGGGCGGATGGGCCCGGTGCACGGCAGGACAAGGGCAGGAGCCCCGCGGCTCTGGGCACCTGCACCGGGGTGCAGGGGGTTACAGCAGCGTCAGTGCAGCACCGAGCTCACCCGGCTGCGGGCGGCTGATGCTGGAGGTGTAATTGAAGTGACAGGGCCCTGCTAAACCCCAGCGGGTGACGGGGGTGTTCCAAGGCCAGATGAGCTCCCCCTGAGGCCTGGCTGCAGATCAGGGTTCAACCAGTGCCAGGCAGCCGATGTCATGGAACCGCCTGGGTTTGGGCTCAGTGCTGTTGAACGGGTCCTGGAAGGCGCTGAGCAAACACCTTTTAGGTGCATTTTTGTCACTGCCTTGGTCTCTGGGGGTGCTCAGGGGAAGGTGACCCCCCCCCCCAGCTCTCCACTACCCCCTATTTATTGCTGGGACATCTCCAGAGGGAGGAAATGTGCTTTGGTTGAGCATCTGCACAGCCAGGGAGAGTGGAGCCCTCAGACCCCAGCACTGCTCTTTGTGGTTCTGAGCATCCATTCCCCCCTTTCCCATCCCCATCCCACCCGGAGGTCCCTGCAGCCCCTTAGGGTCCATCCCACAGCCTCTGCTCCCAGTGGAGGATGCAGGATTTCTCCTGCAGCTTTGGTGTTTGTTGGCAGCTTTTGGGTCACAGAATAACCCAAAGAAAAGCCATTGGGAGAAACCTGCTCAGGTTTCTTGGGCAGGAGCCTTTGCGTTTGGGGCTGTGCCCCTCTGTGGCCATCGATGCCGATGTGCTGCCAGCACCGGCGCTGGCTGCCCCCCCTGCCCTGCTCCATCCTGCTCGCTCCCTTGCCCGTCCTGCTCACACTTACCAGCTCCGTCAGCTCCAGTGCTCGCAGCAGGGACCCCAGGAGGCAGCCGGTGACAACCGACAGCATGGAGAGCGTCAGGAGCCCATTTCTCTGCCAGAAAGCCCGTGCCCGCTTCCAGGCCCGCAGGAAGGTCGTGGACAGCGAGTCCAGCAAAGCTCTCCTGGCCTGCTCCCACATGGCCACCCTCAGCTGCCCAGGCAAAGCCCCTCGCAGCAGCTCCTGGCCCTGCTCATCGCGCCGGCACCGCCACACTGCCGGACCTGGCCCCTCACCCGGAGCCGAGCGCACCGGGCGCTAATCCCAGGCACCAAAAGCTCCAGGGCTCTTTGGGAGCCTTTCCCATAATGGAAAGTGACGTCTTCGATGGTTAATCTGGGCTTGGCATCCGGCCGTGCCAGTGCTGAACCCTCCACCCCCACCAGGACCAGGCTGCCTGCTGCAGGCTGGGAGCAGGGATCCAGCCTGAGCACCTTTCCCATCCCAGTTCCTGATCCACAGGGATCACCTCCTGCCCCACATCTGTCAAGGGCTTCAGGAGAGCAAAGCCTGCAGAGGAAGACTGTTTCCCAGTTAACTGGAGAACCTCCAGTGGGAAGGTTTGCCGACGGCACCAAGCTGTGTGGTGCAGTTGATGCGCTGGAAGGGATGGGATCCAGAGGGACCTGGACAGGCGCAGAGGTGGGGCCATGGGAACCTCATGGAGTTCAACAAGGCCAAGTGCAAGTTCCTGCCCCTGGGTCACAAACACAGGCGGGGCAGAGGAGTCCCTCCGGGGCAGGACAGCAGCTGAGGGATGGGGGGGTGGCTCAGGGGTACAGCGCTGCTCCCAGCTGAGGATGCTCCGGGAATGGGGAAGGTTAAAACCTCTCTGAACCAAAACCTCTGTGCCCAGATTTTAAACACACACACACACACACCCCCACCAATGAGACCACAAACCCGTCTCATACCATTGCCATGTTTTACACACAAAACAAAGCCAAGAGAAGGTGTGGCCTGGATCATGTTTTGTCCCTTGGGAGGTCTCTGGTGGTGGTGTCTTGTACCATGGATCCTCACCCTGCCAGATAAAACGTTTGCTCTCAGTACAGCTGCAATCCAGTTGTTCCTATTCAGCTCCACGGGTGAGCCAGGGGATAGAATGGGCATGCTGGGAGTGAGCAACTGCTTGGGAAAGGGCACCCCTGAGTTGTCCAGGGGATCAGGGACGTCTCGAAGGCCACCAGAGTCCCGTGGGGCTGGCAGCAGGGGAGGGAGCAAGCTGAGAAGGAAAAGGGTGAGGGGAAGCCCAAAGCATTGTGAATGGGGGAACAGGGGGACCTGTGGGGAACTAAGAGCAAGGGAGGGACGTCCCAGGGAGAGGGAATCACAGAGAGGGAAAGGGGCCAAATGGCAAGAGGGCAGGAGGGGAGGGCCCAGTGCTGCTGCGGGCTCACTGCTTGGTGAAGGGGCTACAGCAGCGGTTCCCTCCGCACCTACCGTAGATCTCAACATCATCATAGATGTCAGTGTCCCTGCAAGGAAAGACAAGGGCGCTGTGAGCCAAGGCAAGGGCTCTGCATATGTCCCGTCTCTCCTAACGTATCCCTTCGCCTCTTCCCAACGCTGGGCTCTCCCCACGGAGATGGGATCCTCTGGCATGGGGTAAGCATGGCTCTGGCTCCTCTCCTGTTGTACAGGGATGGTGAACCTCACCAGAAACAGCAGCTCCCAAGCCCAGGGTAAGTACCTGATGCTACACTTATGGTAACTGCCTGGGTTGGATGGTTTTGAGCTGGCAGCCCATGGCCAGGGCTGGTTTGGTGCTGGGGACTCACTGGGCAGTTGCCAGAGCCCATGGAGTGGGGAGGAAGGGCTGGGGAAGGGGTACTCACAGGTGCAGCATCGCGCTCCGGGGCACGTAGCCATCTGCAACAGGGAGGAGAAGCACTTCAGGCTGTGCCAGGAGTGGGGCACGAGCGGGGACTCACCCCAGCACCTGCCCTGCACAGGACAGAGCTTAGCAATGTCTTGCATCCCATGGGGGGGCTGGGACAGGGAAGAGCTTGGCTCTTGGAAGCTGGACCGCTGGGAGGAACCTGCTGGAGGCAATGCAAGGGAATGCACCTGCCAGGCTGGGTGGCAGCAGCCTGGGAAGAGCCTGATCCCAGTCTCTCTGTTGATGGGATCTGCAGCGCATTCCATCTGAGCATCATAGAACCATAGAATCTGGCCTTGAGCACTGCCAGGGATGGGGCAGCCACAGCTTCCCTGGGCACCCTGTGCCAGCGCCTCAGCACCCTCACAGGGAAGAGCTCCTGCCTCGTATCTAATGTGAACTTCCCCTGTTTAAGCACAAGGCATCACCCCTTGTCCTGTTGCTACAGTCCTTCAGTGCAAACGTGGCTTGTGGAGCCCAGGCCTACTGCAAAGCCAGGCTGGTGGCCAAGACCGTGGGAAGTGCTTTTAGCAGAGGGAGACAAGAAGCCTGGCCAGCAGCTGGAGTGCTGGCGCCAGGCAGGAGGAAGAGCAGGAGGTTTTGCAAGGAGAACTGGGAGCACTGGAGAGCCATGGCCAAGGGCATGCCTCTCTGTCTGCTGCTGTGTGTGTGCATGAAGACACTTGTTCCCAAAGCTGTGACCCCACTAAGGCAAAGCCTCAGCCCCCAGACTTACACCTCCTCTGCCTGTTTCTGCAGAGGATTTGCTCCTGGTTTGTAAACTGAATCACATCAAGGATTTCCCCTCGTCTCAGCGGCAGGCTCTTCCCTCCACCCCTCTTCTCCGTCACCGCGGGGTCCACCATCATCTGGGTCAGGACATTGATGCTTCCCTCAAACTGAGACACAGAGCAGTGAGTGCTGCAGCTCAGCAGCTGCCCCCAGGTCACTGGGAGCTGGGCAGCTCCATCCACTCTCCCTTGGAAATAGCAAGGCCCCTGGTGCGTGGGACTGGTCTGACCTGGGGATGTTTCAGCGGGAAACAGGGAAGGTGAGAGCTGGGCTCCGTGCAGCACAGCTCCCCTGCCACTGCCTTGCTGCTCACCTTGAACTTCTTCTGGAACTCCCTGTCTGCCTTCTCTTCCTTCTTGCAGTCCTTGAGTGTCATTGGCTTCATCTGCCGGGGGAGCTGGGCTCCTCTGCAGGGCCGTTGTGAGTCACAGGGGACCCCACACTCCGCTCCCTCCCTTCTCCCTCCCCTTCTCCCTCTCAGCCCCATCACATTTCCCTTCACCCCCTAAGGGGCTCCCAGGCCAGGTTTAAACCAGCCACTTGTGCTCTTCACCACGGAGATTTCCATTGCAAGCCCAGCAGAGAGCATTCAACCAGCAGCTTTGTCAGAGCAGCAAGGAGCCCTGCTATTGTGGGACCCTCAGCAAGAGCAAACCCCCCCGTTACCTCTGTGCAGCTGCCAGCAAGGCAAACCCAGGAGAGCCTCCACCAGCGTCTCCACCTGTAAAACCAAACCCTGGGAGAGGGGCTGCCATGAGGCTGCTGCAAGGTGTTAGACACGAGACCGAACCATCAGCAAGAGCCTGGAGCCACCCCTGCCCTTGCCCCCTGAGCGGGGGGGGATCAGGGCTTCCCCTGCCCATTTACAAGGCACCAAAGAACCCATCAGCGTCCCGTGCCCAGGAGCGGTGGGCTCTGCTGCTGCCCAGGGCTTGCTGGTGCTGCAGTGCTCACCCCACAGCCTCCTGTACCCACCTCCTCTGGGGCAGGGATCTGCTGGCGGCTGGCACGTGGGGGACAGCGGGAAGCCTTGGGCTCTCCTGATGAGCCCAGCAGGCTCCACATCATCATATATCTCATCTTCAGCCCTGGGAGGAGGAAGAGAGTGATTACAAAGCCCTGCTGCAGTGAGCTCCAGGGGCCAAGAGCAGGATGAAGGCTACCAGGAGGAGGCTGGGCTGCCTGTGGGTCCCAGGTGTGGGGCAGAGAGGGACAGCAGCTCGGTGCCCTGTGCCAGCTTTTCCCATAGGGATGGAAGCCACCTAGAATACAAGCGCTGCCTTGGTCCTTACCCTGTTACACTTGAAGCATCCTGTGCTGGGAACCGTGCTGGGGCTGATGCAGCATTGCCTGGTTTGGGGTGACCTACGGTAGAAGGAGGAACAGGAGGGAACAGTGAGGGATTATTTCACGTCCTTGGCTCAACTCTATCACCCACCCTAAAGTCAGAGCCTCCGTGGGCTAGATTTAGTGCAGAAGGATGAGGGGGGCTAATAGTGACTGCAATCAGGGTCCAGAGAGGAGTTTTTAGATGTGTTTTTCCAATTCTTATGCCCCTAATGCTACTTTCTCCCTGGAGCAGTGATGAAAGGGGAGGGAAGAGACCAAAATGAGTATTTTGAATGTGGTGAAACCCCCAAACTTCAGACCTGTACCCGAGTCAGGGCAAATCCCAGGTGTCTCCATGTGCTCAGGAGCATCATTGCCCAGGAGGTGGCTCAGTTTTGCAGCTCCCCAAAGGAAAGGAAGAGAAGCTCTACTCTTGTGGCCGTACCCAGCTGAGCACCCCTTGGTGGCTCCGTGGCAGGGTGGATGGGCGCCCCAGGATGTGCAGACGCACCAAACTTCTCCAGATCCACGACAGGAGGGCGCCTGGGCTTGGCTGGCCTCGCTCCCAGTGCCTTGATGTGTGGCAAAGGCTTCCTCCGAGGCTGAGCTGGGTGCCCAGGCTGCACAGACACTGCTGGAGCAGCCCTGGCCTTGGCGAGCGGCCGGGCCCGCGGGGCTGAGCTGCTCCGGGGAGGATGAGGCCTGGCTCCCACCTCCCTGCCCACCGCATCCCCTCCTCCTGGCTCGGCAGGGGCTGGGTGGAAGCTGCCGCCCTGAGCAGTTCCCTTCTTCACTTGCACCCACCCGGGGGGCTCAGCGCCGGGAGGAGGAGGTGAACGCGGTCCCACACCTTCACCGTGTGATGGAGAAGCCCGGCTCAAGTCCCCCCTCCTGCTCCGGGGGGGCTCTGGCTCTGCTGCAGAGCGACTCTGGGGGCAGGCACCCACTATGGGAGGCTCTCTCCTGTTCCCTTGGAGCTGTGCCCGTAGGTGTCTCACCACGGCCTCTTTCCTCTCCTGCCAGCACAAGGAAAAGCTCCGGTTAAAACACCAGGGAGGGAGCCCTGCTCTGGGGAATGCAGTATTTCTTCAACGTGGCCTCACACTAAGCCTTCTCCATGAAATGCGCTCAAAGAGGTCCTGGAACACAGAATCCCAGCCTGGTTGGGGTTGGAAGGGACCTTGAAGCTCCTCCAGTTCCAAGCCCCCGCCACAGGCAGGGACCCCTTCCACAACACTGCCTTGCCCTGGTCCTGGCTCCCATGAAGTCCATGCTGAAGCCAGGGCAGTGGGAGCTGGTGGGGGAACACTGGGGGCCAGCAGCGGAGGAAAGCCCAGGACAGTGCTGCTGATGCTCAGCTGCCAAAGCTGGGGGCAGAAAACAGCCACGCAGCAGCGGCTCTGCCCTACTTCTGTGACCAGCGAGCTTCCTGTGCTGCTCACACCGTGCACGAGGGGACCGGGACAGGCGGGCCCCAGCGCAGAGCTGCCCCACTTCCTGAATGACCACAAAGCACCTTTATATCCAAAGCCTCCAGTAAAGGCTGAGTGAGCCTCGGAGGGTGCCAGGTTTGGGGGACAGCACAAGGCTTGGCTGCAATGGGGCTGACATTTTTCCTAAGCTTCCCAGATGGACTTTATGGGAAAGGAGAGATGATCTTCACTGTGAGGGTGCTGAGGCCCAGAGGAGCTGTGGCTGCCCCATCCCTGGCAGTGCTCAAGGCCAGGTTGGACACAGGGGCTTGGAGCAAGCTGCTCCAGAGCTTTAAGGTCCTTTCCAAACCAAACCAGTCTGGGATTCCATGATTCGATTCCACTGTTCTTACCCTCCTCCTCCTTTCCCCCCCGTGTCCACAGACACAGTGTGCACAGTCTGCTCTGGGGCTGCCTGCCCTGCTTGCCCTTGGCAAGGCGTAGGCTTTGCTTTCTGAAGCTCTCCTCCCTTTGGGATTTCAGCTTGGGTTTGTGCTTGTGTAATTCCTCTGTCACAACAGACAGGCTCTTACGCAAAGCAGCGAGCTCAGGCCGGTCAGAACTGAAGTACAGCTCTATACACACACCTCACTGGTGCCGGTACCGGTGCCGGTGCCCGTTCCCCTCCCGGCCCTCGGCACTCACCCCATTTCCCTGCTGAGTGCCGTAAGCAGCGTTCCGGGAGCAGCCTGTGCTGCAGCAGCACGAGCCCACTGCTCCAGGCACGCTCCAGGCACGCTCCAGGCACGCTCCAGGCACGCTCCAGGCCCTCACCCAAAAGCGACTTCTTCCACACTCTCCCAGGTGCCACTGGGATTCCTGGCACCGACTGATTCAGGTTTGTCACCAGCAGTTGTGGGGCTGCTGCCTGGGCCCAGAGCCCTCGGTCACCGGGATCCACTCCAGCTTTCCCAACACATCCGGGGTCTGGTGGTGCTCCCCGGCCTCCTCTGCCCCCTTCACCGGTGTTTGTGTGCGCCCCAGCTCCACCCAGCCCAGGAACTGGTGGGAGAGCCTGGAGGCTCTGACCAGCTCGGATGCACAGTGTCCTCCTGGTCCCCCAGGAGTGAGGGCCTCAACACCATCCAGCCCCCATGAGGCTCCTCCCAGAGCCCTTCCAAGCAGGACACACGGCTCTCCCTGTGCCCATCCCCAGGCCCAGCACAGCCCCGCTCTGGTTCTTACCATTTTCCATCAGCAGCCGCTTCCCTGCTCCCCTCCTTCCTGAAGCCCACCCGAGGCACCCCAGCAGAAGGACCCACGCAAAGGGAGCCTCTCCGAGGTGCCCTCGCCTGAAACCAGCAGCTCCTTCCTCACGGCTGGTGCGAAGCTGTGTGCAAGCCAGGAAGCCGCTGTAGCCTGACCATGAGAGCACATGGAGGAGGAAGAGGAGGAGGAGCAGCTCTTGGGGCACCGTTAGCTTGGGCTCTGCTGCTGTTGGGGAGCTTGGAGCCCACCAAGCCCTGCTGCGCTTAAAATCCCACCCAGAAATAGCCTGGGTTCAGGAAGCGGCTTTGGGATGGGAGGGATGGGCTGGGAGCGCATCCTCATCTGATGGGCTGGGAGCGCATCCTCATCTGATGGGCTGGGAGCGCATCCTCATCTGATGGGCTGGGAGTGCATCCTCATCTGATGGGCTGGGAGCGCATCCTCATCTGATGGGCTGGGAGCGCATCCTCATCTGATGGGCTGGGAGCGCATCCTCATCTGATGGTGGCCGAGGAGAACCCAGCTGAGGGCAGGTCTGCAGAGCCCCCCAGGCCCTGCAGTAGGTGCAGGCGGGTCACAGGGGCTGCACAGCCAAACCAGCACAGCCAAACCAGCACAGCCCTGCAGGAGGGCAGGGTGAAGGCTGCGGCTCTCCAACATACCCACAGTCAAAGGACCCTTGCTCCATTGGAGAGCCAAGCCCCGCTGGCCGCAGCGGAAGCGCCCTGCACGGCGCAGGGCCAGGCTGGGCCATCTCCGTGTTGAAATGTCCTGGTTTCACGGCTCATTGCCTCAGAGGCAGGAAAGCGGCGAGAGGCTGAGTGAGGCCACAGGGCAGGGATGCTCTGGGCGGCTGCAGGCAGGCGCTGGTGTCCTTGCTCTGGGACAGTGCATCCCTCCAGCCCTTTGGGAGGGCATCCCTCCAGCAGTGCCTGCGGGTAAGACTGCTCCAAGGACGGGGGAAAGCTGGGATGGGCGTGTGCGGGCCAAGGGTCCTGCACGGGGTGGTGAGTGCCCAAGCCGGCAATGGAGGGTTTGATCCCACCGGGCACAGGCGGGATGGAGAGAGCCGTGTTCCATAGAATCCCAGCAGGGTTTGGGTTGAACCCTAACCCTAACCCTAACCCTAACCCTAACCCTAACCCTAACCCTAACCCTAACCCTAACCCTAACCCTCCAGCCCCAACCCTGCCAGGGCAGGGACCCCTTCCACTGGAGCAGCTTGCTCCAAGCCCCTGTGTCCAACCTGGCCTCGAGCACTGCCAGGGATGGGGCAGCCACAGCTTCTCTGGGCACCAGCGGTGCCGCCCTCCCGGTCCGTGGGCACGAGGGTGATGGAGAGGCCCCAGAGCCCACCCTGGCGCAGGGGCCATGGGGAGCCCAAGGCCTGGGCCCGGCGCGGAGCCCAGGGGCGGTGCTCGGGGGGGGGGGGCTGAGGGGCGCTCCCGGGGGCCGCATCCGGTGACGGGAGCTCAGGGCAGGGCCGCACCGAGCGCTGAGGCCGCGGGGCCGGGGCCTTCCCCGCCCGTTCCCCCCGCCCCGCCCCGCCCGCAGGTCCCGCGCAGGCGCGGCGCTGGGCGCGGGATGGCGGCGGCGGGCGCCGTGCCCGTAGCGGTGCCGGTGCCGGACGCGGCGGGGCCGGGGGAGGAGGCGGCGGGGCCGCTGTGCCCGGGCCCGGCCCGCGGGGCGCGGCTGCCGCTGGCGCGGGTGAAGGCGCTGGTGAAGGCGGACCCGGACGTGAGCCTGGCGAGCCACGAGGCCGTCTTCGTGCTGGCGCGGGCCACGGTGAGGGGCGGCGGCACCGGGGGGGGAGGCGGACGGGGGCGGGCCCCGGCGCTGCGGCTCCCCTGGGGCTCCTCTCCCGGCGCCCCCTCGGATCCGGGGCTGGGAGCGGGCGGAGCCGCGGGGCTCTCTGTGTGCGCAGGGCTCTGTTGGGCACGGTTGGGTTTGCGGTGCGCCCCGGGGCAGAGCGCGGCAGAGCGGGGGGGGGGGGTTAGGGTTAGGTCTCCCATGGCCCAGCCAGGGCTGCTCGTGGGGTGGCTTCGGACCGGCGGTGAGGGCGCTGGGCATCGGCTCCCCACAGCGAGAGAACCGCGTGCGAGGGCGGCCGTGCTCAGCCCGCTTCATGTGCTGAGACCTTCCCCGCAGGACGGCCCCGGAGCTGCTGGGTGCAGCTGCGCTCTGCGGGGGAACCAGCCCTGCCCGAGCCTGCCCCGCCGTGCATCGCTGCCCGGCAGCGCCGTTTGCCGTTTTCAGGTCGACTTGTTGGGCAAGGGGAGTGTGGGGATGGAGATGCGCGTTCCTGCCTGCAGACCCGCGGGACCCCGCCTCGCCTCGGGCTGTTCTCCCTTTGCTCTCTCGGCCCCGTGTGAAACTCCTGTGTTTGTGCTGCAGGAGCTGTTTGTTGAGACCATCGCCAAAGACGCTTACGTGTACGCTCAGCAAGGAAAAAGGAAAACTCTGCAGAGAAAAGACCTGGGTATGAGAGATCATTCTGTGCTGTGCTTGGCAATGGATGCTCCCCCCGTCCCAGGGTGATGAAGCAACCGCAGGTGCTTCTCTTTCTCTCCCATCTTCAGACAAAGGAAAACTTCTCTTCTACCAATGCTGGTGGCAATAATCTCACACAGCAGCTGCAGACCAAGCCAGCCTCTGCAGTGCAGTGTGCTGCCAGCTGCTGCTGTTTAAAGCAGGTTGGAAGCAGTGTGGGCCGGGTTTATCCATGTTAACTGGTTCCCATTTGCTTTGCAGATAACGCCATTGAAGCTATTGATGAATTTGCTTTTCTGGAAGGTGAGCTCCTATTTGGTTTCAGTATTTTGTGTGATCTCCATGGGGGGAAGGAACATTCTCGTTTACAGAGTCCTCTGTTTCCACACCTTTAGTAATTAGTGTGAGTTGCTAGGCCCCTCTTGGAAAGGTGAAACACAACTGAAGTGGACCCTGAGACATGCACCACTTTGTAGCTAGATTTGGGTTTACCTCATGTGTGATTTGCTTACACTGTAAGAAGTTCCTGCGCCTTCCTTTGGCAGCTGTGAGCAAGGTCCCAGCTGCACTGCTGAGGCCTGAGGCTGTAGGGTTTAATGCTCTTCTCATTTGTAGGTACTTTGGATTGAGCTGGACAGCGATGGAGCAGTAGAGAGATGGACACAGGGTGGCAAACAGGATGTTGAGAGTTCAAACACGGTTCTTAGAACTGAGAACCTGAGATGGCAGCCGCTGTATTTTGTATGAAGTTTGTCCTTGTAAGCTCTTTATTTAAAATGCATCATTATTTTCTTAATTCCTTTTCCCATACCTGTTTTCTGAGTCGTTCCCTGGTGTCCTCCTGCCTGCATGGGGGCTGCTCAGAGCTCTCACCAGGTCCCTGCAGCACCTGAGAGCTGTGAGTGGAGGGTGGCTCAGCTCCAGCATGGGCAGCGGTTTGCAGTGAACTGTGTTCAATTTGTACACGTCCGTTTCACCGCCAAACGCGATTCATTTCTTTTTAATACATATTTTTTGGTTGAAGAGCTGGTTTCTGATTTCCCCTCCGCGTTGCTGGGATGCAGGGATGGGGCTCCTGCAGCGCTGGGGTGAGGGGGGAGGTTTGTCAGCATGCCTTCTAACAGTACTTTGCTTTTGTTCTTTCCGTACATGAAGCCCAGGCCTTCAGGAGCTGTGGGAGCTCCAGGGACATTGAGCTTGTTCCCACTGGTGTGCAGCTTCCATCAGTTTCTGTGATTGCTGGACTTGTACCCCCCCAAACCCCAAAGCCCTGTTTTGAATGCCAGAATGGTGTCACTCTAACAACCCAAGTGTCACCGGCACCTTGGAAAGGACCTTAAGGCTCCTCCAGCTCCAACCCCTGCCAGGGCAGGGACCCCTTCCACTGGAGCAGCTTGCTCCAAGCCCCTGTGTCCAACCTGGCCTTGAGCACTGCCAGGGATGGGGCAGCCACAGCTTCTCTGGGCACCCTGTGCCAGCGCCTCAGCACCCTCACAGGGAAGAGCTTCTGCCTCAGAGCTCAGCTCAGTCTCCCCTCGGGCAGGTTCAAGCCATTCCCCTTGCCCTGTCCCTACAGGCCCTTGTCCCAAGCCCCTCTCCAGGTTTCCTGCAGCCCCTTTAGGCACTGGAGCTGCTCTCAGGTCTCCCCTTCAGGAGCCTTCTCTTCTCCAGGCTGCCCCAGCCCAGCTCTCTCAGCCTGGCTCCAGAGCAGAGCTGCTCCAGCCCTCGCAGCAGCTCCGTGGCCTCCCTTGGCCTCACTCATGCAGCAGGGAGGGAGCTCGGGAGTCTCCATCCCTCCCACTCAAAGCATCAGACAAGCTGATGATAAAAGCTCTACCAAAAGCAAAGCACTAAAAAATGGAGTTTCCTTCCCGATGGCCTGAAATCTTTCCTCTCGTCCCCAAGGATGTTTCAGAGCCACTCAAAAATGGAAAATCCAAACTAAATCTTTCCAGAGAGCTCAAAACCTTCCACTGGCTGCTGCTGAGCTGCTGTGTCCCGGGCTGCCTTGGGGGCTCACACAGCATAACCCGAGTCACAGCGGTGAAGGTGAGCTCAGGTGTTCGTATCAGAAGGGGAAGCCTTGCGGAACCGATCCTCCAGCACCGCTTGGTCAAACCGGCTCCTGGATTCTGCTGCTGTCGCCTCAGTGGCGTTTCTGCATTGAAGCCACCTGGTGCAGCTCCCGCGTGCAGCAGCCGCTAGAGAGGGCCAGAGACCTGGGCACGTCCCCCTCTGCAGTGGGAAAGCAGCAAAGGGGCCTGAGCGTGAGGGGCTGGGGGAGCCACAGCGAGCGGAGGAGAAACCCAGCCCCAGAGGGGCTCTGCTTGGCGCTGCGGGGCCATGCGGGGCAGGCATCGGCTCTCCCGCACCCACCCTGTGGCCTGTGCCTGCAGCTGCGAGACCCAGCGAGTGGAAAGGGGAATTAGGCAGCGAGAAGTGCTTGCTTCCAGAGGAGGGCAAGCAGACGTGGGACCGGACGGTGCTGTTGTCCCCAGGGGTGGTTAACGGACCGCGGCTCATTCAGCGATAATGGCCCAGGGTTGGGAAATGTGGACTCAGCCCCAGCTTTGCCCCTGCCCTCGGGCAGGTCTCGGCACTTTCCTTCTGGGTTTTCCCCTGGGAAGTGCGGCTGACACTTTCAGTGTCATGTTAAAGACTGGCAACGGCAGAGGATGCCTGGAGGAGGATGTTCACATGTCACCCAGAAACACCCGGCTTCCACAAACCGGGGCGCATTTTGTGCCCCCCTTTTAAGGCATCGCTGAGAGATTTCCTTTCAGCAGTGCCTTTCCCTCCCCCGAAAACACCTCCTGGGACAAAGAAATCTCCTCCAGCAGCTGGGAAGGGGCAGGAAACTCCCATAACCAGTTTAAAGCCAGGACCCAAACGCGAACCCTGAAGGACCTGCACCCAGGGGCTGGCACAGGGTGAGACAAGGTCCTGTTTAGAGCCAAAGCTCAGGACTGACTTAGCCAAGCTTCTCCCCCTCCCTGGGTTTCAATCCTGGTTCCCTTGGTGAGGGAGAGAAAAGCAGAGATAGAGCAGACGGAGTGAGGCAGGAGCGCAGCCTGGGCCCCCTTCCTTCAGCTGGGCAGGAGCTATTGCTGAGGAGCCTCTGCCTTCCCTCTCCAGCCCCTGAGCCCCTGCCTGGACCTGCCATGGGGGTGGCATGGCCTGGCCTGGAGGTGATGGGGCAGCAGGATGTGGGCCATGTCCACCCCAAGCCTCTCTTCACTCTGCATCTCTTCCTCAGCATCAGACTATGTTGAATCCCAGAGAACAGGGGTTTTACCCTGGGAATTTGTCATGGAGTTAAAGCTTGAATAGGAAAGTAAAGGCAAACCAGGAATTGGTCCTGCAGCCCCAGAGCCGGCTCCACCACCTGCCCTTGCACAGAAACACAGAATCCCAGATGGTTTGGGTTGAGGGGACCTTAAAGCTCCTCCAGCCCCAACCCCTGCCAGGGCAGGGACCCCTTCCACTGGAGCAGCTTGCTCCAAGCCCCTGTGTCCAACCTGGCCTTGAGCACTGCCAGGGATGGGGCAGCCACAGCTTCTCTGGGCACCCTGTGCCAGCGCCTCAGCACCCTCACAGGGAAGAGCTTCTGCCTCAGAGCTCAGCTCAGTCTCCCCTCGGGCAGGTTCAAGCCATTCCCCTTGGCCTGGCCCTACAGGACCTTGTCCCAAGCCCCTCTCCAGGTTTCCTGCAGCCCCTTTAGGCACTGGAGCTGCTCTCAGGTCTCCCCTTCAGGAGCCTTCTCTTCTCCAGGCCCAGCTCTCTCAGCCTAAAAGAGAGATGCTCAGTGATCCCATGGGATCCTGTTCCCAGCTCCCTGGTGGCTCTGGAAAAAGCGCTGCCGTGGATGTTTCATGTTCCAAGACCTTTTTTGTCTCCAAGCTAATGTGTAACAGCTCAGCCCCAGAGATGGGGCTGTCACAGGCTCAAGTGCAGGGTTCACTGTGTGCACCCAGAACAACCTCTGTGCACTGAAACGGAGATGGAGGAATAAATCCCATCACTGAGGCCTTGCCCTGGTGGAGGAACGAGCCCAAACTCTCGTGTGGGGACCCTCACACAGGTCCTGGGTGTTGGATGCTGGAGCCTGATGCTGTGTCTGTGCCCCACAGCAGCTCCCCCAGTGAAGATGCTGCAGCTCCTCACATCAGGTTTCTTTTGTGGCCCCTTGCAGATGGACTCACAATTACTTAATCCTCAAGTATGTCTCAAGCTCAGTTCAGCAGAGCCTCTGCTCCCTACCTCAAGGTACCTTTGTGCACAGGGACCTCGGATTCAACCCCATAGCTGTGCCCCCCAAATGCATCTGCTTCCAAGCTTTGCTGCCCTTTCCTGGGGCTGTAGGATAAGCTGGAGGATGCGGGGTCCTGGGGTGTCCCACTGAGGTGCTGCAGGGGATGCTCATGCCTTTGTGTTGCAAATCTCTGCAGGAAATGGGGGTAAGAGGGTGCTTGGGCAGCTGCTCCTCGGGGGATGCTGCTGGCTTAGGTAAGCACAGCTGCACACATCCAGAGGTGGGGCTGAGCTGCTCCCATTCCTCTCCGGGTGATCCATGCGCTGCTCCCGGGGCAGGGGCTGGGAGGGGGACACAGGAGCAGCCACAGCTCCCCCTTGGGCTGTGTCTGTGTGGGGACAAGGCTGGAGCAGAGCAGAGCAGCGCTTGCAGCGGTGCCACAGCAGCACAGTGGACAGAGTAACCTGAGGATGAGGATGGTTGAACACAGGGCTTGGAGCAAGCTGCTCCGGTGGAAGGGGTCCCTGCCCTGGCAGGGGTTGGAGCTGGAGGAGCTTCAAGGTCCCTCCCAACCCAAACCAGGCTGGGGTCTGGGATTCGGCGATGTCCGGGTTGATGCCCCTTTCCCCAGGGCAGGCACTGGGTTTCTCTACCCCACAAGGGAGAGGGAGATGCCTGCTTTGGGCAGAGCTGCCTCCAGCACCGCAGCCCTCACTGGGGCAGGGCCCTCTCCTTCAGAGGTCCCAAGACCACGCTTGCACCACCCTGGCCCCCCAGCAGTGCAGGCGCAGGGGGAAGCAGGAGCAGGGCTGGAGAGCTGCAGGGGGGGCTCCTGCCAGACCCCCCAGACTGTCTGTGCCCTATGTAAATGTGACAAGGCCGTTCATGCGGGCTGTGTTGAATAGGAGCTGTTTGAAACAGCTCCTGCAGAAGTGAAGCCTTCTCCAAAATGGTTCGCAGCTTGTAAAATAACCGTGGGGGGCAATTCGCAGCTCCTTGGGCTCTGCTGTGCAGCTCCAGGCCCCTCTGTCTGCCCCAGCACGCAGGGAATGCACTGGGATGTGATGGGATGCAGCCGTCTGGCACGGGCTCGGGGGTGCATGCTCAGAGGGTAGGAAGCAGGAGTCGAAGAGGAGAGGAAAACGGTACAGAGGCAATGATGGGGCACGGAGTCCTCTGTGGGCAGCCCCAGTTAAGCTGCAGGAGATGCTGCTGAGCTGGGAAGCAGAGAGAAAGGATCCAGAGGTCAGGAATGGTTTCCTCACTCAGTTAACTCAAGCCTGCCGTTTCTGTTCTGATAATGAACATCCCTTTCACCTGCCAAGCCCTGGGTTAGAATGAATCACAGACCCCAACCGGGAAGTGGCCTTCAGGCTGTCTTGGGTGCTGCCCTGTCCCTGCCAGCAGACCCGCAGATGGACTGTGCTGGCTCTGCGCCTGCACCTTCCCCTCTCTGTGCCAACCTTCTTACAGAGCCCACCTCTGGCCCTCATCCCCAGGTGGGTTTCCTATTCCCTATGGGATCTAAGAGGCCTTTCTAATCCTACTCTATCTGGTGCACTGGTGAATATCATATAACAGGAATTCTTTCTGTTCAGTCACATGGGATTAAAAGAAGTGGCAAACGTAAGGAGAAGAGGGCCAGCACATCCACCCTCACCAACCTGCTTCTCTGCGACTGGGGAATAAGCAAATGAATTGGCTTTTATCCCATCATCCATTTAAACAGCAATTTAGGTTCAGTTTGGTTCCTCCTGCTGGTGGGTTCCTGCCGCAGCCGCTGCTTCACTCCTGGACACCCCGTGGGATGGGGATGCCGAGCCCCCGATGCTCCGGCAGTGGCAGGACAGGGATGGGGCAGGGCTGCCCTCTCTGCGGGGCTGCGCTGCCCCAACAAAGGGCCTCTTGTTTGTCCCATTAGTGCCATCATTAAATACCCGTTAGTCTCCTGGGGAGAGCAAACGCAGCCCACCCAGGGCCTGGCAGAGGGGCTGCATGGCCCCAGAGCCCCGGGTCCCCCCCACCAGCCCCGGGCTGAGTCACCTTCCCCTCCACTTGTGTACTGGGGCTAATTGGTGCAGAGCAGCCGGAGCCCAGCTTCACACCTTGTTAGCACGGCCATCAGCTCTCTTTGCCCTCCTGATTGCTCCAGCGCAGGTTTGACTCCGGTCCATCCCTGCAGCCGGTTATAAATGCGGCTCGGGGGAGGCCGAGAGGAGCGGCGCTGGGCAGGGGCAGCAGAGCCATGCTGGGGACCGTCCTGCTGCTGCTGGTGCTGGCCAAGCCGGCGAGCCCGAGCCCGGCCGGAGCCGAGAGCCGGAGAGCTGAGGCGCTGAAGAGGCTCCTGGAAGTCTTTGGCATGGAAGACCCTCCCCCCCCCCCGGCTCACGTCAAGCAGCCGCCCCAGTACATGGTGGATCTGTTCAACACCGTCGCCAACGCGGACGGAGTCACCAAGAACCCCGACATCCTGGAGGGCAACACGGTCCGGAGCTTCCTGGATAAGAGTAAGGGCTGGGGGGTCCCTGCGGTGCCGGTGGGGCTGTGCTCGGGCTCTGCTCCTCAACCCGGTCTCTCCTCCAGCCCAGAGCGAGGAGATGCGGTTCCTCTTCGTCCTCTCCAGCGTGGCCAAGAGCGAGAAGGTCCTGACGGCAGAGCTGCACCTCTTCCGCCTCTGGCCCAGGGTCACCGACGGCCCTAAAAGGCACCACTTGTGCCAGGTGAGGAGGGGTGGGGTGGGGACAGAATGGGCACGGGGGTGAGGACAGGGGTGGGAGCTGCGATGTGCCACTGCCTGTACGTGGGGCTGCCACGGGCACCTTGCTGGGAATTCCTGTGCCCGAGTGCCATCACATCGCACATGATGGTTATTGACCATCAATCACTCCAGCTCCTGCGGGCAGCAGCCAAAGCGCCCGTCGCTTCCGACGAACCCAAGCTGCCAGTTCCCCCCCTGCGGTGTTCCCCAGCTCCTGTGCTCGGGATCTCTCCCTCGGGCAGTTTATAACCCCCTTTGCTGCCTCCCCAGGTCAGCGTCTACCAAGTGCTGGAGCGGAGCGCGGCGGCCGCGCCGGGGGGCAGGAAGCTGCTGGCGGCCAGGCTGGTCCCGCTGCAGGGCTCGGGCTGGGAGGTCTTCGCCATCACCCAGGCTGTGAGTTGCTTGCTCTTGGTCTGGGGCGGGGGGCACAGAGGGGACCCTGGGGCTGGGAGCAGGAGCTTGTTTTAACCCTCTCCATCTCCCAGCAGCTCTTCAGGCTCCAACGCAAGTCCCGGTCTGGAGTCCCTGCAGTCTCTGGGACAGGGGGTGGAGGGCGGACAAGAGCCCTGTAGGGCTGCTGCATCCTGCCCCAAACAAGTCCCATTATTCCCTAGTGCTGGCTCCTGCCTCTGTGTCCCCTGATCCCCAGCACAGCCTCTTCCCATGGCTGGGATGTGGAGTGTGCCCAGTGTGGGGGGAATCAGTCCCAATTCACCCCTCTCCATTGCTGACCGGGCACCAGCTCTGCTGGCCGGGCACCAGTGTGGAGCCTATCCCAGTCTCTTGTGCCTCAGTGACACTGGTTTGGTCCCCCAGGTTCTCGACTGGACTGAAGATGAAAGCAGCAACCAGGGTTTGCTGGTGACAGTGCAGGGGCTGGGGGGCAGCCCCCTTGAGCCCCCTCCGCTGCAGTTTGCATCTGGCAGGGACCACCACGAGAGCAAGAAGCCAATGTTGGTCCTGTTCACAGATGATGGGCGCCGGGGAGCATCTCCTGCCCTGTCCGGCTTCCCAGGTGGGTCTCACATGCCCCGGATCGTCTCCCTGGGTGCCACCATTCCCCTTGCCCTGTCCCTACAGGCCCTTGTCCCAAGCCCCTCTCCAGGTTTCCTGCAGCCCCTTTAGGCACTGGAGCTGCTCTCAGGTCTCCCCTTCAGGAGCCTTCTCTCCTCCAGGCTGCCCCAGCCCAGCTCTCTCCTTCTCCAGCCAGAGGGAGAGGCCATCTCCTTCCTGCTTTGTGCAGATCTGGGCTTTGCTCACTCTGATGAGTGCGGCCGATGGGGCTGTGAGGTTGGGGCTGGAGCCAGGCTGTGACCAAAGGGCTGATCCCCCGGGAGGGGCGGGCACTGGGGGCTGCCTCCCGTGCTGCTGTGGTGCTGATGGCATCGGGTGCTCCTTGCTGGCAGATTCCCAGCCCCAGGCCCCCATCGTCCCCGCCAAGCCGTCGGTGCCGCGCAGCACCCGCTCCCTGGACCGGCTCCAGCCCTGCCAGAGGCACCCCTTGTCTGTGGACTTCGAGGAGATCGGCTGGTCAGGCTGGATCATCTCCCCACGGGGGTACAACGCCTACCACTGCAAAGGCTCCTGCCCCTTCCCGCTGGGCGAGAACATGCGCCCGACCAACCACGCCACCGTGCAGTCCATCATCAACGCGCTCAAGCTGAGCGAGGGGGTGAGCAGCCCCTGCTGCGTGCCCGACAAGCTCTACTCCATCAACCTCCTCTACTTCGATGACGACGAGAACGTGGTCCTCAAGCAGTACGATGACATGGTGGCCGGGAGCTGCGGCTGCCACTGAGGCAGGAGGAGCAGGGGGGCGGAAACGCCACCACAGCAGAGGCTGCTCCTGCTCCCTCCAGAGCATCTCTGGGGGTCTCTGTCCTGCAGCACCCTCTGAAAGAGATGGGGTGAGCAAAGCAAGGGGGTGCCCGGCCCTGCCCCAGCTGCTGTCACCCAGGGAAGGCTCAGGTCTGAGCTTGGATTAAATCAACCCCGAGGAGCATGAGCAGCTCAGCAGCCCTGGGGCAGCATCTCGGGGTGCAGGTTTTGCCTCGGCAGAGGCTTCCCGCAGGCTGTACCATATGTATATAGCAAGAGCACTAATATATGAGAACCCGCCTGTACAGTGCCCTGTAAATGTCTGTACATTTCTGCGTTGCTGACTTGTAAAATGAACCCAGAGGAACTATTAAAGTGCTGCTTCCTGAGGAGGAGAGCTTGTGGGAGCTGCCTGGATGGGGCTGGAAGGGGGCGAGCAAGCACCCCATGGGCATGGGGAGGAAGCAGAGGGAGACTGAACCACTGCACAGCTAGCGATGGGAGGGGAGGACGCTGACCCCCGTTCCCTGGGAGCTGAATGATCTCAGGAAGCATCCCACACTCTGCAATGGGGGACAGGAGCAGGGGTCCCCAGGGGGGTGATGTGGGCACACGGAGGGATGCAGTGACAGGGGCTTGGGCTGTAACCTTGGGTCCCTCTGCCCATCCCAACCAGGGAAAGGGTGACCCCCCCCCCCCCGCGGGAGCCATTGATGAGATGTGGTCCCACCCCCTGTGCCCCACAGACCTGCTCCCCCCTGCCCCTGTGATGTGCACGCAGGGCAGAGCCAACTGCTGCATGCTGAGCACATGCACATGTTCCAGCTCCTCTCCCAGTGCACCCATGGCCAGGCCCCTCATCCCAAAACCAGCATGTGGACATCCCGTGGGAGCCCTGTGTAGATGTCCCCTCTTCACCCCTGAGATACAAGCAGTTTATTGAACAGCTGGGAATGGGAACGGGTTTGACCTGGTTTCCTCAATGCCTGTTCCTGGGGGTGTTCTTGCTGCCAGACCTGCACCCCCAGAGTGCCCGCAGGTCCCACCAGAGCAGCAGCCTGAGCCAGGAGAGTGCCCCAGGCTCCCAGGGGAGGAACGTGGGGTGGGCTGGAAGGACACAGGCTCTTCCATGGGCCTTCAGCCAGACCCCTTCCCACCCGAACCAGTCTGGGATTCTACAAGTCGGGTGCCCACTGCCTGTGTATGCCCCGCTCCAGGCAGGGGCAGAGCCGGGACTGCGCAAGGGCTTCAGCTCATCCTGGGGCCCACTCCCGACATCCCCAGAAAGGTGACAGCTCAGCCCCCCGCATCCCGCTCCCCGCGTCCTCAGGGCGCCCCATCCCCAGCCTATGGCAGACAGCAAAGCATCCGTGCAGCCCGGCCTTCAGGTGCAGGACAGAACCACGCAGGGGAGGCCACAGCACAGTCACGGCCACATGGCCAAGCTGGGGAGCATCCCTGGGGACAGGAGGTGGCGGAGGGGGGCAGAGGGGGTGCAGGGCTGGGGTCAGTGCTGGCGGCGGGGCTCATCCCTGCAGCATTCCGACAGCTTCCTCAGGAGCCGCTCCTTCAAGCGGAGCCTCCTGGAGAGCTTCAGTGAGTGGCAGATCTCGTCCTCGTGGGCCTTCAGCTTGGCGTAGTAATCAGAGAACTTGTTGTAGAGGATGGAGATGGGCATCCCGTTGAGGATGATGCCAAAGGAGATGCAGCCGAACGCCACCATCCTGCCGAGCACCGTGTCCGGCACCGTGTCCCCATAGCCCACAGTGGAGAGGCTGACCTGGGCGAGGGTGAGCAAGGGAAAGGATAAAATCCCACATGAGCGAGCCCTGCTGGGACCCACCTCCCCCTGCCCCCGGTATCACCCGGGAACGGCGCCGCCCTTGGCTGTGCCTGCTCCAGCACCCAGCAGGCTGGGAGAGCCCAAGGAAAGGGCTGGAGGAGGCCCCACAGCAGAGACCAGAGACACCCCCCCATCCTCCTCTTCACATCACCTCCCCAAAGCAGCAGGACGTCACCGAGCTGGGCTTCGCTGCAGTCAGGCTGTCTGATGGGGCTTCCTGCCCCCATGGAGAGGTGGCTCCAGCACTTCCTGGCCAGGAGCTACCCGGTCCCACAGGAACGAAGCTTCCCAGACCCTCCCTCCATGGGAAGCAGAGGCACAGGCCAGGAATGAACCCGGAGGAGCTCTGTTTGGATGCTGGGGGAGCAGGGCTGTGGGGACCCGGTGAGAACAGAGTGGTTTGGGCTTTGCTGGAGCTGGGATCAGCCCAGGGTTTAAATACTCGAAGCTGGTGGCTTTGCCAAGTGGTTCTTGTGCTTCCCCAGGGAACGTGAAGCGGGCAGCCTGCGGTGGCGGGGGGGTGTAAGGGCAGAGGTGATCTGTGGGATCATTGGATCCGTAAATCCAAACGCCCCTTCAACCCCTGGCTCTCGAGTGCTTGAAGCTGCTCCTCAGCTCAGAGATAAGCCCCGGTTACACCCCCCTGTTGCTAACCCGCGCCTGGAGGTTCACAGGTCACCACCACCTCTGTCCCACCAGCCCCCCAGCACCAGCCTTTGAGCCGCTGAGCATGCAGGGCTCTGGTTCCCCCCCATTACTGAGCCTTTGGGAAGACCGGGCCCTTCCCCACCTCCTGGCCAGCAGCAGTGGGGAATCCCTTGCACCCTGCAGCAGCCCCAACCCACAGAGCCCCCACCACTGCCCCCGGGAGGAGATGCTCACACCTTACCGCTGCCCACCACCACGCATAGGGGATACTGGTGAAGTTGGTGCCTGGGACATCGTGTTCCACCGAGTGCATGAGAGCAGAGAAGGTGAAGACCCCCATGGCGATGAAGAGGAAGAGGCAGCAAACCTGCTGGTAGCACTGGCGCATGGTGAAGCGGAAGGCCCGCAGGCCGGTGGAGTGCCGTGCCAGCTTGAGGATGCGGAAGATCCGCATGAGCTTGATGAGCTTGAGGACCTTGCCCAGCTTGCCCACGTTCTCCATCTTGTGCAGCTCCTCATGGTAGAGCGTGTCCCCTTCGTCCAGGCTTTCAAAGAGGATCTGGATGTAGAAGGGCAGGATGGCCACCAGGTCCACAGCGTTGAACGCCGCCCGCAAGAAGTTCTTGAAGCTGGAGGAGGAGATGAGCCGCATGAGGTACTCGGAGGTGAAGAAGATGGCACAGATCATCTCCAGCTGCTCCATCCACACCTTCCCTGTCTTGTGCTTCATCTCCTCCACTGTGCTCAGGGTCATGCCCACGATGGAGACGAGCACAAAGATGCTCGACATGACAGCGATGATCTTGGCCGCGACGGAGGAGTACGGGTTCTCAATGAGGTTCCAGATTGTCTTCCGGAACCGACCCAGAACTCTGCCCTCAAACTGCTTCCCTGAGTCCAGGGGCTCCAGCTCTGCCTCCAGCTCCCTCTGGATCTTCAGGTACTCGCTGAGCTCATCCTGCTTTTCCTCAAACAGGATCCGGCAGCAGCGCTGGGAGTATTTCAGATGGATTCCCCAGTACTCAATTTCCTCCACGAAGTTACTGGGGCACATCTCATCCATTATCCACAGGACCCCGCTGCGGTAGAAGTGGAAGATGTAGTGGAAAATGGAGGGATCTCTGTCGAAGAAGTACTCGTTCTTCTGCACCGAGTAGTCATCACAGAGCTGCAGCTTCTTGGTAGGGTCTGTGTAAAGGGCCAGCTTCCCGAGGCGGGTGATGGGGTACCGGGCCACGACGCTGTAAGCTATCTGGAACAGCTTGCCACCCACGTTAATGTTGAGCAAGAACTTGTTCCTCTGAAGGGGAGCCTTGCTTTTCTCCTGCTTTCTCTCCGTCATGTTCTGCATGGAGCTCCATTGCTTAACCAGGCTCTCCTGGGCAAAGGGGATTTGCACCTCCTCTTCCCAGGGCGTGCGGCCGCAGCCCCGCTGCTCCCCCAGCTTCAGGCTGGCAGAGAGACTCGCGCGCCTCGAGCCCGGCTGCCTCATGGTGCCCGACCCTGCGGAGCGCAGACCCTGGTCACAGCCCACGGGGCAGCAGCTCCAGCCCCATGGGGGCTCCCCCCGGTGCTCCCTGCACGGGACGAGCACTGTGAGCTCCAAGGAGCAGCACTGAGGCACCTGCCGGGCTCCCAAAGCCGATTGCTCTCAGGCCGTGGGCTGCATCACAGGAGGCAGAGGCAGCCAAGGGTCTGCTCCCTAAGACAGTAATGAGATTGAAGCCCTAGCCCTTTATGTAAGGGACTATTTCCAGCTCTGCACTCCTCTTTCCTCACTCTGTTCTTTCCCTGTTTCTAAGGGGAACATCCCTTGAGAGGGCATGATGTTGCCTTGAGCTAAACCTAAAGACCTCCCTTGCCGGGCACGGGAAGGTGCAGACACGCAGGGTTTGCATCACCTCTGTGCCCCTGCAGGAGCTGCTGCTCTTGGCACCACTCATTCATTAAGCACTTAATGCTGCCGCCCTGGCTCCAGCAGCAGCCCAGAGAAGGGAAATGGTTGTTCCCTCCCAGCTCAGCCCCAAACCTCCCCAGTGCAGGTTTACAGGGGAAGAGGTGCAGGAAGCATCTCACCCCCTGTGCCTGAGCACATCCCCAGTGTGCCAGGCTGCTGCTGCTCATCACAGTAGCCCCAGAACTGCAGCAAGCAGGGGCAGGAACACGGAATGGAACACTGGACTGGAAGTGTGCAGTAAAAGTTCCCCTGATCTATAGGAACTGAAAAGGAAGATATAATCCTTTGGATTTACAAAGAAAAGGGGAAGCAAATTTAAATGGGCTGATCTTCGATGTCTTACCCTGGAACACAACCCTACCTCAGCATCACATTGATCCCCATGAACTGATCTAATTAAATACAGAGACCTGGAGCACAAAGCTGCTCCTGGGCTGAAAAGTAGCTCAGGCTCCACTACAGCTGAAACCTCTGAGCCTGGGGATTAGGAGAACAAAAGTGCTCCTGGCACTGGAGAGAAAGGGAAATTGCTGTCACGAACTTGGCCCCAAGGCTTGGCACCAGAGCCATAAAACTGCTTCTTTCAAGCTTGAAATGCTCAGCTCAGGGATCAGGAAGCAAAACCTGCATGGCCTTGCTGTGGTGGGTGCTGGCTGGGTTTACCCACCAGCCTCGCTCCCCAGGCTCTGCTCTCTGCCCCAGAACAGCCGGCCCCAGCTCAGCGGCTCAAGCTAAGAGGATGATGTGGGACAGGCTGGTGCCAGCTGACCTCTGCCACTTGGCACTTCCATGACCCCGTCCTGACGGGATTCCTGCAGCCTCTTCCCAACTGCAGGATTCGAGCACATCCAAGGAAAATCCAGAATCCAGAGCTCATGAGTTTCAAGTTCTTTATTCTCCTGTGCCATTCACCAACAGCTACCTCCACTTATCCCTGTGGAAACAAAGCAAGGTTGTGTGCACCTTTGCAAATGACCTCTTGGTACCAAGATCAGCAGCACTGTAATAACTCAGTACTCCATGCCACATCTGGAAGTTTCTCCCATGGGGTACAGCAGCACACACACACTACCCAGGGGTGGAAGGCTCCTGCTCTAAGGCTGATGACTGGTGTCTGTTTGGCAAGCCAAGTTCTCACCTTTAAGGCATAGAGATCAGCAGCCAGGGCAGCAGCTTTCAATCCTTTGTGCACTTGTGCAAGGGGCTCGTGGTCAACATGGAGCTGCAGGCAGTGCTCAGCAGTCTGCTGCCCCACTGTCAGCTCTCAGCAGCATACAGCACTGAGCTGCTTGGGTGCAGCACGTGCCAAACAGTGAAAACCCCATAGGAACATAGAATGGTTTGGGCTGGAAGGGACCTCATCCAGCTCCAACCCCCTGCCATGGGCAGGGACCCCTTCACTGCCAGGGATGGGGCACAATTCTGTTCTGTGAGGCGCTGGCACAGGGTGCCCAGAGAAGCTGTGGCTGCCCCATCCCTGGCAGTGCTCAAGGCCAGGTTGGACACAGGGGCTTGGAGCAAGCTGCTCCAGTGGAAGGGGTCCCTGCCTGTGACAGAGGCTGGAACTGGATGGGCTTTAAGGTCCTTTTGAGCCCAAACCATTTGGTTTTAAGCAGCGTTGGTCCCAGTACGGACCCTTGAGGGACACCACTCACATCAGAACAGTTTTAAGGAAGGCAACATTAACCGATCCAGAACAACATCCAGCGTTCAGCACTGTGGTGGAAAGTGCGTTTCTGCAGAGGTCCTTGCTGGAAGGGAGTGTGCTGAGAAGCTGCTGGCCCCACGCTGACTTGGGGCGGCAGCAGCAAAGCCACAGCAGACAAGAAGCTTTCAGCTTTCCCCCATGTGGCTGTCCTGTCAGTAAAGCTTCCTGAACATGGGACTGAGCAGCACCAAACCAGTGCCACAAGCATGGAGTACATGTTGGATCTGTGCAGTTAGTAAGTTCCTACTGAAACGGATGAGAAAGCCCCTGTTCCCTAGCAAAATCCAGGGGGGGAAATGGGGCAGGTGAAGAAAATCTCTTGGCTGGAAGTGGAAGGGAACAGTTGAACAGCACCTAACACCTATCATTTCATGGAGAATAAAACCTTTGGGTCCAAGGCCACTCTGGTGAGATCAGCATTAACAAACCCTGTAGGCAAAAGCAATGAAGACACTTCTACCAGCTTGTGTGAGGGGTGATTTCACAGCACCGGGGAAGGTCCTGTGCTATTTCCAGAGCTAAAGTAGTCCCACAATCTAAAATCCATTTCCAAGGGGAGCATCCTTTGCTATTCCAGTGTAACAATTCAGACTTGACAGCTTATGGGTCCAATAGAGCCAGCTGGAGGGAGACCAGGCTGGCCCCATCTCATCACCTCACAGTACAGATCCCTGGTACAAGAACAGAAAAACACCTGGTTAGTGACAGTCTCTAGGCAAAAAACCCCACCTGGTTTGAATTCAGTGTGGGCAAAGCGGAGGGAAACAACCCACAGGAGCTGAGTGTCTAAGCATGAGTGCTCCTTGTCCTGGGCAGCAGAGGAAGGACAGACCAGCACATCGCTATCAAAAGAAGGCAGCACCTTCTCAGGTTAGGCAGTGCAAGTGTCCATGCAGTCAAAGAAGAAAGGCTGAAACCCCAAGCATGTGGCTGAACAGCAGCAGGAAAAGCTGCCCCCAGAGAAGAAAGCTCTGGAGGCTGGAAACAGAGGGCAAGAAAATATTTCTCCCTCTCACACACAGAGGACGTGGGGTGCAAGAAACTTACCCTTTAGGGAAATGAGCTCCCCTGGCTCTTGTCAGGCATCAGCCGTTCTCTGCATGCTTTTTCAGGACTGAAGATATCAGATCTGCTTTTTGCTTTGGATATGCTCCACACAGCAACAGAACCAACAGCTACCAGGATGCTCAGGAGCGCTAGAGAGGAGAGTGCACAAGCAGAGCAGCACTCACTGTGCCTGGTCTGGGCATCAGTTCTGGGTTCTGCTGCTCAGCAGTGTTAGCCAGCAGGCTCAGATCTGCACCTTCCCACAAGGATAAGGCACAGAGAGAGAAATGAGTTAGTGCCAGATGACATGGAATGGCTTTTCCAAGAACACAGAATAATCAAGTCTAAAGGGTCTAAAGCCTCCCCCAGCCCTCAAGTCCTGACACAGGTCTGGAATCAACTGCAGCAGGATGCTCAAACGATAGCCCCAGCTGGGACATGTGCAGCACTCAGAGATTCACATACCTGCAATAACCAGGATCCACAGGCGGTCTGGGCTGCTGGGTGGTGCTGAGCCCTCAGGCACAGGGGTAGCTGAAGCCTCTGTGAGGAAAGAGCAAGAAGGCTTCCAACTCACTTTACAGGCACCATGCAAAGCTGCCCGCAGCCCAAACCTGGCAGAGATCCCAGTTCACCTCAAAAGTGCCAATGGGGCTTTCTCAATTTAAGTAAAACCTTATCTGCCCTTACTGTGATTAAGCCACATCAGCGGGGAAAAGAAGTCCTACTGGAAATGCAGAACAGGGAAAGCTGGGAAGTTTCCCAGCTGTAGCTGCAGCATCCTTAACCTCTCCTCATGGCCCCAGGCGGCCCCAGGCAGCCCCAGGGACAACTAAAACGTAGCTCACCCCCCACCTACCAACTGATGCAGGTAGAGAGCACAAATTCAGTCTCTCATGCCTGCAATAATTCCCCTTCCTCTCCATATCTAGCTTCAGCTCCCAGCTGACACAGAAAGCCCTGTGAAAAGGGAAGCTGGAACCTTCCAAGCACCTCAGCCACGCAACAGGGCTGTGATCAAGGATGCTCCAGACAGAGCAGAGCAGCAGACAGACAGCGCTGGGGATGCATCGCACCCTTCGGCTTGACAGAGACCAGCGCTGCTGCTCTGACCCTGCCCGCACAGCGCTCGGGTGCTTCCCCATCCTTCTCCTCCTATCTTCCCCATCCCCATCCCCGTCCCCAGAGGAGCTCCGAGGGGCGGGCAGTGTCGCCGGTGGAAGGAAGCCGCCGGGCTGTGTTCTGTTGGAACGTTCCTCAAAGGCGCTTCCTGAGGGCACCCTGGGGGGTTTAAACGAAGCTTCCACGGGAGGAAGCTCAAGGTGGGGCTGGGCCGACCCCACAGGGCTTCCTCCGGTCAGGTCAAGCCGTGACGGGAGCGGCTGCCATGGGAAGGGAAGGCTTCGGCGCGGTTCCCCGCTGCCCCGAACCCCTCCGGCCGCCCCCGTACCTGCGCCGCCGGGGCTCGGCTCCGCCGGGGGCACGGTCCCGCAGCCCAGCTCGTCCTCTCCGTCATCGCAGTCGGGGTGCCCATCGCATCGCCACTCGACGGTCACGCAGGGGGCGCGGGGCGCGCACCGGAACCGGCCCGGGGGGCAGCGGGGCAGGGTCACTGCGGCTGGGGGGGAACGGGCGGAGTGAGGGACCCTGCGGCGCGCCGCGCTAGGGCAGCCCGCGCGCGAGGGCGTACAAGCGCGACAGCCAATGAGCATGAAGGGCGTGCGCGGGGAGCCAATAAGGGCACGCGAGAGAGCGCAGCCCGCACCCTGCCACCCTCCCTCGTCCCCTCACCGTTGTGCGGCGGCGGCAGCGGCCACACCGGGGGCAGGAGCGGCAGCAGCAGGGACAGGAGCGGGAGCACCGGGAGCCGCCCCATGGCGCGGGCCGGCCGCTGCGCTGCGAAGCGACACCACCCGCTGCCTCCGCGCCGCTATAAGGCTGTCCGTGCGCTGCACGGAGCATGCGCACCGGTTTGACCTCCACCAACGGGGGGCCGGCGGGGCGGGGCGGAGCGGAGCGAGGGGCGTATCTGCGGTGAAGCCCCGTCCTCTCGCCCCTCCGCCCCCGGCGGGAGCAGGCCCTGTCCCGCTTCTCTCGGGCTACCGGATGGGGAGCGGCCCCGCCCGCTGCGGCTCAATGGAGAACAGCGACCGCAGCAGCGCTTGTCCTTGGAAGGCTGGAGCTCAGTGCCCAGTGCCTGCAGGGAGCGTGGCTCCGTACCCGGACACTGGGCACTTGGGTAAGTGCAGCACATGGCACCTAACTCATGCCTCTTACAACAAATCCAAACATCGTGGAATGATTTGGGTTGGAAGGGACCTTAAAGCTCCTCCAGCTCCACAGCAGGGACCCCTTCCACTGGAGCAGCTTGCTCCAAGCCCCTGTGTCCAACCTGGCCTTGAGCACTGCCAGGGATGGGGCAGCCACAGCTTCTCTGGGCACCCTGTGCCAGCGCCTCAGCACCCTCACAGGGAAGAGCTTCTGCCTCAGAGCTCAGCTCAGTCTCCCCTCTAGCAGGTTAAAAACACTCCCTTCAGCCAAGGCCCATTTTATCCTGTGTTGTCCTTGAGCTGTGTCTCAGCTGTAGCTCTAACCCACACTCAGATCTGTGCTCCTGCATCCCCAGGAATGCCCTACACCCCAGACTGTATTAAAGAGCAGTAATTCGGATAATTCAAACAGAACAGCCAACAGGAGGTGTGGGGGGTGATCACAACTTTAAATACTTTTATTATTCATGCAGCAGCAGTGCTGGGACAAGTCCTGTGCAGCGTTACTGAAGCAAAACCCAGCACAACTCCCATCAGGAAGCTGCTCTGGACCGACCTGGGGTCTGTATATCCAATCTCACCGTGTTTATCCCTCACAAATAGGGCTGGTCTTTTGAGATTTCCCATTTCTTTAGGGCTGGTCCTGGCGTCACTGGTTTTTTCTCAGCTGTTGCCACTGCAGAGCCTGAACTGAAGAAGAGGGTGTGAAGGTCAGACTTGGATTCAACCAGAACTGGTTTTGTTAGCGCTAGAGTGGTTCGTTACATGAACTCCCAGCCCCCACTTATTCAAGAGATACAGACATCGGTGTTCTCCTGCCAGGCTGGGAGTCCTGGCACTGGAAGAGCTTTCCGTTTCTGGTGCCAGTAACGCAGACTCAACCTTGCTCAGCTCCCAGCACTGCGGCACCGACCGTGTCCAACCTACCCGCCAGCCTGCGCCCCCGCGGCGAGGCTTTTCTGGGCAGCGGCCACCACGATGGGCGGGAAGGCCTCCCGCCGCCCGTCCCGCAGGCAGTAGTAGTTATTGGCGAGCTTGTGGCTGGGCCCCACCGGCAGCCGAGGCGGCGGCTGGGTTCTAAGGCAAAGAACGGGCGCGGAGCGTCAGGCAGGAGGGGAGCAGCAGCGCGCACCCCCGCGGCCCGGCCCGCCCCGGCGGCACCTCTTGGCGATCTCCGTGTAGCGCAGCGGCAGCTTGGCCTGGATGTTCCGCTGCAAGGCAGAGGCGACAGCGTCTCACGCCGTGCCGCGGGCCGCTGCCCTGTGCCGGGGTCTCGGCGCGGCCGGGAGCGCAGGGGCCCGGTCCCGCCGAGCCCCCGCAGCCGGGGCCCCGCTTACCCCCGCCAGGAAGTTCCGCAGGCGCTGGATGATGGTGGTGGCCGTCGCCATCTTGGCCGCCGTGAAGGACGGGGGGGCCCGGGCACGGGAGATGCCGGGAGCGCGCGCGGGGCACGCTGGGTCTCGCGAGGCTTGGCGCTGCACATAAAGGGCGAGAGCGGGAGCTCCGCCTCTTTCGTGCTCTCCGCGGAGCCGCCATGGACACGAGTCGGGTGCAGCCCATCAAGCTGGCCAGGGTGGGCCGGCGGCGAGCGGAGCGGAGCGGGGCCGGGCTGGGGGCGAGCGGAGCGGGGTGGGCCTGGGACTGGTGTGAGAGTGGGCCCGGCGGTAAGCGGGCCTCGGTGCGAGTGGAGCTGAGCGGGCCCTCCGTGAATGGGCCCGGAGGGAAGAGAGGGCCTGGGAGGGGCGAGCAGGTCTGGGTCTTGGGGCTGTGAGAATGGGGCCTGGGGGCCTGCGGGTGTGAGTGGGACCAAGGCCGGGGTGGGCTGGGGCGCTGTGCTGATTCTGTGCTCTCTCCCCGCAGGTGACCAAGGTGCTGGGCCGGACCGGTTCCCAGGGGCAGTGCACACAGGTGAGGGGGCCAGGACAGGTTGGGGCTGGGTGGGAGCGGGGCCATCGCACCCTGGGCTGACACCTTCTGTTCCCGCAGGTGCGTGTGGAGTTCATGGATGACACGAGCCGCTCCATCATCCGCAACGTCAAGGGGCCGGTGCGGGAAGGTGATGTCCTTACACTGCTGGAGTCGGAGCGTGAGGCCCGGCGGCTGCGCTGAGCTGGTGAGTATGGGGCTGCCAGGGAGCCTGGGGCTGCCCGTTTGGTCTCAGTGGCCTCCTGCTGCTATTGAAACCAGTGTGGTCTCCACTGTTCTGTTCCAGGTGATGAAGGCTGATGGGATGTGCTTGGGGTGGCCGGTTGCCATCTGCTTGGCCAGACGCAGGGCTGGGATGGAGAGGAGTGTGGCAGTTCTGTTGCTTCAATAAAGGTCTCGCTTACTCCGTGTGTGAGTGCTCCATTGGCCTCGGTATTTATGCATGCATTTCTTGTTGCTGGGTCCAGCAGTAGAACAAAAGCACAGCTTGCTTATTCCTGGGGTTACCCATGCTGCCTTTATTGTCATATTGATCTGTTTTTGCACTTTTTTTAACCTGTCACAACAAAAATAACTGTTTTGGTTGCAGCAAACTATTTTAACCTGTCCCCATTTTTCTGGTAAGAATTCTGCATATAGTCAGTAAAGTAGCACTGCTGAACTTCCTGGCCTTCTGTGGAATTCAAGTGCAAGTTCAAAGTCAGCTTGCAAAGAACAGCTGGCTGCTTTTGTCCTTCTGTCCTCAGTAAGCAGTTCTATAAATATACCTCTTTGGTGTCTTTCCTGGCAAGCACTCACAGAGAGGGTGCTTGTCTCCTCTTAGAGGAGTTGGCAAGTCAGTCTCACTTAACATTCGTCCTCAGTTTTCCCTTCCAGCAAGAAGTCAGCTAGAAAGATTTATTGATATCTACTAAATGAAGTAAAAATAAGGCTCAAAGGACGAGGAATGAGCCTGAAAACTGTTAAGGTCTGAGGGCTGGTTTTTAAGTGCTGATGCTTTCCATCTGGTAGTAGAGTGATACTGGTTTGTGGTGTGCTTGAACCCGGTCAAGTCTGCAGCTCCTGATCCTGTGGTCTCTGCTGGGAGTGTTCATCCTTCAATGTCCTGAACTTGATTAAGGCACCTCAAGAGTAGGTGGGATTGAGGGTTTGAGTACCTGGAGCTGAGGAGAGCACTCCTGGAATAGGTGTTTGAATTGCTGCACTTGGGAGACAGCGAGGGTTGCTTTTGGGGCTGGTAAAAGAGTGGTTGGTTTTGTTCCTGTTGGTGTTAGTTGTGCCCTCATCAGCTCATGGGCAGCCTAAGGAGGATTTTGTGCTCTGGGGAAAGCCCCTGTTGATACATGCTTCTGTTGTTGCTTGATCTAGGTCTTGATTCTTTGGTAGTGGTTCAGTTTCAGGGCATCAGCTGAGTCCGTGCTCCCCTGGTTCATGTGCTGTCTCACAGTTTACTTTTGCTGCTGTTTGTTCCCTGCACAGCTTTAGCAATGATCAGACCCTGACTGCTGAGTGACCAAGCAGGAGGCTTCAGCTGCGAGCTGGTTGCCAGACAGATGTCAACTTGTCATAGGGGTGGCTCAGAGCAGTTGAAGCCCTTCCCAAATATCCCTGTGGGGTCAGCGTGCTCCTTGGCCACGTGAGGAGGGAGGTGACTTTGCACCCCCACTCAAACTGATGATGATAATGCAGCTTAATGTCAAAGCACCAAGGGGAACCAAGGGTAGTAAAGGGCTGCATCTGGTGCTAGCATCCTGCTTGGTCCTGAGCAGTGAAACAGGACAGAAGATGCCATGACCCAAAAGGACATTTTGGGTGGAAGTAAACTGACTGGTGCATGTAGGCAGTCCATAAACTTGCAAGGAATGGGAATGGGAGGGCTGTGCCAGGCTGTCCCCCTGCTGAAGGGTTTTGTCTTGAGCCAAAGACTGCTGCTGGATCACTGCAAGATTCCAAAGTAATTTTACTTAAAACTTTTATTTGTATCTTGAAAATAGACATCAGTATGAAAGCATCAGTAACCCAACATGTGAGACCAAAGCAGTGAGTACAGAATACATCCATAGTGCAGAGGGAGGCTGTGAGCGCTGTGTGTTAACTTCAGTGCAAAGCTGAGCCAGGCCCATTGCCAGCACAGCAGTGTGTCAACTGGAACCAGTTTTCCTGGGAGCGTTTCCCAGGTGGGAGCACAGCTCAGACCAGGCCTGGAGGGGTGAGAGTGATTCTGGGCAGCCGAGGAGCAGAAATGGGAGCTGTGACATGGCACTATGTGAAGGATTCAGAGCAGAGCCAGCTTCACATGCAAAACCCTTTTCCTCTTCACTCCCAGTCCTTAGTGCTTTCCTTGTCTGTTCCACCCTGCCTGGCGCACACACTCACACACACATCCTCTGACATTCATGTCCATCTCTACAGCTTCCTCTCAACTCTTCTTGCCCATCGTTTTTGTTCCCTGGAACAATAGGAGCTGCTCTTGTCCCCTTTGGGAAGGGAAGTGGGCAGAGAGGCTTGGTTGGGGCTCTGCTGCCTTCACAGTAAGTGGCTTTTGACTGTCTGTGTCCTGGGAGGAGGTCCCTGCTCCCTGTGTGGGGTATCTTAAATGTCCCTAAATGCATTTATGGCTCAGCCCCCTCCTGTCAGCTCGGTGGCCCCCCGGGTGCTCAGTGCTTCTGCACATCAAATCACTAAGTGCTTTCTTGTTCAACTCTGTCCTTTGACTAAGCAATATAATTCTTTTTGCTTTGTGTGCATGTGCTAGGGAAAAAAAAGTCAGATTTTGGCCCGGAAAGGAAAGGCCAGAAGAGAAGGAGCAGTATTTCAGTCTGGAATTGCTCCCAGGCCATGTCCACGGCAGCACTGACCATTGGGTTTGTGTCTTGTGGCTGCTGAGCTTCCTGCTGGCCGTGTGCAGCACAGCAGCGCCCAGCAGCACCGCTCCTTGTCACCAGCTCTACTCTTCCCCGGAGCTGCCAGAGAGAACAGGAACCGTGTGCACTTCTGCTGGGCTTGTCTGCTGCTGTTCCAGTGAGTGAAGGACTTGCAAAGGACTCCGAGGCAGTGCAGGGCTGATGGGGAGCGGAGGGGATGGGGCCAGCTTCTGCTCGATTTCCCACCCTGGTTGCTTGATGCTTCCCTCCTCTGTCACTTGGTGGAGCAAGGTGGCTGTGCATGGGACAGTGCATACTCTGTGACAGGAGGGTTAAAGCATCTGCAGGGTGTGATTCAGCAGGCAAGGGGGACATAAACCATAGCCTGGTGCTGAGGGCTGGCTCCTGAGGTCACTCTAATTTGGTTTCTTTGTGCCCCCAGGGCTCTTGGTGGCTGTTGGTGATGTCCCCTGCTGCAGAGAGAGCAGAGGCAATGTCACTCCAGAGTCCCAGTGTCACCCCAGCAACTCCCAGTCAGGGCCAGCCAGGCTGGTGTCCTGCTGCTGAGGATGCAGTGAGTGTGTGGCACTCAGGGCGCCGTGCTCTTGCCCCTGTCACAGCTGAGCTGGTGCCACCTCTGGTACTCACATTGAGATGGGCGTAGAGGAGCACAGCAATGTTGCTGTGACCAGCCTCCAGCGCGATGGCAACGGCGTTGTTCCCGTCCTGGAAACAGAGAGGAGAGCCCTTGGGAAGAGGTTTGGGGGGCAGGATGCAGGTGGGTCAATGTGCCCGGGCTGCAGAGGCTTACACTGTCCACGATTGAGATGTCGCAGGTGGGCTGAGCCAGCAGCAGCTTCACGGTCTCCACACGCCCGTGCTCACAGGCACACATCAGTGCGGTGGAGCCCTCCTCGTCCTGCAGGTTCACATCAGCTCCACAGGCGAGCAGAGCCTCCACCATCTCCTGCCGGCCGTGGCTCACAGCCAGCATCAGCGCTGTCTGCCCGGCCTGCAAGGCAAGGGACAATGCCAGGGGTCCTGTCCTGCTTGGGTCACCCGCTCACCCCACTGCCCCAGGCAAGGACCACACTGAGAGCAGCTCCTGCTGCAGTACCAGCTCCTTCAGGTTTTGAAGCTGTCCTTGGAGGAGCCAGCTGTGGCCCTTGGTGACGCAGTGAGGGTCAGGATGTGATGCACCAACCTGGCTGGCCTTGGCGTTGACGTTGCCCATGCTGAAGAGCCTCCTGACCATGTTCATGTCATCCTCCTGCTCGACAGCCGCCAGCGCTGCCAGCATGAGGGCTGTGTAGCCAGCTTTGTTCTGGTGGTCCACGTTACAGACCCCTGTGGGCATGGGCAGAGCTCAGGGTGCTGTGGGGCTGGTTCCCACCCTGCCCAGGGTGCTATGAGCTGTCCCATGGCCTGCTGATGAGTTCTCCCCCATCAAACCGGGGGGGGCTCCCCAAAGGCTGAGGTGACTTCCACCTTCCCCCACGTGCATGGACCCAGCGCAGGGCAGCTCTCCCTGCTGCTGGCACGGGCAGGACGGGAGCAGGGTGGTGGCAGAGGGGTGTTTGTCGGCTGGGGAGCACTGACCTGTGTCCAGCAGCAGCCGCACGATGTGGAAGTTGGAGTGGGAGACGCTGTAGTGCAGGGCGGTGTTGCCGTTCCCATCTGCCAGGTTCACCACGTGGGCCAGGAGAGCTGGAGACACCTCGGCAAAGGCCAGCAGGTGGTTGGCCACCGTGTCGGGCACAGAGGACTTCTGGCTGGAGAGACGGAACCACTCCTGCAGGAGCAGGCTGCTGCTGGCGAGCTGTGGGCAGCAAGAGGGGCTGAGCTGGGGCCCTGCACCCCCAGCCCTGGTGCAGAGCAGAAACTCGGCTCCAGAGGGGAACGGGGTGAAGGCAGGACTGGGAAACCCCAAACTCAGGCTGAGATGGCCTGAGCTGAGCTGGGGTTTGGGGGTGTCTGGGGCAAAGTGTGGAGCAGAGGGGGGACACCAGTAGCCATCCCACCCCATAGCACCTCACTCACCACCTCTTTGCTCTTGGTGGCCCCGGTGTGGCCCAGGTGGGTCTTGACGATGAGGCAGGCCTCCCGCATCCTGGGGCTCAGCTCGAACCTGGGCAGAGCATGAGAGGGGCTGCACCACCCCACCAAAGGGCACCCCAAAGTCCTTCCATCGAGGTTTTCTTCCTAATGCCTCCAACCCTCCATGAGCCTTCCTCACTCCCTCATTAGCACTTACTTCTCCTTCACCTCGGTGGGCTCCAGCAGGGTCCCGCTGTCCCCCTCGTGCTGCTGTCCTGGCTCACACTCCCCTTCCCCGCCTTCTTCATCTGAGGTTTCAGTGTCCCCCTGCTCATCGCTGTCGGAGCTGTCGGCTGAAGCCTTCTCAGAGGAGCTGTCGCCTTCCTCCTCCTCCTCCTCACTGGATGTGCTCTCATACCTGTGCGGAGGGAGGATGCTCAGTGACAATGTGGCACCCAGCAGGTCCCCTCGAGTCCCCCCCCCTGCCCCCAGGACAGGAGTGCCGGGGTCCTGGGCTGCTGCAGGGGGGTGTCAGGAGCCCCTCAGACGTACTCCCCGTTCAGCACGCCCACAAACTGCAGGCTCTTCTTGCTGCCTTCGGCCTCGCTCCTGGGGGCACCATCCCGCTTCTTCATGATGGACTTCAGGGCTCCTGGGGGCAGAGGTGCGGGTGTGAGGGGCACCGCAGACCTGCCAGGCTCCATCGAAGGGACAAGGTCTGTGTGCAGGCTGTGCCACAGCGCTGGCCCCAGCAGAGCCACCCCTCTCCCTGGTGTTATCCTTGGCACCAACTCACCCGTCCCAGGGCTTGGGGTGGCTCCCCCATCCCGTGCTGGGGACAGATTCCGGCTGCTCTGTGTCACCTCTGCTGTGCCTGCCCCGGGGCTCGAGCTGCTCTGGGCTGTCCCCTCCATCGCTCCTGTGCCCCGTGCCAAGGGACCATCTGGGGCATCACCTGCACCGGGCTCCATCTCCTCTCCCTCTGCGCCGGTGCTGCCCGGGTCGGTCTGGCTGCCCTTGTCCTCACCCCTCACGGCTGACCCGGGGCCGACGGCCGCATCCCGCACATCGGGGCGGCAGCTCACGGCGGCGCAGGCGGTCTGCGGGCAGCACCCCACGGCGGCCTCCACCACCCGCAGCGGCTCCCCGGCCGCCCGGCTCCGCGTGGCCACCACGGCCTCCACCTGCGCCTCGGCCACCCGCGGCTGGGCCATCACCTCCTTGTCCTCCTTGTGCGCACGGGGCCGGCGGGCGCACACCTCGCGCCGCAGCTCCTCCAGCTCCCGCGTGGCCTCCCGCAGGTGCCCCTCCATCAGCGCGATCACCTCCTTCTGGTGCCCCACCGTCTGCTGCAGCAGCTCCAGCTCCTGCTCCGCCTCACTGGGCACCCCCAGCGAGGACTCCAGCACCCACACGGACGCGTCCCTGCGCTCCCTTGCCCCGCTCTCGGGGCCGCCGCCGCCCTCTTGTTCTGACCGGTAGTAGAAGACGGCGTCGGCCATGGCGCGGTCCTCGCCCACCGCCACAGAGCGGCACGTGGGCCTCTCGGCAGCCCTGGGGCTCCGGCCCGGCACAGCCAGCTTCTCCGTCAGCTTCCTCAGCTCCACGATCTTGCTCGCTCGCCCTTTGGGCTCCGCTTCGCGCTCTGCCCCCGCCTGGGGCAGCTCCTCACCCCCTGCCTCCACCTGGGAGCCGCGGTGGTGCCTCGGAGCCTCGCTGTTCCCCACCAACAGCTTCTCCATCAGCTTCGCCTTCTCCCTCTTGAGCTCGCAGATCTGCATCTCCAGCACCGGGATGCTCTTCACCTGCTCCTCCAGGTCCCGCAGCTGCCGCAGGGCCGCCGCCATCTGCTCCCGCACGTGCTGCAGCGGGGCCGTGCCGAGCCCTGCGGCCGGTGTGCTGCGCCCCGAGCTGCCGGGGCTGCCCCGGCCCCAGCCCTCCCCCGGCCCCCACGGCGGGGGCTGCCCCGGGGCTCCCACTGTGCCCCCGCGGCAGGGCCCGGCCCGCTCCTGCTCCTGCTCCCGCTCCAGCCTCCGGCTCGTCTCCAGCAGCGTCTTCTCCACGCGCGGGTTCCTCAGCCCGCACCTGCGGGTGGGAGGCGGCAGCAGCCGCAGCGGGGGCGGGGAGAGGGGATGCGGGGCCGGTTTGCCCGGGGGGTCCGGGGCCGCGCGGCCGGGCGGGGACAGCAGCAGCGTCCTCCCGTCCTCGCTGGCCGTGGAGGCCAGGGACTCGGTGGAGGTCCAGGCGCTGGCGTGGCTGCTGGGGCTGCGCAGGGCGCTGGGGGGGAGCCGCGGCCCTTTCGCCCTCCGGGGCAGCGGCACCTTCCTGAGGGTTTGGCCGCTCTCGATGTCATCGACGTACTTGAGGAAATCCAGGTCCAGGAGGAAGCCGTAAGGGGTTTCCACGGAATACGAGCTCTTCTCCCCATTGTCCTGGTCCCGGTACAAGAACGGGCCACCGAGATCTGCAAGAGAAGTGGGGATGGTTGGGCAGGGACCTGGTGGTGAGAGGCTTTCCCAACTGGGTTATACTGGGAATCGCAGCCTGCAGCCCCCCTCCCTATCATGATGGATCATTCCCAGCATCCTCGCAGCTGCTGGGGTGTCCCAGGATACCTGCTCTGTGCTGGGGTTGGTGCTAAGGTGAGGAAGCTCCTTGGGATGGTACTGGATAGCTCAGCCCTCCCATTCCCTTCCCATTGCTTCTGCTGCCCGGTGACCACTGGCTCCCATTACCTGGGAGGTTCTGGTTCAGGGGTGCAGGCTGAGCCATCTTCTCCCAGGGGATGCTGCTGACCAGGGGACCATCAACCTGCAACAAGAATGGGACCACATCCAGCAAAACCCGACAAACCAGGGGTCAATGAGCCCTCCATGGCCACAAACCACTGCCCCCCAATGGTGGGCACCCCATGGACCCCCTGGCCCCCACCAGCCCTGGTGACGTAGGGCTGAAGCTCGAGCGGAATTGTTTGTACATTTAAGGAATGCTTCCCAGGCGGGATGGTCTCAGTGCCAGTGCGGAGGGTGCCGAGCCGTGAGTCAGAGCTGGGGGAGCGGGCTGGGAAGGAGCAGGGGCTGAGGCCCTTCTGGGTGTGATTCTCAGCGGAGAAGTTTCCTTTGGATAAAGGCATTGGATGCTTCTGCAAAGCCACTTGACCACAGGCAGCTGCCAGCACCATTCACTGTGAGTGTCGAGACACTGGCACAGGGTGCCCGGAGGAGCTGTGGCTGCCCCATCCCTGGCAGTGCTCAAGGCCAGGTTGGACACAGGGGCTTGGAGCAAGCTGCTCCAGTGGAAGGGGTCCCTGCCCTGGCAGGGGTTGGGGCTGGAGGAGCTTTAAGGTCCCTTCAACCCAAACCAGGCTCAGATTCTCTGATTCTCTAAGGCACGGAGGAACGGAATGGGAGCCTGGTTTTCCCGGGAGCCAGGCAATGGGCACACCACGATGCGACTGCGCTGCAGGGGTGAGCTCAGGGCTGGGGGTGCTGCCAGATGTGAGACTGCATCCGGGACCTGCATCTGGGTGCTGGGGCCTGGGTGTGGAATGGTCCTGGTGGGAGTGAGATGGGGGCAAACAGCACCCTGGGAGCAGGCGCAGCTGCTGGGCACAGTCACCCTCCAGCACACACATGGGCCTGTGGGGCACAAGTGGCCGTGGGGCTGGGCAGCTGTTGGCAGGGAAAGCATTTGGCACCGGGCTATTCTGGGAAGAAAGCAGGGGAGGAAGCGTGCCACAGAGGGAAGGCAGCTCAGGAACGGCCTTAAGGGAAGCTGAGGCTTAAAGCGGTCCCGAGAATGGGGAGGGATCCAGCCATGGCTGAGGAGAAACACCCGCATCCAGCCCCAAATCATAGAACCCCAGCCTGGTTTGGGTTGGAAGGGACCTTAAAGCTCCTCCAGCTCCAACCCCTGCCAGGGCAGGGACCCCTTCCACTGGAGCCGCTTGCTCCAAGCCCCTGTGTCCAACCTGGCCTTGAGCACCCTGAGAAGCTGAGGATGCCACAGCCCTGGAAATGTTCACGGCAGCTCCATGCCGGCACCTCCCTTGGGAGCACCCCAGCTCCGTGCCGGTCCCCACCAGTCCCGTGCTGCCCTTGTGCCTACGGGGACCCGCACATCCCCCTCTCGGTCTAACCCCTCCCCTCCAGGAAGCGGCCGCTTCCCCCTGCGCGCAGCCCCTGCTCCAGGTGATCAAACAGCGCCGGGGCCAGGACAAGCTTCCCGCGGGCTCTGCGCGCAGCAGGGATCAACCGGGAGGAAGCGGGAGCGCGGCAGGAGCGGAGCCAGCGCCTGCGTTTCCTCGGGGGAAGCGGGCGGCAGCTCCCTTCCGCCGGGTACGGAGCTGCCTGGGGCCCCGCCAGGAAACCCGCCTCTGATGGACGTGGGTGCGCAGCACAGGGTCCCCTCATCCCGCGCCTCCAGCGGTGCCCGCAGCTGCTGCCAACCCCTCCCCACAGCCGGGGCACCCTCCTGCAGCTCCAGGCCCACCACTTGTCCAATGAGCTGGACCCAGGAGGGGATCTTCGGCTTTCACCCGGCTCCAAAACCGAGGAGCAAACCAGGTGATGGGACCTGCAGGCTCCCAGTAATGTGCAATATGCCCCAGGGACCCTGTGAGGTGCAAAAAGCCCTTGTGACATGCACACTGCCCTGGGCTGGGTGAGCAGCCAGCCTGGATTTGAGCCAGTGAGGATGAGCAATGGACGCAGGCGGCCCTGGAATGCAGCAGTGATGGGAGGGTTAAGTCCCTGCACCTCCACTGGTGGCACAAAGCCAGCCTTGTCCCCAGCCTCCTGCCATCACCGTGGCATTGCACCAAAGAAGCTGCTCTCCACCTGAGCTGAAGACCTGATGGGGAAGACCCTGCTGGCCAGTTTGGTGCCAAAATCTTCCACTGGACCAGCTTTCTCCAAGCCCTGTCCAACCTGGCCTTCAGCCTATAGGAAACTTGGGTCTAAAATTGAGCCTTTCCACTCAATTCTAGTAAAGAGCCACGTGAGGGATGTTAGTCTCGGCACAGCTCAGGTACCATCCAGTACCCACGACCAGTCAGCCCCCTGCGACTTCCAGCTTTGTGGTGCATGGGGCAATCCCCCTGGGGGTCCCCATCCCTCAGGGGACAGACCTGGGGGTGCTGCTTTTAAAACCCTGGACTCCTCTGGGTCCTTTCCCTCACCCGAGCCGCTCCAGGGGCTGGACACAGGGGGAGCTCTCCCCAGCTCTCCTCCCAAAGCCAAACTACTGAGGTCATGAGGAATGTGAGAACAGAGTCCAGAGTAGCCCTGGCCAGGGCGCCTTGATTTATCTGGGCCAGGCACGCTTCCCTCGGAGCTGCGCGCAGGCGATAAGCCCCGAAGCTCGGGGCTGAGGTTGTTCCAAAGCTAAAGGGAAACCACTGAGCAAGCACACGGCTTCCTCCGCTCCAGCAGCCAGCTGGGATTCGGGATCCTCGCACCGAGCCAGGCACCACGTGTGCCCAGCACCTGCACTGTCACCCGCTGGGTGCGGGTGGGAGGGACTGGGGGGCTCATGGCATCTTCTCAGCCACACACCCCATCCCCATCCCCTGCTCCAGGGCGGCACGGGGCATCCCGAGCTCTGTGCCACCCACCATCCCGGTGCCTGCTTGCCCAGGCCACCTCAGCCATGCGGTCCAGGCTGGGGCTGCTCCCGAGGAGCCGGATCCCATGCGGGTGGGTGCGCCGGCGCTGACTCGGGAGGGGAAGGGAAACGCTTCCCTCTTCTCAGCAGCCCGGTTTCAGGGCTGGGCCGTTATTCCTGGAGCTGTCGTCACCGGCAGCCCGGTTGGTCGGGAGGCTGCAGGGGCTGCCTGGGCTGAGCACCAGCTCCAGCACCCCCGGCTCACACAGTACCCGCACAACAGGCAGGTCCCTATGCGGATGTACTCACACAGAGATCAGCTCTATGTGCCCCATCACACCTATAGCTCTATAGCCCACTAGAAAACATCCACCACCACTGCACCCTCACCACAGCTGCCCAACAGCACTTTCCACCGACACCTCCTCCATTCCCTTGGAGCTGGTGCCAACAGACCCGGGAACAAACCCCAGGGCCTGGGCTCGCCCTCCTGGGGAGGTGATGGAAGGGTTAAATTTACACTCAGGGTGTGCAGGCACGGTCCCATGTCGGGTTTCCCATGTGCGCATGAGGAGCACCCTGAACCCTGCAGCACCCGACTGGCCTGCAGCACCCCGGGGTGCAATGTGGGTCCCCAGCACCCCGGGGTGCCTACAGCCGCCCCCGTACCCCAGGGAGCCTGCAGCACCCCCAGCTCTGTGGGTCCCCAGCACCCTCCTGAGCCCCACAGCTCCCCATAGCCCCCGGGGGACCGCAGCCCCCCGCAGCCCAGGAGACCTCCCGGGGACTCCGCGCTCCCGCCAGCGGGCGATGGGGGGCCCAGCCCGGCCCCGACGGCCCCGCTCCCGGCCCCTCCTCGTTGGCCGCGGGCAGCAGCCCCGCTCCGGGGGATGCCGGGGCCGCCCCAGCCCGCTCCGGTCCCATCGCGGCGGCTCCCAGCGGCCCCTCGGCGGGCCCCGGGCGGCGGCGGCGGCTCCGGGGCCCTGCGGGGCTCCGCCACCGGGACGAGCCCGCGCCCCGTCCGTGCGGTCCCGCCCGGTCCCGCCGCCCCTCACCTCGGCGTCCGCGCGTCTGGGCTGCAGCCGGGCTCTAGCGCGGGGCCGCCGACCCGAGCCCGGCGGCTTCGGGCTGCAGCGCGGCCCCGGGCCGAGGGCGGGCCGGCAGCAGGGCCGGGGCGGGGCGGGGCGGCAGCGGGCGGGGAGCGCCCCCGGGCCCCGGTCGGGACGGGCACCGCCCCCGAGCCCCGCTCACCCCGTGCGGGGGGTCCCGGGGTGAGGCCCCCGCGGCCCTGCCCCGGGTGCGGTGTCCCCTGTCCCGGTCACCGGGGGCAGGGGTGTCCCTTGCCCTGCTCACCCCGGGAGTCCCCTCTCCTGGTTACCCTGTCCTGGTTACCCTGTCCTGGTTACCCTGTCCTGGTTACCCTCTCCTGGTTACCCTGCCCCAGTGAGTGAAGGTATGTGGGCATCCCCTACCTTGGTCACCCCGGGAATGAGGGATCCCCTGCCCTGGTCACCCCGGGGTTGAGGTACCCTTATTCCACTCCCCCCTGACCCTGCTCCCCTGGGGGATGCTCACCCTGGAGACAAGGGGATTCCCTGCCCACTCCACCCCAGCTATGGGGGATCCCCTGCCTGAGCTCAGCTCGCTGGGATGCAGCCCCCCCCCCCATCCTCCCCCAGCACACCCTGCCTGGTCCCCGTGGCCTCTCACTGCCTGCCCTCATCCTGCGGCCGGGAGCCTTGCGCTGGGCTCCCCGGCCTGGCCCCGCTGGGTTTTGGCAGCCCTCCCCTGGCCCAGCAGCAGGCTGTTTGTCTCCTTTTCTTGCCAGCTTTCTTCCCCGCCTGCTTCCCGAGCTGAGCGAGGTCTGGGCTGCCTCCATCCCACAGGGACCCCTGGCAGCTTCACACCTTCATTGACTGCCCCAGCCCCTTCCAATGCTGAAACCCTCTGCAAGGATTTGTCCTTCTTTTTCTTTCCCTTTTCAGCTCCTGAACCTCCCCCCTCGCACTCCCCCCCCGGGTATTTTTCCACACTGGCTCTGTCTGTAACGCTACTCACGGGAAGAGCAGGGAAACAAGCTGTGCTTCCCGGCGTCCCTCCCTGCTGCTGCCCGGCAGCTCAGGGCCTTCCTGAGAAAGGGTTTGCATCCGGACGGAAGTACCTTAATAGCCCTCATGGACCTACCTCCACCGACAGACCTTGTCCCTCTCCAGCCCATTTACATACTTGGCCTCTCCGGCATCCTGTGGTAATGAACTTGGTGATTTCATGCCCTCCTTCTGTCTCCAAAGCAGGTCTAGAATAGCGCTGCTCCTCTCCATTCACTGCTTGGCTAAGTAGCCTTCAGGGTCCTCCCTACCCGTGCGGGGCTTGTCTTCTCCATTCAGAAAGGTGGGCCTGGTGTGATGAGTGAAGACCGACTGCTGCAGAGCTCATGCCCCGTTTTCTGGCTCAGAGCTCCATGGAGGACCCATGCCCAGGTCCCCTCTTCCTGCACTTGGCCATCAGACAAACATCCCTGTGCTGGTTGGGCTCCTCTGGCTTTAAGCTCTGGTGACTGAAAAGGGTTCAACCCAAGGGGCAGCCCTAACTTCTGGCACTTATGTTTTCATAGAATCCCAGATCCCAGCCACAGCTTCTCTGGGCACCCTGTGCCAGCGCCTCAGCACCCTCACAGGGAAGAGCTTCTGCCTCAGAGCTCAGCTCAGTCTCCCCTCGGGCAGGTTCAAGCCATTCCCCTTGGCCTGTCCCTACAGGCCCTTGTCCCAAGCCCCTCTCCAGGTTTCCTGCAGCCCCTTTAGGCACTGGAGCTGCTCTGAGGTCTCCCCTTCAGGAGCCTTCTCTTCTCCAGGCTGCCCCAGCCCAGCTCTCTCAGCCTGGCTCCAGAGCAGAGCTGCTCCAGCCCTCGCAGCAGCTCCATGGCCTCCTCTGGCCTCGCTCCAACAGCTCCACGTCCCTCTGGTGTGGGGGGCCCCAGTTTTGTGTGGAAACTGCAGAGCTCACGTGCAAAGACCCGAGCAGAGAACTCACAAGGGTCAGTTGGGGTTGAACCCCATTTAAATGACAACTGCATGTGGGCTGCTGCAGTCTCAGCTCTCAGCCAGCTCGGTGGCTTCACCCTGGGCTAGAGACGCCGACGCAGGACCGGTCTGAGCTGTGTCACCTGCCTGCCTGGACCAGGAGTCCCCGGCAGCCCCAGACAAACCCAGGCTTGGGGCAAACGGCAGTGCCTGTGGCTTCCCTGCTGCTCCTGCTTCAGTGCCGAGCCTCCAGCTCCCTGCCCGAGGGGACTGAGCTGAGCTCTGAGGCAGAAGCTCTTCCCTGTGAGGGTGCTGAGGCGCTGGCACAGGGTGCCCAGAGAAGCTGTGGCTGCCCCATCCCTGGCAGTGCTCAAGGCCAGGTTGGACACAGGGGCTTGGAGCAAGCTGCTCCAGTGGAAGGGGTCCCTGCCCTGGCAGGGGTTGGAGCTGGAGGAGCTTTAAGATCCCTCCCAACCCAAACCAGGCTGGGGCTCCATGTCCCTCCCTAGAGCATCCATCTGAACAGAACCCCTGGGAGTTTCAATTCATCAGAAACAGTAAAAACCTTTTCTTTGGTCCAGAAAAGAGTCTCAAAAAAAGGCTTTCCCCATAATTCCCCAACCTTTGCTCTCTGCCAGCTGAACTATGCATGGGATTGTGCCTTAGTTTCCCCACCAGGGCAGTTGGAAAGTGAGTACGTGTGTGTGTGTGTCCCGAACACTTCCTGTCTCCCTGAGTTCATCCCTGCTTGCTCAGCTCCTCTGTGCCTGCCCCAGCCCAGCTCCATCGCACCCTCCTTGGGCTGGGCACCGTGTAGGACCCATGGGCAAAGCTGTTGAAGGCTCTGCCCAGTGCATTCCCTGTAGGAAAGCAGCGGGAACACTTCCATGTGGACCGAGCCCGGCGCAGCCCCCCCTGCAGCGGAATGTCCCTGTTTTCTGGCCGCGGGTCCGGGAGCAGGCAGGAAGCTCTCGTTTCCTCTCATTGCCTCTGCTCAGATCCTTCCTCCCTGGGATGCTGCAGAGAAACAAAGGGCCCGAGAGTGAAGCGGGAGCAGCTTCCACAGCTGGAGATGCTGGGACCAGGGGAAGGGTCCTCGAGGGGCTGCTGGATGCTGGAGGGGCTCGGAGCAACCCGTGGCAGGGTCAGGAACTGGAGGAGCTTTAAGGTCCCTCCCAACCCAAACCAGGCTGGGGTTGTGTGGTTCTAAGACCAGCCCTCACGCAGGTGCTCGTCCCGTCCCCTCGTGTTCCCTCTGATGTGGCCGCAGGTGACATTTTAGACCGGGCGCTGGCTTTTATCTGGGGCAATATTGCTCCTGCTTGGCACGGCACCTGCCGGGGCCGGCCTGGCATGGACGGGACGGCTTCTCTTTTGTGGCTGGGTTTGCAGCTCAGGCTTATCAGGCCTGAGGAAGATGCCGTGCGGGTTTCCAGTGCCGGGGTTTGCTTTGGCTGGAGGCCAGCCCCACCAGCAGCACAGGATGGAGCTCCTGCCCCAACGGCAGCGCCCTTCTGCACTTAGCATGGCCATAAACCCTCCCCAACGGTCGGTGGGAGCTGCCGCAGGATGCTCCCAGGTGTGGGGTTTTCCAGGTATCCGTTTCAAGCTGCACGCTGAGGGTTTCAGGCCGGGGCGCATGGAAAAGCTGGGATCTCAGCTGGAGCTCAGCATACCTAAAATGGGTATTTTTCTTCTGGGGCCTCTGTGCTGTACCCCTAAAACCCAACTGCACAGGGCGCCCAGAGGAGCTGTGGCTGTCCCATCCCTGGCAGTGCTCAAGGCCACGTTGCTGTGGCAATCCCTGATCCTTTCCCATCCCCTGGGAAATGATCTTGTGCACAAGCAGCAGCTCTGGCACAGCTCTGAGACCTCCAGCTCCTGGTGAGAGGGGAGGACACAGACGTCCCCATCACCTGGGGGTGATATGGGCTCAGCTTCATCCACTGATTTCCAGTGTCTTCACACTGCAGAGCAGGATAGGGATGGGAGTGGGGATGGGGATGAGGATGGGGATGGGGACGGGGACGGGGATGGGGATGCACAGGGGGGAACAAACCACCCCAAGTACCTTCTTCTTCTGTGTTCTCTGCCCTTTAGCTCCCGGCAAAGACATCAGCCGGCTCCTTAGGACAAAGAGGGAGTGTCCTGCACGGCGGATGCCCTTTTGCCCTGCCCCAGCCCCCAGCAAAGCAGCCTCTCATCTCTCCATCTGGAGTTATCTCCAGCTGTTTCCAGCTCTGCTCCCCCCTGCCCAGAGCCCCCAGGCTGATGGCATCCGACTCCAGCTTGACATTTCCAGGGGATCCGAGTGCTCGGCACACAGAGGACCCTTCTCTGCGCTGCAGGTTCCTGGCTGCCCGGGATCTGGCAAGGGCCGAGGGGTGCTCAGCAGGACCTTCCTGGCAGGAGCATCATAGATCTGTCATTGAGAAGCAGCAGAAAAGCCTTTCTGTGCCACCATCCAAAGCAGCGCATCTGGTCCCAGCGCACAATCGGCCCATTGAGTTGGTGACATCGGAGTGTGGCCAAGGGGACGAGCTTTCCTGTTCCTTCCCCTCGGTGGGATGGTTCGGAGCCTGAATCCTCCTCAGGGCAGCATCTCTGCTGATGCTTTCTGCTCTCCAGTCTCTGCTGGGAACTTCCCGCCCCATCTATGGGACAGAATAAGGTTCCCCAAGCATTGCACCATCCACAATGCTTCCAAGAGAGATTCCCTCCTGGAGCCCAGGTGTCCTGGCTGGATTTTTCTTTGCTGGCAAGCAGAGAGGAGTCAGAAGGTGGCGGATCTGAAGGAGCTGTTCCTGCAGATGATGCGTGAGAGGCTCATGGATGGACCGCTTGGTGGATAAGGAATTAGGTGGATGGTCGCACTCAAAGAGTTGTGGTCGATGAGGGGCATCTGTTAACCGTCGGGGTGGCGGGGTGGCAGCGTGGGGGGGGTTGTGGGGTGGGGGTGACGGTGACCCCGCACCGCCGGTGCTGCAACCCGAAGCCCCATCCGCATCCTCCCCCTCCGTCCATGGTGCCCCCCCGCAGGGCCGCGGGCTCCGGTGCACTGGGATGTGTCGGCCCGCAGGGGGCGGTGTCGAACCGGGAACCGCTGCTGGGATGGGAGCGGGGCTGGGGGGGGGGTGCTGGGGGATGCTGAGGAGTGATGGGAGTGCAGGGGGTGCAGGGGGGTGCTGGGGGATGCTGAGGAGTGATGGGAGTGCAGGGGCGTGCTGGGGGGGGCAGAGGGGGTGCTGAGGAGTGAGGAGAGGGTCGGGGGTTCCTGCCGTGCTGGGTTTCCCCCCAGATGATGCCCGGAGCAGGGCAGGGGGTGGCTGGGGACACGGACATGGGGCAGCCCCTGGGGGAAGCCGAGCTGGAGCTGCCGCGCGGTGCCGCATCAATCATTTAGCGCTGTTAATCTTTAATGTGCGAAGTTCTCGCTCAGGAGGAGCCGGTGCGGAGCGAGGTGATGATGAATGCAGAGAGTGACGCACGGAGGGGTCAGCCTAACCCAGCCTGGGCTGCGGAAGGGATGGAGCCCCCTGGGGCTGGGGCACAGGGCACAGAACCGCAGCCGGCTTTGGGCCCCCTCTGGACTCGCCCCAGCGGCTCCATCCATTCCCTCTGGTGCATGCCCCGGAGCTGGAATACCTTGGGAGTGATGGAGCCGGGAGCTGCTCTCCTATGCAGCCCCTTCACAATGGTGTCCCCTTGGAGCCTCCTCCCCTTCCCGCTCTGCAGCTCTGTGCCAGTAACTGCATGAACAAGTGATAGTATCAGGAATAACGCGTCCGTAGGGCACACACTGCACCTCCTCACTCCCCTCATCCTCATCAGTGGGGTGAGAAGACCCCAGCTGTCCCATGGTGGCTTTGGAGGGGATGAGCCCCATCAAGAGAGCAGTAGTGGGGTACGGGATAGCCACAGAATAACCCATAAACAGCGGGAGGATGGGGAGAAAAGCATTGACCGAGGGTGCCTTGCTCCAGCAAACGGCCCAGCCGCGGCGCAGCACAAGGGTAGGGCTGATGCGGCCGCTGGAACCTGTCTGTGGGGCTCCCGGCAGGTCTGGGCACGACAGGAGAGAGCGAAATGCCTCAAACCCGGCTGAGTCACCCCCTCCCTGCCGACACCCCCAAACCCTGCACCCCAGGGGTGCTCCCCCTCGCGGAAGGAGCCGGGGGAGCTCTTTCTATGCTCTAAGTTACTGAAAACTGCCTTCTTCTCCAGCAGCATTCTGAGCCTCCAGGTTGGACACAGGGGCTTGGAGCAAGCTGCTCCAGGGGAAGGGGTCCCTGCCCTGGCAGGGGTTGGGGCTGGGGGAGCTTTAAGGTCCATTCAACCCGAACCATTCCTCGATTCTATGGTTCTATGATCTGTAAGCATTTGGGGATCTGGGCTCAGCATTCCTACCTCCTACTTACAAGGCGATTCATTGGGGATGTCTCATTTGAGCGGCAGGGACGGGATCTACTCTGCAGGAAGCCTTTTCTAGCTCTATAAGTGATAGCAACGGAGCCACAAGGGTTTTTTCCAGTGTCTTATGAGCCAGTGGTGACCCACTTTGGTACAACTGCCAGCCCCACGTGTCTCTGGGGGAAGACCAGTGGCAAGGAGAGCAATGGCCATAATCGAAACCCCACAGCATCCAGGACCCCAGTAAAAAGCACCAAAGCTCTGCTTTAGCCCCGAGGTTTTTGTTGCCTTTGGGAACGTGGCCTGGGGTGGCTGGAGGGGAGGGGAGCCCATGGGAACCTGCGGCTCTGCACGGACGCAGAGAGATGCAGTGGATGTGCAAGTCCCCAAATTCCCCGTGTGCCGCAGAGGAGGGAGCGGTAATGGAAGGGCTCCGCTTTCGGGGAGGGGAGTTTAAATAATTCAGAGGCACAGGGAGGTGGAAAGGAACGTGCAGAAGGTTCGGGGTCCCTGGAAGGAAGCGGAGATGAAAGGAGCGGCCTTGCTACAATATTCATCAGGCTCTGAAGCGATGGCACGCGTGCTGCGGAAGGGCCAGTGCGTGAGCTCCTCTCCTCCGGAGACCCCCTCCGAGCGAGGGAGGATGCGGCTGCCCCGGGTGCTCGGCGTCTTCAGGCATCTTGTTCCTCATCAAGAGCTCACTGTGGTTCTTGTGGCTCTTTGCTGACAGCGCCACGTGCAGGGGATGCCTCCATCCAGCCCCAGGCAATCAGGGGACACCTGGTTCATTATGGGGTTTATTTATGCCTTTTCCTTTGCGAGGGATGAGGAGATGGGGAACCATGCTGCACCCTGCAGAGCGCTGCTTCGGCCTCATGGCCCCGGCGTGCCCAAGCCTGGCCTGGGGGCTGCTCAGCGCGGGAGCCCCTGTGCAATGTGATCTCCTGAGCTCCATCACCATGGAGATGGTTACTAATGGGGCTGAGCTGCTAATGAGGTTCCTGGGCTTGGAGGAGAGGCCAGAGGCTGCTGCCTCTCCCCATGTCCCAAAGCCTTGGGAATAGGAGCCCCTGGTGTTGCAGGGCAGCAGGGTGGGAGCAGCCTGGGTCTGCATCCTCCTCTGCTCTGCTCTTGGAGGGGGAGCTGAATGGGAGATGCTGATGGCACAAGGAGCATCGTCCCAGGGGACAGAGGAGCATCACCCGCCCAGCTCTTCCTCCTGTGCTCAACCTGCTCCACTACCATGTCACAGCTGCGGTGGACGCCCCTAATTCACATCTTTCTTCCCCAGATGAAGCAGGACACGGGGAGGGAGGACCCTGGAGGGGGTCCACAGGCATGGATAGCGCAGAGCAGTGCCCCAGGGCAGGGCCGAGGGATGCCCCAGGGCTCCAGCTCCCTGGGGAGCACATTCACCCCTCTCCCTCTGCTGAGGCCAAGCCTTGAAGGCCCTGCCAGCCAGGAACCCCTGCCAGCTGCCTCCTGCCGGATTCCTGCTGCCTGCCATGGCATCCAGAGGAGCTGCAAAGCGTCCCTGGGCGCTGCCAGCAGCCTTCACTGGAAACAACAAACAAGCTTTCCCCCTCAGCTCAAAGCAGGAAGCCAGCCTTTCTGCTGGGTTTGTTGCTCTGGGAGCTGGGCTCTTCAAGCGGTCCCTTCCCTTCCAGCAAGCTCTGCTCATGTCAGAACACTCCAGATGTGTGCCCAGGGTGGACGCAGCAGGACAGCAGCGTGCGGAACCTGGGATATGGTGGGAAACAGCCTCAAAGCCCCAGTAATTCAGCAGGGAAATGGTGTCAGCCTGTTTATAGGAACTCTTGCAGAGGCACTGCACTCACTCCTCAGCCCTGGGGCATCGCTGCGGGAGCAGCCTTCAGCATCCTTGTCTGAAGGGCTGGAGTGGGGCAGAGCCCCAGCCCTGTGGTCCAGGGGAGGGTGATGCCAGGGCACAGCTGAACCCATGGTGTTCAAGGGGTATCAGGGCACACTGAACCCATGGTGTTCAAGGGGTATCAGGGCACAGCTGAACCCATGGTGTTCAAGGGGTATCAGGGCACAGATGAACCCATGGTGTTCAAGGGGTATCAGGGCACACTGAACCCATGGTGTTCTCAGACACTGGGCAGTGCTGGCCGGGGGTCTCTGCAGCCACAGGAGCGAAGGACGGGGCTGCAAAAGCTGCTTAAGGGATTTGAATTCTTAATCCCCATTAGAAATTAATGTCCAAATCCCTGGGGTGGCCGCAATTCCCCCCCAGAAGTTGGGTTTTCTTCAGAGCAGAAAGGAACCCGAGCTGCAGGCAGAGGAGCAGGGCTGGACGGTGTCACCTGCAGGCACCGTCTGGGGACAGCCACCCTCATTTCCTCATGGCCACTGGGATGCTTCATCCGAAGCTGAGTATTCCAAAGCTTGGGAATGCTGCTTGGGGTCTCATCCTGGTGACCCAGCCATTAGCGAGTCCCCAGCATCCCTCCTGCCACAGTTTGGGAAGATTCTCCTCTCCTGCAAAGCAGGAGCTGGTGTGGAAAATGGCCAAGCTCTTGGGAATCTGGGCAGGTTTTAGTGCTTTGAAAGCAATTCCCATCTGACTTAGGAAAGGGCTAAGCTAATTTTACACATGGCTTATTTTCACACCTTTAACAAGAAGCAGTTTCTTTCTCCATGAGCAGTGCATACGGCAGCCAGATTGATTATTCATCGAACGATGATGATTCACACGCAGAGCAGGAGCTGTGCTCAATACCCCAAGGCATTGGGGAAAGGCTACAGAAGTGCACTGAAAAGTGGGTTTCTCCCCACCCAAATAGGACTGAATATACCCAGACACCCTGGCAGGGATCAGCTTGTGCTTTAGCCAGGGGAAAACTCAAGTTAGTTTTAAATCTGGCCTTTCCCTGGTGCTTCCATCCCATGAAAGCTTCAGCAGCAGCGCTTCGTCCCTCTGCATGTCTGTAGCCGCTGTGATGTGCTGCATGGATGCAGCACAAGGATGCAGCTGGATGTGGTTCTGCTCTAGGGGAAGGGGTCCCTGCCCGTGCAGCAGTTGGAACTGGAGGAGTTTTAAGGTCCCTTCAACCCAAACCAGGCTGGGATTCTGTGATCTTGTCCAAGCCTCCTGCTGCAGGAGCATCCCTGGACCTTGGCAACAGAGCAGTTTTGCTGTCGTTTCCTTGCACAGGCAGGAATCATAAGGAGCATCCTTGCTGCAAGGGAGCGTGGAGGGCGCCGGGCACTGTCGGTTGGAGTGACCTTTACTGATGAAAGGCTTGTCCTGTGTTCTCGGGGAAGGCGGGATGCAGGATGGAGCGGGTTTCCTCGTGCGGCTGCACAGGGCCCTGCCTGCGGTGGGAAGGATGCTCGGGGCCGCGGCATCCCCGTGCACGGAGCATGAATTATTTCTGCCTCTCACTGCAAAGCCGTGCTCTGAGGGACGTGTCCATGAAATATGGATGTGAGCCCTGCTTGGAGCGGGCAGCGCCGGAGGAGAGCGGCGGAGCTGCGCGGTGGCAGCGGCACGGGGTCAGCGGCAGCAGCAGCACAGGCAGCACGGAGCCCGGTGCTGCCCGGCACCGAGCAGTGGTTTATGACTGTCAGAGCACAGGCTGTGACCTGGGAGTGCTTGACACTGGTGGCGATGGGATAGGGATGGATGGCAGTGATGCGTGATGGGCTGTTGGTAGGTGGTGATCAATGGTGGCGGGCTGGTGATGGTGGTGATGGTTTGGCAGATGGGTGGCAATGGGATGATGGGGGTTGGCAGTAGGTTGGTGATGGTACCATGACACGTCTCTGTTTGGGGACAGAAGAGGGGTTATATCCTGCTGCGGGGTTGGATTAATATGGATCAAAACTTCATTTCCTAATCATCTGTGGGTGAAACCATCAGTGTCTGCAGCACCAGCATCTTCTGTGGGGAAAATGACCCAAGTGATTTCGAGTGAGCTGACTCCAAATCCATGCCCAGGAGATGCCAAGTGCTGGGCCAAGGTCCCGAGGGTTGGGAACCTGCTTGTGTCTGTGTGAGGGGCAGCACCAAGCCAAGCTAGGGCAGATCAGTGACTTACAGCTGTAAATAAGGACTGTAATAACCCTTCCTTTCCTAATTTAGATGCTCCCAAGGCCTCGCAAGCAGATAAAGTCAAGTTCTTTCCTTCCCTGTGTTTATGGCACTGCTGGAACACGCTGCTCCTGCAAGCATTACATCAGGGGAGCGTGGGGAAGGCTCAGCTTTCCCAGCACAGCTTAACCCTCACCTACATCTGCCCATCGCTGCCTCCTCACCCCAGCCACGCTGCTGCCAGCCCCGTCTTGGCTCCGTGGTGGTGGCTGTGGCCATGCTGGTCCCGTGTCCCTGCTCCTGCAGTGCCTGCTGCCCTCTGCTCCTGCACTGAATCCAAGGCAGTGTTTGTCACTATGATGGACATGACTTCATTTTAAAGCTCATGAGAACCAACAGTCATCTAGCAAAGAATTGTTACAAAGCTCTCCCTGGGCCTTCTCAGCCTTGTCCCAGTCTTCCAGTGCCTAAAGGGGCTGCAGGAAAGCTGGAGAGGGGCTTGGGACAAGGGCCTGTAGGGACAGGCCAAGGGGAATGGCTTGAACCTGCCCGAGGGGAGACTGAGCTGAGCTCTTAGGCAGAAGCTCTTCCCTGTGAGGGTGCTGAGGCGCTGGCACAGGGTGCCCAGAGAAGCTGTGGCTGCCCCATCCCTGGCAGTGCTCAAGGCCAGGTTGGACACAGGGGCTTGGAGCAAGCTGCTCCAGTGGAAGGGGTCCCTGCCCTGGCAGGGGTTGGAGCTGGAGGAGCTTTAAGGTCCCTTCCACCCAACCCATTCCATGATTCTATGACCTGGGAGATCTTGGCCTTCCTGTTTCCATCGGGGCGGTCGATCCGAGGCGGTGCTGGGGCACTTGCACCAGAGCTGCCAGTGCAGGGTCCCATCCCCAGGCAGGGGCTGTCCCTGGCTGTGGGTGCTGAGGCCATTCACGCTGTCGCAACACAACACGAGGCCCTGAGCTGTGTTTGCTTGGCTGGGACAGTGTGTCACTGCCGGCGGGAGGCCGCGTTGCGCCCGGGTTGCATCATGCCACTGGAGATAGGAGAGCGGTGCCCAAGCTCCATCCGCTCCTGCTGGGATGCAGCGGCAGGGGACAGGAAAGGGGAAGGAGGGGATGTGGAAGGGCTGGCGGTGACAGCAGTGAGCATCATAGAGGTTTTGTTGCCTGTGGAGAAGAAGCTGAGGGTGAGGAGAACCCTGAGGTGCTGGAGGGAAGGGCTCAAGGCTGGGGACTGAGGTTTCAGTGTCTGAACACAGCCCAGCTTGCACACACAGCACTGGTGGGAGACGGATGGGGGTGAGCCCCTTCCAGCCAATAAAACCCCAGAGGAGACGGCATCAAGGACGTCAGCATCTTCCAGGGCAGGGGTGCAAGGAGCCCAGACCCTGTGCCATGAGCATCCCCCACCGGCTGCCCACGGATCCTGCCTCTTCCCAGGGCCTGGCAGAGAAATGAGCTCAGAAATCCCCTCTGTGGGCAGCTGGGGTCTCCAGGGAGATGTGGTTGATGGGGACCGTTCCCTGTCTCCTGGATCCTGAGAGGTGGAGGCTGTGGTGTGAAGCCAATGGGGGCAGCTCCCCCTTGGTGGCCAGGACCCGGCTCACACCCTGCTGCTCACCACCACCATCAGGCCAGCATCATCGCCCCTTCCTGGGCAAGGGCGCTCCCCGGACCAGTGATGTCTCCCCCAAACCACAGTGGTGGGGATGGGCACAGCGCTGAGCACAGCCCCGAGCGTGGCCATGGAGGGCAGTGCAGGGGGTGGGTTTGAGGCTGTGCTCAGCACTGGTGGGAGAAGGGAGCTCTGGCCTCCCCCGCTGATGCTCTGGCTCCATGGGAGCTGCCGGTCCCCAGGCAGCAGCGGGGTCAGGGCTGTCCTGGGCCTTGGGAGGGGTAAGTGTGAGGGAAATAAGAGATAGGGGCAGGAAATAACAAACGTGAGTCAGATGAGAAGCACGTAGGCAAGGACAGCTTCGGGGAGCTAATCTGCAGGAGATAACAGTGCCAGGGTGGAGGAGCCTTGGGGATGGGAGCAGGGAAGGGACAGTCAAGACACGGAGATGTTTGAGACTCCAGCAGCCAACCTGGTCCTTTGCATCCTCCAGCCATGAGCCGGTCCCTGCGTGCTGGGGGGACTGTGGGGCTCAGCACCCAGCCTGGGGTGCTCTGGGCAGCACGGGCACTTTGGGATGCGCTCTGTAGCTTCCACAGGTTTCCCTGGGATCCCGCTCTGGGTGTTTATCCCCTGGCAGACAGCGCGAGCTGCGGCACAGCCTGTCTGCTCTTAGTCTGCTGGAGATTAAGCTCTCCAGGGCCTAATGGCAATTCTTTTGGCAAGCGTTCAGGAGGCCTTAATCCATCTTATCTCTGCTCTGAAAGGATGAATTAGGCACCTCTCCCCACGCTCCATGGGGAGCAGAGGCGGCTGCAGGCACCCCCTGCGATGCCCTACATATGGCAAAGAGCCCATGGAGCCGCCAGGCCGGGGCTATGGCAGAGGCAACAGTGCAGGACAGCCAACACGCTTCCCGCGCACAGCTGGATCCTCTGCCTTTCTTCCTCTCAGCATCCAGATGTTGGGGTCACCTGGAGTCCTGGCCTGGATATTTCCCTTGGGATTTGCCAGGGTAGGAGCCAAGGGTGGCTTCTTGGCTCATGGGGGAAGACTGGGGACAATGCGGCTCTGCTCATGCCTGTGCAAAGGATCCTGGTGCCTTGTCCAACACATGTGGTACCCAGGGATGTTCCTCCTCCCATGATCCATTCGCAGTCAGGACTCTGGAGGGATGCAGAGGACACTGGGGTCGTGTGGGATGGTCCCACCATCAAGCACAGGGACCCTCAACTCGCCTCTTACAAATCACTCCTGACACTGCTAATAATAACCGCGTTCATTAAGGAGCCTGGCATGATTCGGTCGGGCAGCTGGGGGGTGCTGTCAGGGCAATGGACATGAGGGGTGGCATCCGTCTGACAGCGCTGGAGCCCGTCTGAGACTCGAGGCACTCGGTGACCTGCTCGGTGCCGGCGCTGTGGGCAAGAGCACTGCTTGCATCAGACCCACACAGACACTGCCCGAGGAATCACAGCTCAGACACCACCGAGCACCTTGGCACCTTGCACCCAGCTCCACCACAGCCTGTAGCTGGCTGCCCATCACCGTGGCGTCGTGCCTCCTTTTGGGGTGAAAGAAAACCCTTGATGGGCTTTCCAGAGACTGAAATTTCCCATTTTTCTGTGTCAAAGCCCTGCTGGGAGGGGGCTGGGGGCTTAAACTGGTTTTGGCCGTGGTATCCCTTGGGTGACAGATGGCCCCGTGGCTTTCCAGCTCACAGACCGCCTGGTGGGGGTCGGGGCCATGGGGTGGTGCTGGGGCAGGGTCTTTCTGCATCTGCCAGAGGGGACTGGATTGCATTGAGGTTCTATAGTCCTGGAATGGCCCAGGTTGGAGGGGACCTTGAAGCTCCTCCAGCCCCAACCCCTGCCAGGGCAGGGACCCCTTCCACTGGAGCAGCTTGCTCCAAGCCCCTGTGTCCAACCTGGGCTGTGCAAACCCCGCTCTGCTGGGAAATGCCTTGGGGGTGTTTGGGGTCCTGCTGAGGGTCCCATCACTGCTGCCCTGTGTGCTGAGGGACGGGTGCCCGGTGGCTCAGCACCGCTGCCGCAGCCCCCTGGTCCTTGCTCCCGACCTCCGTCCTGTTTGCTCTCTGTCGAGCTCTGCCGCCCCTGAGTCAGCACCTGAGGCCGCCCAAAGCCTCTGTGGAAGCTCCTGGGTGCTGGCACGGTGACACCATGGCCGGCAGCCCCATCCCCAGCACATCCCCTGCTGCATCAGGGGGGACCCCCCCGCGCTCCTCAGCTGGGGGCCCTTGGAGGTCTCTGCTGTGCCTTGGCCCTTCCCTGTCCCCAGAGCTCCGTGTTCTCCCCAGGGTCCCCAACTGAGCAGGAACCAATCCAGGAGCAGAACCCAAAGCTCTGATCTCGGTTAGATGCCAGCCACCGCAGGACCTGCCCGTTCCCCCTGCATGGACTCTGGTTGCAGCCCGGGCTCAACGGGCTCTGGCCGCCGGCCGCCCTCGTGTCTATTCCTGGCCTGAAGAGCCCGGTGCTGGCTCCGTGTTGCATCAGCGCTGAACTCCAGCGCAGGCCAGGCCGTCTCCAAAGCAACCAGCAGCTAAAATTGGTCGAAAGTTTGATCTGAGCCTGAGCCAAGCTTAATATTTGGTCGCTTCTAATTTCATTCTGCGGGCCGGG